TCTCAGACCTGCACATTCCAACTCTGCACCCTTCTACAATTACATCACCCTCGTCTATATAGCTTCCACCCCTCCCCCTCCAGTCTACTTCCATCCACGAGATGGCCAGAGGTTCCTCTACTGAACGCAAGACTTCCACTACTACATTGTCCTCCAACATTGTCTCTGTTCTCAACTCCCCCGCCACTTCCGCTTCACCATCCCCAGAACCCTCGCCCAGCATGGTTGGTCGCAAGAGCACTATGCGCCGCAGCCCACAGGCCGACGTCTCCATGCCTATCACCTACACTCCCACCACCCACCGCATCAGCAAAGCTAAGAAGGGCAAGCGGGTACACGCTTGCGAGTTTCCCGGTTGCAACAAGGTATGTGCTGTTCCTCCCAATTTCATTGCGCACACGACTGACTCGCTTTTCCATAGGTCTTCACTCGCGCCGAGCACCGCAGACGCCATGAATTGAACCACAACCCCGAAGCTTCCTACCGCTGCACACAAATGGGTTGCAAGAAGGCCTTCCACCGTCCCGATTTGCTTGCGCGCCACATGGAGCGACAGTGAGTTTTGCTTGCGCAACACGATTCCCGAGTTACGGGCTAACAGATAACAGTGAACTTGAGTCGCAACCCGAACAGTCTCAATGGGCTCCCCGGACTCAGACTCCCATGACCGGTGAATCCGCCTCGATCCCGCGCTGCATCTCTATGGACAACAATTCTCTCATGGCCGGCACTTCCCAGCCCAACTCTATGTCTATCGGCTCTTTGGTGGCTCCCGGAGTGCACCCGGATCTCGCAAACGACTGTTCTCTGGTGTGGAGCGGCATGGATTTGCCTCTACAGCACCCTCGCCCCTCTACCAACCTTTTCCACAACCAGCTCCCCGAACCCGCCGATGACAGCCCATTCTACTCTTCGCCCGCCGAGACCTGCCCTTCTCCTCTCTCAGATACCAACTTCTCTCTCCCCACCCACAGCAGCTCCATCTCTTCTGGCTCCGTCTCATTGATCGATGCTTACCCCAAAAGCATGATGAAGACCGACCTGACTGCTTCTCCCATGCAAATGCACTCTCCCCTGCGCTGGGATGGCTCAGATGTGGTCCCCACTTCACACATGGTGCCCATCTCCCTCGAGGACAGCTTGATCCAGCCGCCCGTTCAGTGCCACTACCCTTCTCCCTCTTACCCATCTCCTTCCTACCCCTCTCCTTCCTACCCCTCTCCTTCATGGTCCAGCCCCGACTGCCTACCCTATGATGACCAGGTTCAGTCCCTGGCGCACTTCCAGCCTCTCGGCTGGAAGCAATGGGCCATGTAAGCCTGCCCCTCAACGGGCCTTGCAATTGAGCATTCCGCCTTTACCTGAATGCATGACTTTATGACGACAAATAAGCTACCTGAGGGCTGGCCCTCACTCCCTCTTCATTGGGCGTGGGTGGAGATACCCGCACCTAAACACCTCAACCCCAAGATTGGATGCGCAAAGCACAAGAGAGAGAAAAAAAAAAAAAAAAAAAAAAAAAGGGCGCAATCCAGTCCCTCTCTCAATCCTCTCCACCTTGACTGGGCCCCGCGAGCGCCGTGGCGCTCTCCGTCGAATAACAGCTCCATTCGTGGGGCGGAAAATCCCGGTCTCGAGCGCAAAAGTCGCGACCGCGGAGCGAGACTCTCAGTGGAGCAAGCTCCACTTAGGTCCAAAGCTCCTACGAAAGCTTCCTCATTTAAGAAATTTTTTTTTCTGTCTTCTTTTCTTTGTTGGCACCTTTAGAAGGGAAAGTTACTTGGGCTATAGATTTCTGGTCTTGTTTTTCTTTTTCTTTTTTTCTTTGTTCTTGTTGGGTGACGATCTTGATGATTTCCCACGCGTCTCCTTCTGTTGGCTGTATACCCCGAACTGGATCTCTGAGCTACGACTCTCGCTTGTACATAATTGACACACGCATACAAACTGATTTGCATTGCAATGATTTGAATATCCCGTAGCTTGTAGCCCCGCCAACTCCACATGATACGTCCAGAGCTCCACGCTCTCCTAACCACGGTTCGCTTGATCGTCACGACCCGTGGTCGGCTAAAACTTAAGAGATTCCAAATCGCGGAGGATCTCGCTCCAAGAGCCAACGTTCTGTAACCCACATTGGTCTCGCCTGCGTCGTCTATCTGCAAGTCGGCTGCAAGAAGAAAAAATGGAGCCGCAAATGGGTTCCACGCGCAAGACACGCGCAATTCTATCCTCAACTGGAAATCCAGTTGTTGATTCCCGACTAATGCACGTCTCTAACAAAGAAATGTAAAACGGATATTCGGATTCTAGAGCGTAACCATACTTCGGATCCATACCCTACCGGATTCAGGAGTTCGTGCGCCCGGACTCGAGCCAGAACTAGAACTAATCTACTAGAGGGAGGAAATCGGTCGATCCCGCTTCCGCGCCCGCCAAATACCCGACGTCCCCGGTATCACGATTTTTTTAATTGTTTTGACTTTTATCCCTTTGTTCCTATTCACCTGTGACTTCCCTCTTAACTCTTTCCCTTTTGGATCGTAAGCTGTAGACCGTACATTGCTAGTCCAACCAGGTGCTTCCCCATACAGCTGAAAGATAAGATAACTGCGGTAAGGCGTCCACCCGCATACACTTTCACGATCTGGCCAATCACTACTGGACCGTGACTAGCCAGTGCATTTGTTAATTTGGTGGAGTCCCAATGTCGGTCGACCGACCTGGAACCATGGGACATGAGTTGTCGATCCACCGGAGCTCCTGACGTCCCCTTGTCTTGTGGTCTCATCGGGACTGGTGGGTCCGTGAGTGCCTAGCAATCATTAATCCGTGGCAAATCAAATGCGGAGGATACGATTTGTTTGATATACAGATGCATTCAGGATGCCCGGTTCGGTAATCTCTTCGCACCACCCCTGCTAGCATAACGTCATTTCTTAAGATTGGGGTGTGTACTAGCAGGGATGCTTGAGTCACTATCTCTTGCCATATTGGGGAATCGACCGCGATCTTGCATGCGCTACATACATGGTGCTTATTGTGGGGAGAGGAGCGACAGTGGTGGATTGCTAATAAGTTATACTTTGGAAGGTCGGCAGGACCGGTCTTCCGGTACTCTTTACAAAGTACTGTAAAGTCCGATGAAATCAAATCCAAATCCCGAGACTCTCGAATTAAATCAAGTTGAGCCTGCGTCCCAGTCTCGGGGGATGAAAAATGTGATTGGTCAAGCGACAAGGGTCGGTCCGCGTGCTGGATCAGGCTCATTTAACATGGAGGTGCCGTGTCGATCAGGGGGCGTCACGAGGCTCTTCGGGCTGGATACTCATTTCAATCCACCCGGGAAAAGATTTTCAATGCACCTGATTTGCGCATTCGGAGACGATTCCCACTCAGGTAATGTGGTAGCGACGTAAGGTTCTTATTGGTGGAGCCATATATTAGTACCAGACTCCGTAAGTTGATTAGTCCAGTTTGGTTGAGAAAAAGAAAAAAAAAAAAATCGAAAGGCAAATTTCAGACGCTAATGACGAACGTGGGGGGAAATAACGGGGCGTATAACTAAACGAGATCTGCATTGGTGATTCAAAATCGGTCTGGGTGTCTTGGCTAAGCTGCTAAATCATCTGCTGCCTTCCGGGGCGTGGCAGCCTAACTATCGGGTTGTCGATTGGCTATAGTCATGATCATGATAAATTGTATTCGAATTAAGGAGGTCTATGCAAGGATTGCCATGGTCAACCTCAGCTCATCCCCAACGGGTCTTCATTCCTTCCAGCGAGAACGTGGCGGTCATGCAGCTAGTTGCCTAGGGCTCCTTCGAGGAAATCCTGGGCGACCCCTGCAGTCACGTCGGGTTGTCTCACCTTACACAGCAGGCCACATGGACTAACGGCTGAACCACTTGTGTAACGGGATTCAGGTCATGTTACATGGAATCTTTCTTATTCTTGGCTAATTTGTAAGGTTCGAGGAGATGGTGCCTTATCGTCAGGGCTTCACACAGATGACTGTGATTACGTAATCACACATCCAATGCAGTTAACTACCAGAGGATCACCAAGGATGATCCCACATGCACAGTCAATCTTATTTGAAAATTTGTTGCATGGAAATATAAGCCCTAGTCTTTGTTAGTGGGTTGGAATTGATATAGAGGTTTTCATTCCCAGATGTCAGGCTGCATTTGAAATGGTGTATTCCACCAGCGTTCATGAGCTGCGTGTCTGCCATTGAGTAGCTAATGAGCACCGTATCGCCAGCGGTCTATCACCTGAGATGAATGCGCTTCAAGTCAATCTTCAGAGTTAGTATTCAGCGAATAAGATGTGCCGATAATGTAGAGAACTGTACTGGAGAAGTCCGCCCACAAGTACGTTAAACAAGGACCAGAAGCAGTGAAGAAATGATATGGTGACTTAAGTGTCTGAAGACGATGAAATCGACCTTTCAAGGTTGCCAAAGAAAAGAGTGCTTATATTGTTGATCGCGTTCATGGCACTAACAAGCGGCCCACTTGGACTTACCCCAAACCGTCTACTACCCCGCGAGGGGTCAAAGTATTTTTTTGTCGATTGCTACACCCGATGAAAGATCCATGGCATTGATTAACATGAAAGAAGCAATGGTTCCAATGTTGCGCTGCGTTGAATTGCATATCCGGTTATCAACGGATGCGCTTATCGAAACAAGGAAGGGGGCCTGGCCAGGTACAAGAATGAGGGGAAGCATGTCATCATCGGAATAACCTCACCTGCCCTCCTTCATCCTTGACTATCAACCGTCTCCCTTAGTCACCTCTTCAATATCTTCAGTCATCCCCCCGAAGACGGAGCATCAGATTCCTCAGTCCCACAATCATCCCACTCGGAACAGCGCAGCCGCTGGATCCATCAGAACCAAGCTTGACGAACCCACTATAAAAGCCCCCAAACCCACCCGAGATCTTTCATCTTATCTGATGCGCTGATTCATCCCACTCTGATGGCATCAGCAGCATGGTGGTGTTCGTCGACTTGGACCAAGATGCCTTCGCCGAGTATTCCGGATCAACGGGAAAACCATTCCCGTCCAAGCTGACCGTCACGCCTATCGCGACCGCAGCTTCGGCTAATTTCCCTCCTTCCCCCACCTCCTCGGACGAAGATCGCACTCGCAATCGCGACGCAGGTGTCCCCTCGACCTCGACTACTGTCGAGGACCCGGTGAATCCCAATCGGAATGCCTTCTCTGCTGCTTTGAGCTGTTACCCGTATGTGAATCTAGCAATGATATTATCGCTTCCTGGATACTCATGATCGCTTTTTGTGTAGTATTGTCAAGGAAATCGCTCGCGCAATCGACTTGAACACTCTTTACGATTTATCGCGTACATGTCGCCAGTTTCATGTGAACCTCGCGCCCTTCCGGCACCAGCTGGTGCGAGAAACACTCCGGTGCGAGAATGAGTATATCGAGACGGTCGCGGAGATGCTAGATGCCGGTACCGCCATCCCTAGCAGCGTCAAGTCGGTCCTGCAATTGCTGAGCCAGGGTAGCTCGGAGTCAGGCCGGATGACGCGCGGGAAAGTGGGCAAGTGTGCACGCGACATGGTGGGTGAATGTCGGCGTTGCAGTAAGACTGTTTGCAGGGTATGTGGTGACTTTGGAACAATCCATACGATCGATCGAGCTGGCTAACAAGTACCTGCTTGCTATAGAATTGCACTATCAAACCGCCATCACAACTAGCCATGAAGGGTCGTATTCGTCGACTTTGTCGCACATGTAATACGGCTCCGCTCTCTCACCATCTACAATGGATGACAGACGAGTCATCACCAGATCATCATACCATGCATAAAGCAATTAAAGCAGAAACACTATCGCAAAATATCTGTCACTGTAGCGATGCAGTCTGGCTTTGTGTCCAATGCGGTCAAACCCTCCGCAGTAACGACACAACCTACCGCCGCGTGTGGGCCTGGCGTACGAGATACAGTACATACCTCGGCGGAGGCCTCGGCACAGGAATCGGCGAAGGATGCCAAGGCGTGAAATGCGGCCGTGGCGAAGCCTGTCTCGCCGGACAAGAGATCGAGCTCGAAGTTGACTGTGAAGCGGATGAGAGTTCAAGTGACACGAGTAGTACAGGCCACCATAGCCCGGGGAGTCATCCGTCCGCTTCGGCATCGTCACATTATCACCATGACCTGGTTTCCTCGGATAGTCACGATGATGAGGAACCAGGGTACTTCCGGCAGGAGGTCATTGGGTTAGGTGGCGTTGTTAAGCATAAGGCTAAAAAGAGGGTTATGGTGGGTGCTTGTGTTGTTGAATACGAGGATGAGAGGGAGACGGGGAGGTATCTTGCTAGGGAGGAGAGTGGTTCGCATCGGGCTTGGTGTGGGTGGTGTTCGCGGGTGATTCCTGCGCAAAATGAGCTTGAAATGAATCAATGATTGGGATATGGACAGGGGATGGGATGGGATGAATTTGCTTTACTTAGCATTGCATCTACGGCGATTTGCATGCTCTATGACTATAATGATGGTATATACTTTATGCCTGTGCAAAATTCCGAACAGCGAATGATATAGCCCAAGTTAGCTTTCCCAAGCTTTCAATCGACGTAATCGAGTGGGTTTTTACTAAGATCAAAAAGTTTTAAGGAGTGAGCACTTGTGGCGTAGTAAACCGGAAATGTGTAGATCTTGTATTAATTCATTCTCACATGTGTCATCATTGCTGAAGCCTCACAGATGCGGACCAGTCTTGTAAAACAGAAACAAGTACTCCTAAAATGCCAATGCATCGCTCCTCCATGCAGCAACCGTGAAATCATACACAGGGCAAAAACCCTAACCATCATCACACATGTATCAAAAAGACAAGTTTGAAATACAAAATCAAAGCTAATGAGCAGTAATAGTCCTGAGAAGCCCCTTCAGCCGCGACTCCTTCGGCGGCGAGGGTTCCCGACGGTGTCGACGACGTCGACCATCTTCACCCTCACGAGCTTCACGATAGCGGCGTTCTCTTTCGGGCTTCTCTCTCTCTTTCTCTTTCTCCCGTTCTCTTTCGCGGGGCTTACTGGGTTCTGGTTCGTCGCGAGAGCGCCGACGAGGCTTCCTCTCCTTCTCCTTCTCCCTTTCTCTCTCTTTCTCTTTCTCACGAGGGGCTTCTTCTTCACGGCGAGTCGAGCCACTGGAACGGCCGCTGGATTTCCGCTCCTCGTTTGGTGAACGCTCGTTGCTGCCATGGCTGCCATGGCTTTGAGCTGTCGAAGCCCGACGTGGCCGGTCAGAAGCCGGGGCCGAAGACTTGGTCGTGTTGACGCGCACAAGAGGTCTGGTAGTGTCCGATTGGCCTTTGCTCATGTATTGAAGGAAGTGGCGGGGCTGAGGCTTAGGCGGCGAAGATGAGGTCTGCTTTGAGGATGGAGGTGCCTTGGAAGATGCAGGTGGCTTAACAGATCGGCTTGGCTCCTTGGAAGATAGAGTACGCTTCAGCTTGGTCTCGATGATCGGCGGATCCTGCTCCTTCGGCCCTTTCGAGGAAGAGCGCTCAGAGCGTTTGGATTTATCCGAAGTTGAGATGCCACTTCGCTCCTTATCTTCCTCCACCGCTGCCTTGGCTGCTTTAGCCCGTGCTTCGGCACGTTTCTTCTCCTCGTGCTGCCGCTTGGCCTCTTCTAAAGCTTTGGCCCATCGATTGGTGAAAACGCTACGCTCGCTCTTCTGGCGTTGAAGAGACTGACCCTTGTTCCCGTCGGAGGATGTCTTCGAGTAGCGTCGCTCGCGATCTCCGGGTGAACGCTTCTTTCGGCGGCGGGTACCATCTTTGCTTCCTGGTGCTTCCACAATTTCTTCAATCTCGCGGGGTGCTTCGATTGGCTCCTCTGGTGCAACGTCTGATACTGGTGCTCTTTCGGGCACCAGTGGTTCTGCAGGAGCTGGGGCCTCTTCAGGGGCAGATTCTTCTGGAGCAGCTTCCGGTGGTACCTCTTCGGCTGGCGCCGCTTCCACCGGTGGTTCTTCAGCGGGCATTGGATCGGCGGCAGGAGGCTCTTCGACAGGAGGCTCTTCTGCTGGAGGAGCAGGCTCGGGAGCTGGTTCTTCGGGGGCTGCTTCGACCGGGGCCTCTTCCACAGGAGGAGCTGGCTCGGGCGTTGGCTCTTCCGCCGGAGGAGCAGCCTCAACTGGAGGTTCTTCTACAGGAAGTTCTTTGGCTGATTCTGCTTCCGGAGCGGGTTCCTCCTGAGCTGTTTCCACCGGGGTCTCCTCGGCAACTTCAGGCTCTGGGGCAGCTGGCTCTTCAGCAGGTGCTGGCTCAGCGGCAGGAGGCTCTTCCGTTGGAGGTGATGGCACTTCAGGGGCTACCTCGACCGGGGGATCTTCAGCGGCGGGCTCAGTTTCCACAACAGCTTCTTCCACAATGGGCTCTTCCACGGGAGGTACTTCAGCTGGAGGTGTTGGCTCTTCAGAGACAGCTTCCACAGATACCTCCTCAACAGGCGCTGCCTCCACTGGGGGCTCTTCCGCAGTAGGCTCTTCAACAGGAGGGGCTTCCTTGGGAGCATCCTCGGTTACCGGTTCCTCTACTGGTGCTGGTACAGCTGGTGCCTCGGCTGCCGGTTCTGGTACAGCAGATTCCTCGACCGTAGGCTCCTCAGGAGCTGGCTCTTCAGTCACCGGTGCTGGTTCTTCTGCAGCAGGGGGTTCCTCGGTGACTGGTTCAGCAGGAGCTTCAGTAGGAACCTCAGGTGCCGGTTCTTCGGTGGCAGGTGGCTCTTCAACAGCGGCAGGCTCCTTGGCAGCTGATTCAACAGGTGCCGGCTCTTCGGGTGCTGGAGCAGCAGCAGGGGTTTCTTCTGCAACTGGCTCCTCAGCAGCTGGCTCGGCGGGTGCTGGCTCCTCGACAGCAGGCTCCTCAGCAACTGGTTCGACATGTGCTGGCTCTTCTGGTGTAGCCTCCGCTGCGGGTTCTTTAGTAGATTCCTCAGGTGCGGTTTCAGCTGGCACCTCAACCTCCGCAGGCTCTTCAACAGCAGGAGGATCAACAGCGGCAGGCTCTTCACCGGCAGGAGGCTCTTCGACAGGGGCAGCAGCGACAGGCTCCTCTGCGACAGGCTCCTCCTTTGCAGCCTCTGGAGGACTTTCCTCGGCTGGCTTCTCAACTTGAGCTTCTTCTGCCGGGGCTTCTGCGACAGGCTCAGCTTCTGAAACAGGAGCTGGATCCGCTGCAGGTTCCTCAGGCGTCTTCTCAACGGCATTTTCAACCACTTCCTCGACAGGAGCTGGGGCTGGCTCTTCAGCTGGGGCTGGATCCGCTGCCGGCTCTTCAGTGATTTCTGCGGGGGGTGACTCCGCGCCAGCTTCCGCAGGGGTTTCATCGGCAGGGGGAGCCTTCTCATCCTCGCTGGCTACCTCGGGGGTCTTCTTTGGTTCCGCATCAGTTGCAGCAGGCTCCGCGGCAGGCTCTTCAGTCGGTGAAACTTCTGGCTCAGCAGATTCTGCCGCAACATCTTCGGCTATAGGGGTGCTCTCGGGCTCCTCTGATTTTACGGCCTCCGGCTCAGGGGTGGGCTCTGTTGCAGGTTTTTCCTCTTCTGCTGGTTGAGCTTCACTGGCTTCTTCTGTCGTGGTGGCTGCCGTTTCAACAGGATCTTCTTCGGGCTTAGCCTCCGGATCGCTTGTTGCCTCTGCGGGGGTTGCTTCAGGGGCTGCCTCAGCTGTCTCCTCAGATGGGGTGACCTCTGCTGCCGGTGCCTCCTCCGCCTTGACTTCTTCCGCGGGGGCTTCCTCTACCTTAGCTTCTTCTGTCGGGGCTTCTTCTGTCGGGGCTTCTTCTGTCGGGGCTTCTTCTGTCGGTTGTTCGCTTTCCGCTGCAGGTTCCACTGCAGGTTCAGGTTCAGGTGGAGGTGTAGATGCAGTCTCAGCTTTGGCCCCCTTCTTCTTCTTTTTCTTGGCGGCCTTTTTCTGCTTTGCTGTCATTTTCGACTCATCAATAGTCGGTGCTGACTCTGGCTCTGGCTCCACGGCTGCTGGCGGTTCAGGTGCTGGCGGCTCAGGTTCACTTGCTGCAGGTTCCTCCGGGGTAGCTTCGCCCTCAGGCTTGGCATCATCTGCTGTCTCAGCCGCAGGTGCTTCGTCTGGCGGGGTTGCATCTTCAGGTTTGTCGGTAGCAGGCTCCTCGGTGGTCGGTGGAGCTTCTTCTGGAGCATCTTCCTTGCCTTCGGCTGGCGCATCTGCTGGAGCTTCGGCATTGGCTCCATCGGCATCCCCCTGAGCTTCTTCGGCTTTGGCAGCTTCCTCTTCAGCTGCGAGTCTTGCGGCCTCTTCCTTCTCGGCCTCTACCTCGTCGACTCCCTTTTCAGGGTCACAGTCTGGAAAAGCATCGTCTGCCAAGCAGGTTAGTGTAAGGAAACTTCAATGGGCTATATTATCAGAATGGATAGTTACCATTGTTTCCACCGTCGTCAGGCTTTGGGGCGCTATCTTCTGCTGCCGGGGCAGCCTCTTCAGCCTTCGGTTCGGATTCGGAACTTTCCGCAGCAGGTTCTTGAGGGGCTTCATCTGGGACACCCTCCCCTTCTGCGTTCGGCGGAGGCTCATCGCCAGCAGGCGCATCTGCGCCTCCTTCCTTGACGTCTGCGTCGGCTGCACCATCAGGGGGGTCAGCTGGATCGGCGGGTGTTGTTGCCTCTGTTGATCCTGTCTCTCAAGTGAGTAACTCTTCTGATAGAGAGATTATCCAATCTACAATCAGTATCTTGTGATCATACTTACCAGCAGATTCTGGAGATTCTGAGCCTTCGGCTGGTGGTGCGCAAGGTTCCTCTACAGCGGGTTCGGCGGGAGCGTCTTCTTTTGATTCGGTGGTGTTGGGGTCTTCTTTGTTGTCCTGGTCATTTCCCCCCGTCAGACGATCGGTCGATTCATTGATGTGATAACTTGCGAATTGGGATTTTTCAAAATCGAATGTTTGATATTGAAGCTGTACCGTTTGGTACTGGAATGAAGAGATGTCTGCATACTTGTAACCCGCAGGCATCTTCCGGAGTTAGGGCCGGGGGCTCGCCAGTAGCCTCGATGGAATCCTTAGTATCGTTGGTGTCGGGGTTTGGTGTAGCAGTGCCAGCGGGAGGGCGTGCGTTATTCTTCTTGTTCTTATTCTTTTTCTTGACCATATCCTCGGATTAATGACGTATCATAAAACAGGGCGGACAATGCTGAGTGGCGTGGGAATTATTTATCGGACAATTATAGATTGTCACGATACAATCGGGCTCGATGCAAGGGTACTTTGGAGGAGTAAGGAAATGAGTAAGAAGATGAAGTTTAAAAAAGTCGAAACACTTGGGCCAGGTACTCCTGTATTAGAAGACCGAACGGGTAAGAAGCCTATGCTTGTTCCTCTGGCGACAAAAATAATTGCAATTGGACGACTATGGTGAGGCAGCGTATAAGGGATCGCCCGGCCCCCGTGGTGGATGGCAACAACAACTAGCTGCAGTCGCAGTCATTGGGCCCTTGAACGTCATCAACGAACTGCCCGATGACTATGAATGCAATTGGGCCACGTCGCATCCGGTCTCCATAATGTGGTGACTGGGGATTAGTGAAGGGCCTTGATTAGGGCCGGGTGAGAGCAGCACAGTCTCCACTTGCAGCTGCAGCAATCGGTGAAATCGGGATTGGGAAACACAATGGCCCAGTCAGGCAAGGCAAGCATGGAGAACATAGTTTTAGTACAGTGGGGGGTAAGTGGCACCAGTCAATTTTTCCATTCCTAATTCCTAACTTTGTGACTTTTCTTGTTGCCATCCGTACTGGGTACAAACATGGGCGTGGGGTTGGGAAAGAAAACTGGACCCGAGGTGAGTGGGTCACAAACAAATCGAGAATGGTTTCTTAGAAGCCACACCGAAGGAAAAAAAAAATTAAAAAAAGCACCTGCAGTGTACCCAGGGGGAAAAGCACTCTAAGGCCCGAGTAAACAGCGGAAAAGTGATGCAGTCGAAAGACCCATTTCTGCCCAACCTCCCCGGTAACGGCGGCAAATAGGATGCAGGCCTAGCGGTGGGGAGACGAAAGAGACGAGGATCACGACCGAGAGGACCCGGCACTGGAGACACTGACACTCCTTGGGTAATAATCCGGCCCATTGACTCACTCAGAAGGGCGGGATTGAAGCGAATGGAGTCGAATTGTAGTCATCAAGTCTCCACTCTCCGACACCGACACTTCACCAGGTCGATCATCTCTTCCGACAGAAACCCGCCCGTAGAGTTGTGACCTGTGAGTTGCTTCAGGGAATGCCAGAGACAGCAAGAGCGTACACAGTTGGAATGGAGATTGGGTCATCCTGCACCATGCATCAATTGTGCAGGAGAAGGAAGTCGTGGAACAAGGAATTGGTCGGGATCAGGTGACGCATGCCGTCCACGGGTGTGATTTACGTTTTCCTTCGTTTATCGCATTATCTGATCGATAACTTCTTGATTCTCTTTGGCCTCGGGCCCAATCGACGACCATTAATGCCTTGGCCCGCTAGTCGACCCGAATTAAGCGGGATGCGTCGCCACCTAAACCATGTCCTGGCCACGGCGCGGCCCGATGGTGTTCCAACCGTACAACGCTCGATATTCTGAAACCTCATTCCAAAATTGGCTCAATTGACTAGCTGCGTCGGTCCGAGCATCCATGCTACACTGATTGAAGATCATATTCTCACCAATGACTCGCAGTGACATTCTACGGGCGCTTCGCTCACTCTGAAATGCAGGCGATCATTTTAGATCCATCTAAGACAATTCTATTCGAAATAAGATGAATCTCCAGGTCACGTCTGCAAACTGCAGGTTACAGTACATAGTGCCTAACCCCATCGAAAATACAAGTCATTGGCGATCTTCTATGTCAAAGGCAGATCGCAACCCAAGGCTACTGGTCTAAATCAATTCATCCGAATTGCATTGATTAGTAGATCGGAGGACATGTCAGCTCCTTCCGGTCTCCCTTCGAGTCTCCTTGGGCAGGAGATTGCCCCATTTTGGCTCATAGTACAGCCTACAACGAATTTGATTCAAGCCTTGTCTTCTTTTGAAAGGGTCTAGATGTGAAGACGTCAATGGGAACAATCCGAGTCCAAATTATCAAGAATGTTCCATTGCAGCCTTCTATAGAAGCAATTGCATTGCAGATCCAACCAAACATGCCCCTATCTCCTCCAGCAATCTAGTTGAACGCCCGAGTTATCTGTTTCCCCAAATTCACCCAGCTTACTTAGACGATAGCCTGTACTTCTCCACCAATAGTCACGTTAGCGCGTGGTACTACTGCAGATGACGAATCGTTTGGCTCAAAGTCATGCATGGCCCCGAGTCCCCGCTGCACCAAACTTCCCCGCTCGACTTCTGATCTGCAGGTCGAGGGGTTTATTTGTTGGACTGGCCTGATTGTGGCCTTATTGGCTGCCTTGATGTGATATGGCCATCCCGGTGCGCAACTATAGGTGCAAAGTATAGTTTCACTAGATTGAGAGTGAAGCTGCAGCGATATTTGAAATAGGGATGTTATACCCGAGATGCATTTGATTATCCGGGAAAGAAATGAATCTTAGAGTTGCGAGGCCTCAATTTATCTGAGATTGTGGAGCAGTATATAGGGGAAATAGGTACTTAGCAGGACGTGCTTTGTATATAAAGTCAACTGATATAGACAGGGTCCCTATCGAAGTTCCTGGCTAGCCCATGATTTTCCGATAATATCGCGGACTAAACCCCGTCTTTCGAATACAATCCATGGTCAGTAATGCTTTGGGGCAAGATCCATCATGAAGTTCGACAGGCAGCTTTGATCCATAAAGCCTCGGATTTGGCATTACAGAGAGTCATCAAACTCTTGGTAGTGGGATATCTCTAGCCCCATGTTTCTTGACTAGATCCTATAGTTCCTGCGGCATAATGAGAGTCCATTGGTGGCTGAAGTATTTCCTGTCAAGGTTTGATATCTCCATCGAATTCATTGAGAATCGGGGCCTCGGGTATTTAAAGCTAACAACAGCGTAAGAAGAACAGAACACTCAAAGTCTGCTTATCCAGAACCGCAGACTTACATATCGTACAAACCATCACACCCCACCTACAGGTGATACAGCATCCCAATCACTCATAATCCTTCAACTCCCTAAGCACATGCGAGATCTCCGAAAGTTCATTCCCAGACTCACACCGATCTAATCCCTCAAGTGCATTGGTAGTCATAGTTCCCACGCGCAACAATTTCTGCCTCTTCTCGTCATCCCCGATCCTAGATACAAAACCCTTCCATGCCTCTTCATTGAAACCTCCCTCCTTCTTTATGATGCCGGTCTTGTAGCCCACACACCCCGCAAAGCAATGCAATTCAGGTGTCACCTTTTGCGTCTCTTCGAATTGTTTGGCCGCAACTTCGTTGATGTTTTCTTCGTTTATGCAATCTGCTCGGGCTTCGGAGTATTTTTTCATGACGTAGTTCATTTCTGATTGTTCGTCTGTTCGCATCGGCTGTGAAGGTTCGGAGGTAGGTATGCTCATCTTTGCTTTTGTTAGAAACCTTTCGATGTTCTCAATGGTGAGGGACATACGGTAGCCCCAAAGAGGGTGAAGAGAAAGGGGAGTACGAATGTGCGAGTCCACATATTGAGCTTAATCTCGACGTGTTGAATGGGATGACTTTAAGTAATTGGATCAAGATAATTCCAATCGGTGGTATTCTTTGAAGAGTAGGGAGGGAGATTCTAACTTGTGAATCTCTTCGCCTTATATACAATGTAGAGAGATTGAACGACAGAGTATGTACAGGGCTGATGATATGATGTCACCTTTCCCCAGATATTTGCAGATCATAGTTGGATAACCCTATTGCTACGTTTTCACACTTTTCAGCGTCTCAATAGGCTACTTTTGCCCCCTTGCGGGCTACATTCTGACCATATCCCCACACATTCCGGAGAATGTTCCAATGCGCAAATTTGAAACCCCAAATGAATGATGATTCATTGCGTTAAAGGAAGCATGAAGGAGGTACATCATTGGAAGGGGATAATTACAGCCTTCAAGGGGCTTAAGATCCAAATCCAATTACCACCGTAGCTCGCCCTTTGCTTACTATACATACCCAGGAAAGGCTATCAACGTGACGTAAGTCCTATGTGTCAAGATATGAAATGTTATAGCCGCTCCATGAATAAGGCCAGATTCTGGGAAGGGGTATGTTAGAATCATCTTTTTGATGTTATGGGTGTAGAGCTCGTTGTTCAACTAATGGACTGGATTGATACAGGGTTTTTTTTATGATGATGGTTGATGCGAATCCAGATCAATCATGTGGATAGGATGTGTACATTGGAGCTCACCACGAGTACTGCTCAAACATTATACCCTCATAACATCAAATTGTTCCTCTGTCAAGTGGGTATCATTCACGAATCAAGTAGGATATAAAGTATCATTCCGCGATAGCGGGCATTAGCAAAGGCACCAATAGCAGAAAGAAAGACAAGCTCAGAACCAAAAAAGCAACGCTGACATGATATCATAATCCATTAAAGTCAGCTGGAAAGCTTCGCAAAGAAAGTCAGAAAAATACGTATCCAGAACGCCTTTTAAAAATGTCAAATGCTACTTGGCGCGAGGTCAATTCATGCGTTCGTCCATCTTCAGTCTCCAACGAGGGCCGTAAATCTTCATGAAAAGAATCACAAGGGCGCTAGTGAAACCAATGAGTCCAAGGATTGTAAAGAGCCAGCCGTTGCCAATGGCGTTGATGAGGGGAGCTGTGATAAGGGAGCCAACGCAAGAGAAGATATTCCGCACGAAGTTGTTCAGGGCCACTCCGATAGATGATTTCTTGGGCATGAACTCGGTAAGCATGGTAGTGACCATGCTGAAGATGATCATGGAGCCGATACCGAAGGAGAAGTTGGCAATGATCTATAATTGGTGATTAGGATCGTCAAACAGAAAAGGGATGAATGGGAATGCTCAATATACCGGTGCCGGCCAGGAAACTCCTTTTTCTACAGTCCAACCATACCAGATCAGAGCAGCAGGGTATAGCAAAGCACCGAGCCAAGCGTTCTCGCGCATGCGATCCTCTGGATGAAATACTAATCTCCCTTTTTCGTCATATCGATTTGCCTTTTTCGCTTCCCGGTGCATGATGCTATCCATCCACCGCCCGCCAAATATACTGGCAATGAAGTAGCCTAAAGAATTCGGTATATAGAGGCAGCCGATGATCACGGTCTCGAAGTTGTATGGTGGTTTACCAAATGTGTCTTCAATGCTGACGTTTAACACATACAGAGATCCGAAGGCAATGCTGCCATAGTATACACTCAGAAGCACGGGAATATACCGCAAGTAGAAGACTATTTTCAAAGGGTCGATTAAGTTTGTCTTCAAGAACTTCAGCCAATTAGTGGTGCATTTGGCTACTTGCTGAGTCGACGCGCGACTGGGTGGGCGGCTGATGGGGGCATCTTCATCCTGGGCGATAGGGAGCAATGTATGCTTTTGCACTGTCAACGTTTCTGGCAGAGCAAAAAGGATGAATATAAGTATGAGACCACCAAGGACGGCGGAAAACCATAGTGTGCTGCGCCAACCCCAGCGTTGAGCCAGAAGACCGCCAATGATGGGTGCCAGCAAGGGTCCACACAAAGGCCCCAGGTAGAAAATGCTCATTGCATGGCCTCTTTCATGCACATCCCACAAGTCTGCAATGGTCCCAGCGCCGACGGCTTGGACTGAAGCTGAGGCGCCGCCCATAAGCATCCGCATAACGATCAGCATCGCGATTGTATCGGAAATGGCAGAAAGAATGTTGAAAATCACGAAAAGAACGAAGGAAGTAAGATATATCGTTCGCCTCCCGAGCCGTTCACTGAAGGATGACCACCACAGAGGACAAATTGACATGGCCAGCATGTATAAGGAGATGGAAAGGTTGGTCAAGGTTGGCGTTGTATTCAAATCCTTGGATACATGGGAGAGCGACGCTGGGCAAGGAATTCGGTCAGTATCAGAGGAGGCAGGACTAAAGCCACAAGGCTTACGAAAGAAAATTGAGCTTCCCAATGGTGCTAATACCCCTGCTGTTGCAACAATAAAGGTGATGAACCATTTCATATTTCGAGAATACGTCCTCGGGTCTTCGACCTCCGCGATGAGAGTCAGTTGGCCAAAAAGTCCTCTTCGTTTCAGTCGTGGCACCACAATGGGTGGTCCAAGTTCCGTGTATTGGCGCGTCAAAGGTCGCGGTGCTTCGGGCTCATTGATCTTCTCGGGGTAATCGTCAGTGATATCAGATACATGAGACCGAGCGTTGACTAGCGAGTCTGAGTCGCGAATTTCTGATTTGTTTTCATGGCTGCCAGTGAGTATACGTTCATTGCTTTCGGTATTGCTTCCAATGCTGCTGGCTGGCAAGCCCGATTTAGTGGTCGAAGATTTCGCCCTGTCACCCATTCTTAGGAGGGGGGGGGGAAGTATTAATTTTCAAGGTTGTTGCAGATCAACCCCCGACGGGTTCCTTTAAAGGTCTACTAAAGTGGGCGTGGGATTGTCAAGGATAACAACAGCCTCGTGGTGCGCATGAAACGAACAATCCCCTGAAGATCGATCGGAATATGACGATATGAAACACGGCAGCCTGAGATCATCAGTGGTCCAAGGTTGCAGTGCGTTATCTGGTCAAGACTGGCGAATGAACTGGATCCAATGCGGCTGGAATAATACCCAAAGAAGTAGTGATAACGAGCATTACATTGGTAGCCAAGAAAGTAGAATCTGATGGGATCGTCAAGGGACCGGAAGACCGAGAAACTCAAGAGCCGATGCGCCAACCAAATCCCTCAAATAGGCAGGCGTGGATCCTTCGAGCAACTACAGGACTAGAAAGCAGGAACGGATCTGGGCTGTGCTCGAAGTGGTCTCAGTCTGAAAGTGATCGTCAACGATCACAACTTGATTGATGTCGGATTGTGGAAACGTGACAAGAAATCCTTTGGAGAAAAGTGTAAAATGTAAATCCTTAGGGGTTGAGGGAATCAAGATCTTCATGGGGTCCACTGTCAGGTCAAGGCCTCTACAGCAAGGTGTAACACTCAAGTGCTGGGACAAGGAGGGCAACATTTCGCTCTTATCAAGCGCCAGCGGATAAATTTCCGGTCTATTGTTCATGAGGGGGTTGCATCAGGAACTTTGGGATAGGACCCTGATTTCCCCTGGCGATGGAACCAGTCATCGTCAATGACGGTAGAGCCGGTTTTCCGGTAAAGCGAAAACGCGGAAAAAGGCCATCATGAGGGCAAAGAAGCCCTCATGTACTGCAAATTCAGATAAAAAATAACTTAGTGGGCGGATGGAACTGGAACGTCTCAATAAACTCGCCTTGGCTTTTATAGTCCAGGGATTGCGTGATTGGGGAAACCCACTTCATTGATGAAAGGGTGTCACGTCTTGGCGTTCTTCACCCGGCATATCGCGTGGCTAGTATATCCTCCCCCCTATACATCAATGTCTGGGGCTGAATTTCGAGTCACGAGGAGTAGATTAGCAGAATTATCCAGACGCTCATGTTAATAGAACGCACGACTTATATTGCGGATTAGCACGGTCGCTCATCTGCAAGGAGGTGATTAATAAGCCCACTGGAAATCAAGCTATGAAATGGGATGGAAATGACGGTGAACTTAACATCCATCCAACCCTTCCAGTGTTCTTGAAGAAAATTTACCAAGGGAAGCACTTATCAATTTTCAATTGAGTAACTTGACAACCTTGGAAATATATCTCAGCATATTGTCTTTTACCCCGACATAACCCCGCACCACTTCAAAATATCTCCAACAATGACTGCTCCTACCGCCATTAAGCCCGAGGATATCCAGGCCCACTTGGCCAGCTACCAGAATGACAAATACGCCGATGGCTGGGCTTCACTGTGGGAAAAGAAGGATGTCAAGCTGCCCTGGGACGCGGGATTCCCGAACCCAGCGCTGGAGGACACACTGGTCAAACAGCGGGCCACCATTGGCGGGCCTATGGCTGAGGATGCACAAGGCCAGACATACAGACGCAAGGCTCTAGTTCCTGGCTGTGGCAGAGGTGTTGATGTACTCTTGCTGGCCAGCTTTGGCTTCGATGCCTATGGCTTGGAATACAGCCCAGGTGCCATTGAGGCGTGCAAGAAGGAGGAGGCTGAGAACAACAGCTGGTACCGTGTTCGAGACCAGACGATTGGTCGAGGCAAGGTCACTTTTGTGCAAGGTGACTTTTTCGATGATGCGTGGTTACAATCCATTGGTGTGCCGCTTAATGGATTTGACATTGTCTATGACTACACAGTATGTTGGTTTCCACTTTTGCCTTTTGTTATCAGATGTAGCTATCCGTGGATCTGTTTCTCTGGTCACGCGATGCTGCTGACTTTCACACATCGTTTCCCATTCAAATTCTGACTGTATCAGTTCTTCTGTGCATTGAACCCGGCACTTCGCCCCAAGTGGGCGCTCCGCCACACTCAGCTTCTGGCTCCGTCTCCAAAAGGTAACTTGATCTGTCTCGAGTTTCCTCGCCACAAGGATCCTCTTGCTGCTGGGCCTCCATTCCCCGTGTCCTCGGAAGCGTATATGGAACACTTGAGCCACCCCGGCGAAGAGATCCCCTACGATGCCAAGGGCTTGGTCAAGCAGGATCCACTGCGGGCTCCGAGTGAATCTGGTCTTGAGCGGGTGGCCTTCTGGCAGCCCGAGCGGACCCACGAAAAGGGACAGGGCGAGAATGGGGTGATCCATGATAGAGTTTCTATCTGGCGCCGACGTAACTAGATTTCTTTTGATATGTGCCACGAAGGAAAAGATTTAAAAGCAAAAAACCACGGAATACAGATCTCTGTGATCGATCGATCGGTCTGGAAGTCTTGAATCGGCCTGGGAGTATTGATATTTCAATTCCGGTTGTTGCACAACCAAAATAGCTGTGCAACCCAAAGTTCTTTTAAGACTGCTTCTTTGTCAGAGCATTATAGTGCTCTCCGAGCCCGTAAGAATGGCGGTAGTATGCCAGCCAGATAACGCGCTTGAGCTTTTCCTCCTCGTCAAAGCTATCCATGTCACCTGATTCAATCTTCTCCATTCGTCCATCTCTTTGGACAATATTAATCTCCAGCCCATATGCCCGAGCAATAGCTTGAAGTTCCAGTTGCCCACCCCACTCGGCGGTGAGCTTAATCTTCCGCGTGTATACATCCAGTGGCTCCTCCATAAATGCCTCGAAGTCATCCTTGTTTTGCGTAATGAAATCCGCCGTCACAGCCCGGACTGCACGGTACCCGTCATGCTGTGGCGACGCAACAGTGTCAATGCGTGATTGTGTCGTCGGTTCGAGAACAATTCGGCTTGGGTCCGGCCGCAAGCCAAGTCCGGAATCATCCAGTTGTTTGGCAATGGATGAGTAGAGGCAGTGTCCATCGGGGTTGACTTCAATCTCCCTCAATCCAAGCTTCTTAAACACCGCATCCATTACCTCTTTCTCATTGCCTCTGTAGTCTGTTTGATTGGCGGCCTCCTCTGCGGCTGCTTCGGCTGCAGCAGCTTGCTCAGCAGCTCGACGGGCTAGACGGGCCTTTTGGCGGTTCGGTTTCTTGGTATGGGATGTGGGTTCAGGAGTAGGTATAGATTCTGGCTCTGGCTCTGTATTGTTGGGAGTTTGGTCCTCGTTCGATTCGGGATTGGCCGGTGTTTCGTCCACCAGACTGAGATCGTCCATGCCTTCCACCGGTTCGGACGCAGTGCCATTTAGTTGAGCAATTTCAGCTTGTTGATTCTCAGTAAGCTCTCGCTGCATGCGCTCACAATCATCGTTGATGCCTTTGCGGGTCTTCTTCGTCGCGGACTTTTTCTTCTGGGTGATGCGCCCTTGCAGGTCTTTTTGTTCTTTGCGATGCTTTGCTTGAAGCTCGTCCATGACGGGCAGGAAGGAAGAAAAAGGTCTATTTAGAAAGAGAGTAACAAAAAATCACGCAATCAACGCTGGAGTATATGCAGTTCTTCACATCAATGAGAAACGCAAAGTCGCCCCGCGAAACCCTGACTTTGCTGCCCTAAACCGTGTCCCAATTTGGGTTGGTATGAATAATCATCGGAGTATCGGGAAGAACTGTTTCGCCGATGTGCCTCGGCTCGCCCGCAGGGTCTCGGCCCGGGGGTATTACTGTATGCAGTGCAACGGGGGAGCTGGGGAAGTCATAAAGTGACGAGACCACGCTATTGGAACCTCGATAAACCGTTCATATTCGCAATAATGGATTCACAAAGTCTTTTCAATGTCAAGGTCGGTGGGTTGGACAGACATTAGCATAACTCCTGCTAACTTTCTCCCAGGGCAAAGTGGTGCTGGTCACCGGCGGAGCCAAAGGTATTGGTCGCATGATCTCGGAGGGATATGTTGCCAACGGTGCCACCGTCTACATTTCCTCGCGCGACGCCAAGGCTTGTGAGCAGGCTGTGAATGAGCTGAATGCTCTCGGCAAGGGCACGGCGCATGCCATTCCCGCCGATTTCTACAAGTATGAGGACGTGAAGAAGCTTGCAGAGGAGCTTGGCAAGCGCGAAAGCAGTGGGTCATGATATTTGTCTGATATGAGAACCAACTTCTAATTCGAGTGACCGCAGAGCTTCATGTCTTGGTCAACAACTCCGGCTCCAACTGGGGCGCCCCCTACGACGAGTATCCTACCGCTGCTTTCACCCGTGTTCTTACTCTCAACCTACACCGCGTCTTCGATCTCACCCAGCTCGTGACCCCGCTGCTGGAGAAGGCCTCCGCGGAGAATGATCCAGCTCGCATTATCAACATTGGTAGCGTGGATGGTCTCCGTGTTCCTTCGCTCGAGACCTTTGCCTACAGTTCCAGTAAGGCCGGTCTGCACCACCTGAGCCGGGTACTGGCAAACCATCTGGGCAAGCGCAACATCACGTAAGGATCTCTGATATTCTGCATTGCGGCCTTGCGCTAATTTTCATATTCATGTAGCTCCAACACTATCGCCTGCGGCCCCTTCGAGAGTAAGATGATGGCTGCGACGCTCAAGACTTTCGGTGACGCCATTAAGTCCGGGATTCCACTGGGTCGAATCGGAACTCCCCAAGATGTGGCTGGCGCTTGCTTGTTCTTGAGTAGCCGGGCGGGTGCGTATGTGAATGGTGCAACCATCCCTGTAGACGGGGGTAGTGTTATCGCCGCCAAGATTTAAGGTGTTCGCTAAACGCGCCAGGTGATCAAATGCAATTTTGGGCTATGTCTGTAGATAATCCAATAGGAAGCCACTATTAATCATTGTACACTGTGCTTTTCCCTTTTCCACATTCCGGCGTCCCGATGCGGGGGCCTTGGGCCGAGTAGCGGGTTTCTATCTGGCATTCCGGCGAAAGGCTGGCCGAGCCAGGTTGTCAGGTATCATTGCTTATTGATGACTGTTTTCAGTACTCCGTATACGAATCCAATGGAATAAATAAGAAAAACAAAGCATCTCTCGGAGCAAAAGTTTTCACAGTGACCTAATACGGTTATCCGGTTTTGCTGTTATCATTAGCTTATCGGAGGCAACGCACTGTGGAGCGGCGACATCATCGCTTCTCATGCCGTCATTCTAGTAGATCATCCGACCATCCCACCTTCACACAGCATATATCAGATTCTAAACGGCTCTTTTGACCCCATACACCTTTGCCGTACACCGCGCCCAATTGAAACTGAGACTGTCTCATTCCGTCGACCAGGTTGCCCCTGTCTCGCTCGTTAACGTTCCAAAAACTCCACTGCTTCCAATCGCCTTCTCTACATAAACCGGGGTAGTTGGCAAAAAAATCACGTCTGTTGTGTTTTGTTTTCTCTTTCCAGGATTCTTACCCCGGAAAAAACAGAGAAAGTGAATAGTCGGTGTGGAAATACACTTCCGTCTTGCGTTACCACACACGAGTTTGATTGCCTCTCCGCCTCCACCCCTCCTGCGCGACCAGACCATGAGCTCGTCAAACGGCCGCTCCGAACGCCCCGAACGGGCCGGCTCCATTGATCCCCTTTCTCACCCGGATATCTACTATGGAAATGAAGATTCAAACGCTAGGATTCGTCGCGGACGCGCTTTTTCGGCGGTAAGCAGCCACCTGGTTGGGATGTGGTAGACCCGGGCACCTGACTGACTCTTATCTCCACGTACAGAGCTTGAAGGACTACAGCCGCGAGGATATCCATGAGTTTCTGGGGACTTTGCCCTCGAGGCGAGGAAGCCATGGTAAGCCATTCAGCAACAAATTCCACAGACAACAATTAACCCCGTTTCTCAGATGAGGCAAGCCACAAACCCCGCAAATTCTTCATCAACGTGGAAGAAACCCTCGACGCCCTGTTGAAGCAGGAAGATACCGATCAAAATATGCAGATCACGATTGAGGATCTTGGACCAAAGGTAGGCCTCGTGAATCATGCCTAGATTTTCTAGCTGCTAACTATAGCAGACGCTGTCGATCGGAACTGCCGCTTCGTCGGGATACAACCGTGTTGACGTTCGCGGCACTTACATGCTTTCCAATCTTCTTCAAGAGCTCACAATTGCGAAAGACTACGGTCGCAAGCATATTGAGCTCGATGAAGTTCGCCTCAGCGAGAATCCAGTAGCTCGGCTTTCGCGGCTGATCAAGAATTCGTTCTGGAAAGCGTTGACCAGACGCATTGATGGCTCCAATATTGAGGTAGCTGGAAAAGATCCCAAAGATTGGACATCCGACCCACGACCTCGCATTTACATTCCGCCAGGTGCCCCGGCACAGTTTGAATACTATTCCAATATTGCCGAGAAGCACCCGGAGTTGCGCTTAGACGTGGTCATGCTGGACGCTGACATTACTCCGGATTACGTTATGAAGCTCAGTGAGAAGCCGGGCTTGTTGGCACTTGCAATGCAAACCAAGGTCGACGAAGTCACTGGGAAAGAAGATCTGGAAGGTGTTCCATTCGTGGTGCCTGGAGGTCGCTTTAACGAACTGTACGGATGGGATAGCTACATGGAGTCTCTGGGCCTCCTTGTGAGTGACCGAGTTGATCTTGCCAAGGGCATGGTCGTCAACTTCTGTTTCGAAATCAAGCATTACGGAAAGATTCTCAATGCCAACCGATCCTACTACCTGACTCGCTCGCAGCCTCCGTTCCTGACTGATATGGCGCTGCGTGTCTATGAGCGGATCAAGCAAGAGCCAGACGCCAAAGAATTTCTTCGGAATTCAGTCCTCGCTGCCATCAAGGAATACCACAGTGTGTGGGCATGTGAGCCACGCTTGGACCCGGTCTCCGGGCTGTCGAGATATCGACCACAGGGCTGGGGTGTACCGCCGGAGACGGAACCCACTCATTTCACCCACATCCTGATGCCATATGCAGACAAGCATGGCATGACTTTTGAGCAATTTGTTAAGGCTTACAACTCTCGCGAGGTGAACGAGCCAGAGCTGGATGAGTATTTCTTGCATGACCGAGCCGTGCGTGAGTCCGGTCACGATACCAGTTATCGTTTGGAGCGCGTGTGCGCCAATCTCGCTACGGTCGATCTGAACTCTCTGCTTTACAAGTACGAGGTGGATATCGCCAGGATCATTCGAATCCACTTCAAAGATAAGCTGGATATCCCGACGGAGTTCAGAACTCCCCAGACGCAGGATATCGAGTTCGAAACCTCGGCCTCCTGGGACCGCCGTGCCCGCAAGCGCAAGCAGCGAATGGATCAGTTCTGCTGGAACGCAGAGAAAGGCATGTTCTTTGATTACGATACTGTAAAGAAGGAGCAAACGGACTATGAGACTGCAACAACCTTCTGGGCCATGTGGGCTGGTCTCGCGACTCCAGCTCAGGCAGCCGATATGGTAGCCAAGGCTCTGCCTCGACTTGAAGCATTCGGTGGTCTAGTATCTGGAACAGAGAAATCCCGAGGTCCCGTCGGCTTGGAGCGACCTAACCGACAGTGGGATTTCCCCTACGGCTGGGCGCCGCAGCAGATGCTCGCTTGGACTGCGTTCCTGCGCTACGGATACCAGGAGGAGGCGGAGAGACTGGCTTATAAATGGCTGTACATGATCACCAAGGCATTCGTCGATTTCAATGGTGTTGTTGTGGAGAAGTATGATGTGACACGGCCCATTGATCCACACCGCGTTGATGCCGAGTACGGCAACCAGGGCACCGATTTCAAGGGCGCGCCACGTGAAGGGTAAGTTTAGGACCGATCGTTGGGATTATATGTTTTCCATGCTAACTCCAATCATCTAGTTTTGGGTGGGTCAATGCCAGTTACGTGTATGGACTGGAGATCTTGAATGCGCACCAGCGCCGCTCGCTGGGAACTATCACGACCTATGATACGTACAAGAAGGCGGTCGACGCCCAGAGTGCGTACTAATTGAGTGATGCATTGAGGTTCGAGTCTTTATTGTGAATGTCTTTTACACTTCATTGGAGGTTTGGTCAGACAATGCAAAAAGCAACGGCGTTCAACTAGAAGTGAACTTGGGGACACCGAAGTTGGACCACTCGGTTTAGAATCGGGTTGTCTCTATTGGCATGGAAAGGAGGAACAACAAGTGCAATAAAAGCTGCCACTTGGGACATCAATGCAGAATGAATGAGATGTACTGTACAGGCGCCGGGTTGATGTATTGACTGATTCTGCGTTGATTGATTGGCTTCTTGGAGAGGGATTCCGGCTCCAAAACAGCGTGATTATTGAAAAGCAAAGAAAAAATCATTTATTTTCTCGTTTTATCAATTTACCCAGATGATAATAGCTGCCTGGTTATATCTACGTAGCTGCGCAGCCCCCGCAATTTGCACGAACCTTGGAAGTATATCCCCGCAGGCACGGCACTCGCGAAAATAACCCGGACTTCGCTCGGGAACCTACCGGCCAACGTCCGAAACACCAGGAATCCCGAACGTATTGGGGATTCCATCGAAAGGCCCGAATGCAGCTAAAGATGCGGTCACTTTCTAATCAAGACAATTTACCGATCGAGTCTAGGCGTTCCCCTGGTTTTCCCGACGATGTTCTCGTGGAGACCGTTTGAATATACGTACCCACTACATGTAAATTCGAAGAATGGCTAATCTTTGTATTAAATATGTCCTTTTTATAGATCCTGAAGGTTTGACGTGAGGCACTTAACCTTCATGTAGGTTTCGTGCTCTGCTGGAAGTATAAAAGCATGCAACACAACGCAGATAGAACGCGCATCTGATCTATTTCTATATCTAGTTGTCTCCGATACAGGGCCCTTGTCGATCTAGCAGATTATCTGCTGACACTAGACAGGGGTGTAGGTGTGGCGGGACATACAGGTACAGTCAGCGTCGATGAGCCGAGGTTCAACGAAGGCGGTTAGACTGAGTCATTTTAATGATCGCCCGGCGCATCATCTTTATTGGAGGAAGGCCTAGGGTAAAATGACCACATTGTCAGTTTGCTCCGGTATGAATTCGTGGTGCTGTCAAGTGTGTTTCAGGGATTCGAAGTAGATCTTGCAGGGTTTGTGTGCCTCCGGTATATGGATACGATCTGCCTCAGATGGATATTCGTTTTCCCAGGGAAGAACGCATATGCCGGGATCTTGGGAGAACTAATAAAGAATCTAGATACTGTTCAGGACTTCGTGATGTAATCTTGGTTATGCTTTTGAGTTACCAGGCTATTACCGTGCAATCGGAAACAACTGCTTAAAGATTCGGGTTCTTCATGAGTTGTCTAGGCCAAGATGGCGGGTGGAGATACGTTGAATACCGGGGCAGGACGGGATTGTATTGATGACTCATACATTCTTTGACTTTTGCAAGTTTGAATAGCTTCACCTTTAGGTGATTATAGAAGAGATTTAATGGGAAAAAAACCGGAGACACCAATCACGGATATATGTCCGAATCTATCGTACGATTAATATTCTTATAGATATGTCAGGTGAAGGTGACTTTCGAGGTTCAACTGGCATAGCTGAATGCACGTGAAAATACCATGTATTGTAATGCGTCCCGACGCACATGCCCGACGACGTCATTGCTCATTGTCGTTCCGATCTATTCGCGTCCTTCGACTGGGTCACAGACCTCGTTGTAGAAGATCAAAAAAAGTTCATTGATTCTGTACAGCTTCATAGATGAGATCCCGATTAAAATTTAGTAGCCATAGAGCGAGAAAAAGCGCAAGAAGAGCGACCTTACCGTGTCAAGCGCCATGAAAACGCCGAGCCAAGTCGTCCATTAGACCGAGGATCACCAGTGTCTGGATCCTCTCTCCCGAACCGCACCCGCAGACTCCGCCTTTCGGCGCACCGCCTGTGAACATTGGTCGATGGCAATTCTTGGAGAGTTTGGTACTGAGCCTAGGCATACTGGGGTTGCTGTTCCCGGTCAGCCGAGCGTTTACCGACCACATTGTGACGCATTCGCAAAGTAAATAAGTACCCTGGTTTCCCTGCTGGCTTGTGATTGTGAATTTTTTTATTATTATTACCTAGCAAAGTCTCTTCATTTTGCTTTGCGACTCTCCTCTCCTCTCCTCTCTGTTATTATTCCTTCGTGACAATTTACATTGTCTATACTCTTGTCCTGATATTCGAGGATTAGCTGCGCTACCTTTCCTACCTCGGTTGCATCTATACTTGTGTGTTTCTATTTCCACACTTTGTCTTAGTATCTCTAAAGAAAAGTCATCATGGGTCTTCACGAAGACGAGGATAGACAGTACGCGGCGGAGGTTCAGGCTGTCCAGAACTGGTGGAAGGATGACCGGTGGCGCTTCACCAAGCGGCCCTTTACTGCTGAGCAGATTGTGGCAAAGCGCGGAAACCTGAAGATCGAATACCCATCCAATGTGCAAGCTAAGAAGCTTTGGAGCACACTCGAGAATAACTGGAAGGTATGGTTAGACAGTTTCCAAAAATCTTGCTTTACTAGCTAACACGTGAATCTTGAAACAGAACAAGCAGGCCAGCTTCACCTACGGCTGTCTGGAGCCGACTATGATCACCCAGATGTGCAAGTTCCTCGATACGATCTATGTCTCTGGGTGGCAAAGCTCCTCAACAGCCTCGTCGACCGATGAGCCTTCTCCTGATCTTGCAGATTACCCCATGGTATGTTAAGACTCATGTTGAGATCTATAGAGCACCGTTTACTCACGTATATGCCTTTGACAGGACACTGTTCCCCGCAAAGTCAACCAATTGTTCATGGCACAGCTTTTCCACGACCGGAAACAGCGCGAGGAGCGCCTCACCACCCCCAAGGACCAGCGATCCAATGTTGCAAATGTGGACTACCTCCGTCCTATCATTGCGGATGCCGACACTGGTCACGGCGGTTTGACCGCCGTCATGAAGTTGACAAAGCTGTTCGTGGAGCGCGGTGCCGCTGGTATTCACATCGAGGACCAGGCTCCTGGCACCAAGAAGTGCGGCCACATGGCCGGTAAGGTCCTGGTCCCCATTAGCGAGCACATCAACCGTCTTGTCGCCATCCGTGCCCAAGCCGACATCATGGGCTCCGATCTCCTGGCTATCGCCCGTACTGACTCGGAGGCTGCCACTCTCATCACCTCCACCATCGACCACCGCGACCACAGCTTCATTGTCGGCGCCACAAACCCCAAAGTCCAGCCCTTGAATGATCTGATGGTCGCCGCCGAGCAGTCCGGTAAGAACGGAGCCGCTCTTCAGGCCATCGAGGATCAATGGACCGCACAGGCCGGTCTCAAGCTCTTCAACGACGCCGTCATCGACACCATCAAGGCCAGCTCCGCCGCCAACAAGCAGGGCCTCGTCGAGCAGTACCTTAAAGCTGCCAAGGGCAAGAGCAACACCGAAGCCCGCGCCATCGCCAAGGACATTACCGGTGTCGACATCTATTTCAACTGGGACGCCCCACGCACCCGCGAGGGATACTACCGCTACCAGGGTGGTACCCAGTGCGCCGTCAACCGCGCCGTGGCCTACGCACCCTTCGCTGACCTGATCTGGATGGAGAGCAAGCTGCCGGACTACAAGCAGGCCAAGGAGTTCGCTGATGGCGTTCACGCTGTCTGGCCTGAGCAGAAGCTCGCCTACAACCTCTCCCCCTCGTTTAACTGGAAGAAGGCCATGCCCCGTGACGAGCAGGAGACCTACATCAAGCGTCTCGGTGAGCTCGGCTACGCTTGGCAGTTCATTACTCTGGCCGGTCTGCACACGACTGCGCTCATCTCCCACAAGTTTGCCAAGGCGTATGCGAAGAACGGCATGCGCGCTTATGGCGAGCTGGTTCAGGAGCCTGAGATGGAGGAGGGCGTTGATGTTGTGACCCACCAGAAGTGGAGTGGTGCCAACTACGTGGATAACTTGCTTAAAATGGTTTCTGGTGGAGTAAGTAGCACTGCGGCTATGGGTAAGGGTGTGACCGAGGATCAGTTCAAGAACTAGAGGCTTGACTTGTATAGTTGGCGGGCTTTTTAATGAGCCCTGGGACATCTGGCGTTTATGTTTGCTTTTTTCTTCCTTATATCCTGGACTTGTTCCCGCTGTCACGCCTTGCACAAGGCCATGTGTCTTTTGCATTTTGTCAAAACTAGTGCATGAGTAATTCCCGAAGCTTAAATGAGACTATGTTGAATCTGGAATAGTGAATATTGCTTACAGCCTATAAGTGTGTCAACTTCTCGGAAGTCCTCCGTAAGCTATTCCAGAAAGCGATCAATCCCCGGCGTCAGGGGTTATGTTATGCTGAGCGGGGCACATGTGGCGTGAAGCCGCGGCCCATGAAGTGCATTGTGGAGAAAGTGATGGGGCACCTCATTTGAAACTTGTTCAAAGCTCTTGAAACCACAACGCAAAGCAAAGACAGGGGGTAATCTGGCAGTATTTTTTTAAGCTTAAATTATATTGCTCATAAATTATATTGCTCATACAGTCTCATAGAAGCATGCAGTGAAGAATATATGCAAGAACCGAAGAGATAGAAGCGACTTCTAGAACACCAAAACAGCAAAAGGGGGCCGGGATCGACAGTCGGTGCAGAAACGCCGAAAGTGCATGTGCATGCGGAGAAAGGCCACTTACCGCCCTTAAATATGAGACCTCCCGTAAACTTCTATAAATCCTGACGTAAGGACTTTTCTGTTCTTTCACCCCTATAATTGCACTTTGTCCAACATGGGTATGACACTCCCAGAGCTACAGTTCACTCCGGTCGAGGAAATCCCCTCACGGGTCTCCACCGCCCGCAAGGCCTTCCTTGAGCGCCGAACCTACGATGTCGAGTTCCGTCTCGTGCAACTGCGCAAGCTCTACTGGGCGTGAGTTCTGCTCCATGTCACTGAGCGAAAGCATACTGATTATTTTATTAGTATCAAAGACCACGAGGAAGAGATCGCCGAAGCTTTACGGCTGGACTTGAACAAGCCGCGCTTTGAGACCGAGCTTGCGGAGACTGGCTGGTTGCTTAATGACATTGTTTTCGCCTGTCGCAACCTGCACAAATGGCTGAAAGATGAGAAGGCCCAGGATATCGAATTGACTTACAAGTTCATGAGTCCCAAGATCCGGAAGGACCCCCTCGGTGTTGTTTTGGTGATTGGGTAAGTAGCGCCACCATCGAACATGCACGCGCAATGCAAGCTAACAACTTCTGCTTTCTGTAGACCCTTCAACTTCCCCTTCCAATTGACTCTCGGCCCCGTTATTGGTGCCATCGCTGCCGGTAACACCGTCATCATGAAGCCTAGCGAGAATGCGTCGCGCAGCGCCGCCGTGCTCCAGAAAATATTCGAGGCTAGCCTCGACCCCGCATGCTACTCTGTCGTCCAAGGAGGCGTCCCCGAAACACAAGCTCTGTTGGCTGAGCGGTGGGATAAGATCTTCTTCACTGGTAGTACCAATGTTGGCCGTATCGTTGCCAAGGCTGCTGCGCCCAACTTGACCCCCGTTGTGCTCGAGCTGGGCGGTATAAACCCTGCTTTTATTCCCAAGTCTGCCGATCCCAGATTAGTGGCTCGTCGTATGCTCTGGGGTAAGCTCCTGAACGCTGGTCAGGTCTGCACTTCCCAGAACTACCTGCTTGTGGATAAGACGCTCGTGTCGCAAGTTGTGGAGGAATTTAAGAAGGCGTACAAGGAGTTCTACCCCAACGGTGCTAAGGGAAGCTCTGATTACTGTCACATTATTAACCAGGCTTCTTTCCTGCGCCTGAAGTCCATGCTTGATAACACCAAGGGCAAAATCTTGATGGGTGGTACTATGGACGAGAAGGACCTTTTCATTGACTTGACCATTGTCCAAGTGGACTCGGTTGATGATTCGATGTGCTCCCAAGAGAGCTTCGGCCCCTTCATTACTATCCTTCCCGTTGACAACCTGGATGAGGCTATCAACCTGGCCAATGGTGTCTCGAGCACTCCTCTGGGTGTCTACCCCTTCGGCTCCAAGGCCGATGTCGAGAAGGGTGAGTATAAACTCTAATATCTCTTCTATTTCCCCGCTAACGGTATATAGTCATCGCTTCTACCCGTTCTGGTGGTGTCTCTGTCAACGACGCCGCCTTGCACATCCCCACCCTTCCCTTCGGAGGTGTCGGCGAGAGTGGACACGGCGCATACCGTGGTCGTGCCAGCTTCGACGTATTCGTTCACCGTCGCACCATTACTACCACCCCTAGCTGGCTCGAATCCATGCTCGCTATCCGTTACCCGCCGTACGCCGGCAAAATTAAGACTTTCAAGGCCGCCAGCGCATTGACTCCCGACTTCGACCGCAATGGTCGCAAGCTGACCCTCGGCTGGTTGCGCTACTTCCTGACTTTGGGTGGTGGTAGTGCTAAGGCTGGCGCGGGTCGTGCTGCTGTTGTTGCTGCCAGTGAGTAGATCTCTTTTCACTTCATTCCCGTCTTTGATCTATTCGTTTTATTCCCCATTATGTTTCAAGATCTTCTTGGATTTCTTTGTTTTCTTTTTGGCTTTATCTCCTTGGGTCTACCCTATCACCATCTCACGATTGTTCATCTCCATCAGACGAAGGAGACGACAAATAAGTCCGGAATATTCCCTCTCGGGAAATGCCTGAACCGAGATTTGCCAATTTTCTTCTAGATACTGGAACGGTTGATACCCTGCTTTTGCACCCTGCGTATTCCTATGTTAGAAGCTCCTGCTTCATGTGCTGTTTTCAGTGGACTTGAAATCCACTTGTTATACTCACTTTACATTTCCCCTTGTCACCTCAATACACATTTTAAACGCTTAATATTAATGGGGATTCCCCTTGATGTTCCTATGTCATGCACTAATTGTTTCTAACTTGTTTGTAGTGGCCTACATTGTGCTCCAGATCTTGGAGCGCCGATCTGCAAAACTTTGAACGGTTAAGTGGATTTTTTCCCACTTCCAATGTATGATTTTGACAATTAAGGATTAGTGTAATTACAAGAATAGCTAGCCAAATGGTTAATCAAATGATAATCGTGTTTGGTGACCAATTTTGGGCTGATCTACATTGAAATGGACAATCCTGGACAGAGGATCACGGCACATCCCACTTTTAACTTGGGTCAAGGCTGTGGGCTAGACAAGGGCAGAGACTTTGCTGTCTTAATCTGAGCATAGGCATAAACGTAGGAAGAAAGACTCGACTCATAACGTATTGATATCATTATTCGTGTACAGCTTTGTATTGCGACATTGATATCATGTCTGATATCAAGGTAACCAGCAAAACCAATACCACACGCTTCATGCTTCGGCTCATGAATGACACTCAATATTCGCGGAAAGTATGCATTGCTTAACAACGACGCTCCACGCCGCGGCGACTCACACACAGGTACTTCACACCCTTATACGGCTTGACGCTCTCACCCACACCACGGCTGCGGCGCTGATCAATGTTCAGACTTTCCACCTTAATTCCAGAGGGGAGCCAGCCGCGCACTGAGAAAGAGACAGATGCCGAATTCGGCATGAGGTTCGCATTAAGTTGGGCTTTGGTTCTGCGGGGTCCAGAACGTGGAGCAGATGAAGGAGCGAAGAATGCTGGGAGTTGTGAAGTGTTTTGGGACTGGATTTGAGGTTGTGGAGGAGGTGTTGGGGCGTGAGTGGAGGGGTTGGGCGAAGGCGAGGCAGAGACTTTGACGGGTTCTTCTGGAACGGCTAAGGGATCGCCTGCGTCTTCAGTGAGAACAGCGGCTGAGCGAGATGACTTCTTGCTCGACTTTTCCTTCTTCTTCTTTTTCTTCTTCTTTGAGGGATCGCCTGACCGTGTCTTCCGGGTGGTGTTGGCAGAAGGGTTATCGTAGGAGGCAGGGTCTTCATAGTAACCCTGAAGAAGATTTGCGTTGGCATCTTCATCGACTTCTTCAAGACTATCAAAGTCTTCATCCGCCGACGGATAGCCTGCAACAGTGCAGCGGAGAGTTGCCGTACCAGAGATGGTACCGGCGTCGCGGCCAGTGGGGACTCGCCATTCGAGCAACCCAGTATTAGGGGAGTACTGGGCATCACCACGACTGGCCTGCATGTCCGTGATGTGACGCACAGATTTAGAGATCGGGACACTGACAACCACCTCCTCTAGTACTGGCCCACTGGCATTACCTCCACCACCAAGGAAGGATGGTGTGGAAGTTCCTGATCCACCTCGAGATGGGACCGAACGAGAGGACTGACCAGGGAAAGTAGTGTTGAGTGTTAGGCGGACCTCGAACTCTGCCCCAGAAGGGCCGAGCGATTTTCGAATATCAACAATGGCAGGAAGAAACAGTTTTTCCATATGGCTGGGTGGGTGATCAAGGTCCGGGTCTATTGGAAGAAGATCGACTTCATAACCAGCTAGGATAAACCGGCCATCGGGGGGCACGAAACTGAGCTCTCCCGGCTTCTCGCGCCAGCGAGCCAGGCGAACACATGGATGAAAGACAGGCAAATCGATTTTGCGAGCGAGCGACTGTTGGCCGCCAGGAGCTGATAATGATAATAGGAGATCGGGAACTCCCGATATTCTAGCGGTGAATGCGATAGTTCCAGAAACCAATGCAGAAAGTAGCCTTCCGGAAGGCGCCATAGTCACAGAAAGAGACTCGATAATATCAACATATAGCTCATTAGATGTGTGCCGTACCCCAGGTCGTCGCCAGGGAATAGCGGGGCCTTGAGCTGCACTAGCCGCGGCCAGTGATTGCTTCAAAGGATTGCTCGTGGTTGGTGTGGAAGTACTGTATGAACCAAGGTCGTCAGAATTGAGTTGAATACACCTTATCAGTAGTAGACCTTACCCAGGTACGCCTATTCCACCAAGAAGCTTCCCCATCCATCCCGGAACGTCGACAACCTCCTGCAACGAGTTCGGCTCAGTATTACATACCACTCCCCCATCGCACATTTCATGCAGTAATTGAGCCACCACATCATAGCTCGCCTGAATTTTTGTGGAGAGAAGAGGAGCGCCAACAAAGTCCTCTAGTACATCCACCACGCGATGCAGGAATTCGAGTACCAAAAGCGGCTCTGTGTCAACCTCGCTCACCGCAAGAAACAATAGATTTGACTGGATAATCGAGAACACGGTAACCGGCGGACTTGTACTAGGAAAGTATAACAACGAAGGGCGTGGGGCAGCATGAGCGAGGTAGAGGGGCAAGATGGCCGCGGCCGAAGGCGGGCGGGCTCGGTAGACATGCTCGACGAGCGGGGCGCTGGAAAAGGGAGTCAGTGAAATTCCATAACTTTGGAGTTCAGTCGCATACTTTTGCTCGTCAAATATGTAGACGGCATCGATCTCACCGCTCATGATGGCTGTTGTTTGAGACAGGAACTCCCGGAGTTGTATAGCTCACTGACAAGCTGTGGGTTCTGCCGCAGAATCCCGCCCTGGGTTACTTTTTGGGTGCACGCGATTGCCTCCGCAATGTGTACTCGCATAAGTGCTTTGAAAGAATAATCTCCTTTCTTGACTCTTACAAGATATTTTGAGACCCCATTTCCACATTTTCCATGTCTTCTCAAACGGATAATCGCACCTGGGAAATCCAGCAAAAGGATGCCAAACAGGCGTTGGCGGAGGACAAATATGACGACTGCTTGTCCTGCAGAGTAACTGGTACGTCGTCTATGGCCTCGGAGCTTGTCGTGACTTCAAAAGCCGGCATCACACAGACTGAAAAATTGATTTACTGACTTTCGGGAATAGGCTCTGCGGCGTTCGTTGGCCTCGGCATCTACAGCTACTATACTGGCATGAACAATCTGCGGAAACAAGAGAAGATGATCATGCAAGGTCCGACCAAATACAAGATGGGCTCACGGCAGCTTGGAATTGCCACCATATCTGCGACTTTAATTGGCATGGGGCTCTGGCGTGCTTTTAACTAGACGTCATGGGAGTCATATCGGGATTTTAATAACGGAATTGTACAATAAGTTTTACCATATGTGTTTCTACGACTGTAAAGAATATGATTTGTAAGATATTGATTTGTTATACTATCACGATTCAATGATAGGTGCTGCACTGGGTATCTCCACACACAAATCCTCTCTATATGGTGTATGACAAAATATAGGAAAGCAATAGGGGACTGATTAGAGAAAAGAAAGCCTTAAAAGGCGAAAGGAAAATGCAGCAAAACCTTATGCAAGAGTTCTCGTCCTCAATATGCACCCGAAAAAGAAAGCTCCCCAAATCACCCATGTGCTGCCTGACAATCGGAAAGGAAATTCGTCATCTCGTCCACGTCGTACAGTCAAGGAAAAATTCCTATGTGAAACGACCTCGCTTGCCTCCTCCAAATAAGTCCCGGCCATTGGATAGCCCAGACAAGTCAAAGAAATCCGGTACTGTGAATTTCCGTTTCGATCCAAGACCTGACCCAAGGCTTGATCCCAGGCTGTTTGGAGACTCGCGTGGGGCAAAACGGGTATTCGGGCGGTTGAGATTGTTGTGGCGATGTTGTTGGCGAGTATTTCGAGGCATCACGGAAACGCTGACAGGAGCACCGTCTTGCGGAGATGGGGTAGAGTTGTCCGGGGATTGCAGATCCATATCATCCTGGCACTGGGGGAATGTAGGCCCGGCGGTGAATGTAAATACTGTTGGAGCTCCCATAAAGTTGTCTTGAGGTTGGGTGGTAGGGATGGTGGGCTCAGGACGAGGTGTAGGGTTCGGCGTAGAGGTTGGTGTAGAGGTCGAGGGTTGGCGGATGACAGGTTCAGACTCTTTACGGGTGGTAGCCGGAGTAGCACTTCGGTCACGTTTCTCGGAGTCGACGCGTTCCTCCTCATCACTGCTTTGAGACCCAGTTCCATCATGCTTCTCTGTTGCCCACTGTCGAACTTTCCACCCCTCTCCATCACCAAGGCCTAGATTCTCCCGGTCAAGGAAATGAAGCAGGTCCTCCAACGCATCCTGGTAGCCAGCCTGCCTAGCTTGAGCCTGTTCACAAACAGCATTCTTGTAGAGGTTGGTCACAGATAGGGCGGCGGCCTTAAATGACTGCAGGAGTTGCTCGGGTGGCTGTGGGCGCGGGGTTGAGCTCGGCAGAGAGGTGTTTAACGATCTCATGGAATCCATAGCTGAATAAATATGTCGTGATCACGTATAACGTGTGGGTCCGAAAGGGGAAAGAAGCTGTCGTATTCACGGGCGTGGTATGAGGTATCGTATCCGGGCAAAGTATGGTGTGGTTGTCTCTCGAAACAGTCGAACAAAGCAAGAAGATAAAAAAACGGAATGAGGGCCTCCCAAAAATAAAGAGAATAAGAGAAAGGTAGAAGCCTAGAAGCCTCTGGAGTGTTCCCTAGCTCTATCTTCTGAAAAGGTCCGAATATCCAGAGAGGGGAACTAGTGAGTACCTGACTGCAGATGATGATCTTTTGCACTGGCCCGGTAACGTGACCCCACTGCGGGGAAACTATTCATCCGAAGTGCCGTCGCTGACTGGGCGTACTTACGTAACTGTCATTACGTTATTATGTCCACCAATCAGCGCGTCAGTGGGCCGCGCTTTCCCTCTTCTTCAGCGCGACTGGAGGCGTTTCTTCTTCCTCAGGTTACGATCATTATTCTTACTGTTGTGGACGTCAATCCCCCCGCCTCATCTGTTATTTTCAGAACCACGTGAAGTTTTTTCAATCTATCGGTGGTTGTATGCTGCGAAGCCTCTTCTGTGATATTCACCTCGAGCTACACGGTCAACGTGACCGAGACGTGCTTGTGCCTACCTTGAGTTTCTTGTGCTTCGCACGCTGAAGATTAACTATGGCACCAGCCGCCACCGACTCCCCGCCTCAGGTGGACACACCAATGACAGATGTTAACGATGATGTTGTGCCATCAATTCCCGTGGACGCGCCAGTAAGTGTTCTTACTTTCTGTTTCCATCCCACTGCGTCATCGTCGCATCGCCATAGAGCTACAATTTAGGCTGGCCCTTGAGCGCAGAACCATGTCACTAATTGCTGCCCTCTGTCCAGAGCTACCAAGCAACCCCTGAGTACACGGTAAGTCATATCCTGTTTGATGTTGCTACCTCGACAACTAGCTGACATATCTCCCCATAAGGACTCCGAAACCAACCCTAATACCACAGCGAGCAGCGTCGCAGGCGATGCCGCTCTAGGAGATGGACGAAGACGTCGTTCAGAAGCTACACAACTGAGAAAGAGCATCTTAGGCAAGAAGCAAAGCCGTCTGGACGAAACCAAGGTATGACTGAGTAATGCCCGAGGAACCTTCCATGTGCTCAACTGACCATCATTTTCTTAAATAGGAGGATGACTCTATTCGTCGATTCCGATACCTGCTCGGCCTCACGGACCTGTTCCGCCATTTTATCGAGACCAACCCTAATCCACGGATCAAGGAAATTATGGCCGAAATCGATCGCCAAAATGCGGAGTCCGAGGAAAAAGCACGCAAGGGATCTTCGCGCTCGGGAGGTGCGGGTGGAGATCGACGTCGCCGAACCGAACAAGAGGAAGATGCAGAGCTGTTGCAGGATGAAAGGAGTGGCGGCGAGACTACCACTGTGTTTCGAGAGTCGCCAGCGTTTGTCCACGGAGAACTCCGCGATTACCAGATCGCCGGTTTGAACTGGCTGGTTTCTCTCCACGAAAATGGTATCTCTGGTATCTTGGCTGATGAGATGGGACTGGGAAAGACCCTGCAGACTATCTCCTTCCTTGGCTATCTACGCTACGTCGCTGGAATCTCTGGTCCGCATTTAGTCGCAGTTCCAAAGTCGACACTGGACAACTGGAAACGAGAGTTTGCCCGGTGGACCCCCGAAATCGATGTTGTGGTTCTTCAGGGTGACAAGGATGAGCGACAACGCCTGATTAACGACCGCCTTGTCAATGAGAATTTTGACGTCTGTATCACCAGTTACGAGATGATTCTCCGCGAGAAGTCGCATCTTAAGAAGTTTGCCTGGGAGTACATTATCATCGACGAGGCCCACCGCATCAAGAATGAGGAATCTTCCTTGTCGCAAATCATTCGTCTATTCAACTCCCGCAACCGACTGTTGATCACCGGTACTCCGTTGCAAAATAATCTTCATGAGCTGTGGGCACTGCTCAATTTTTTGCTGCCGGATGTTTTTGGTGATTCCGACGCTTTCGACCAGTGGTTCTCCAACCAAGAATCCGACCAGGATACCGTTGTACAACAACTCCACCGCGTCCTTCGCCCTTTCCTACTTCGACGTGTGAAAAGCGATGTTGAGAAGAGCCTGTTGCCCAAGCAGGAAATGAATCTTTACGTACCCATGTCTGACATGCAAATCAAATGGTACCAGAAGATTTTGGAGAAAGACATTGATGCTGTCAACGGTGCGGCCGGAAAGCGTGAGTCTAAGACTCGTCTCTTGAATATTGTCATGCAATTACGGAAGTGCTGTAATCATCCCTACCTCTTTGAGGGTGCGGAGCCCGGGCCCCCTTACACTACCGACGAGCACCTCGTATTCAACTCCGGCAAAATGGCTATTTTGGATAAGCTTTTGAAGCGCATGCAGGCGGACGGTAGCCGCGTGCTTATCTTCTCTCAGATGAGCCGTGTCCTGGATATTCTGGAAGATTATTGCGTGTTCCGTGAGTACAACTACTGTCGAATTGATGGTACCACAGCGCATGAGGACCGTATCGCTGCGATCGATGACTACAACAAACCTGGGTCGGACAAGTTCATCTTTCTGTTGACTACGCGTGCCGGTGGTCTGGGCATCAACTTGACCACTGCCGACATTGTGGTACTATTCGATAGTGACTGGAATCCCCAAGCCGACCTACAGGCTATGGACCGTGCGCATCGAATTGGTCAGACCAAGCAGGTCAAGGTTTTTAGATTTGTGACGGAGAATGCGATCGAGGAAAAGGTCCTTGAACGTGCAGCCCAGAAGTTGCGTTTAGACCAACTTGTCATTCAGCAAGGGCGCGCTCAGCAACAGTCTAAGAACGCCGCGTCAAAGGACGACCTCCTCGGTATGATTCAGCATGGTGCTGCGAATGTGTTCGGCCCAAGAAGCGCAGGCGATGGCAACTCCAACGACATCACCCAGGATGACTTCGAAGCTATTCTCCGAAAGGGCGAGGAGCGAACAGCTCAGTTGAACAAGAAGTATGAGAAACTTGGCATTGATGACTTGCAGAAGTTTAGTTCTGAGAGCGCATACGAATGGAATGGTCAAGATTTCACAGAGCGTAAGAAGGATATCGGTATGACCTGGATCAACCCCGCCAAGCGTGAACGAAAAGAACAATTCTATTCTATCGACAAATACTACCGTCAAGCCCTAGCCACCGGTGGACGGACTGCCGACACCAAGCCCAAGGTTCCACGGGCTCCGAAACAGACCACTGTCCATGACTGGCAGTTCTTCCCGCCCGGGTTGCAAGAATTACAGGAGAAAGAAACCGCCTATTTCCACAAGGAGATTGGCTACAAGGCTCCTTTGCCTGAAGGGCCGGAGGAAGAGCTTAGCGAACGAGAAGCAGAGCGAGATCTTGAGCAACAAGAGATCGACAATTCCCAGCCTCTCACCGAGGAAGAGCGAGCGGAAAAGGATCGCATGTCGGAGGAAGGCTTCTCTACATGGAACCGCCGTGATTTCCAACAGTTTGTCAACGGCTCGGCCAAGTTTGGCCGCACTGACTACAAGGGGATCGCTACCGAGGTGGACAGTAAGGAGCCCGATGAGGTTGAGGAGTATGCCGAAGTCTTCTGGCGGCGATACACCGAGATCCAAGATTATCCGAAGTACCTCAAGGTGATTGAACAGGGTGAGGAGAAGGTCCGCAAGATGAACCACCAGCGCAAGATGCTACGCAAAAAGATGGAAATGTACCGTGTGCCCCTGCAGCAGCTGAAGATCAACTATACGGTATCTACGACCAACAAGAAAGTCTACACCGAGGAAGAGGATCGCTTCTTGCTCGTGATGCTGGACAAGTACGGCGTGGAAGGCGATGGTCTCTACGATAAGATCCGCGACGAGGTTCGGGATTCGCCTCTGTTCCGCTTCGATTGGTTCTTCCTCAGCCGTACTCCTGTTGAGATTGGTCGTCGCTGCACCACACTCCTCAACACAGTTGCCAAGGAGTTTGAACCCGAGGGCAAAGCCAATGGGGAGGGTAAAGGGGAGGGGAAGGGTCGCGGCCGAGACCGCGACGAGGACGAGGAGAACGATGACGCGGCAGCCCCTGCAAAGAAGAAGGCTAAGAATGGCGCCACCACCGTAAGTTTCAGCTTGGCTGGGTGATCTATCACGATGTCTACTAACCTGTTTCAGGGCAAGGCTAAACCTGCTGCTAAGGTCGCTAGCAAGGGTGCCTCCACCTCCACCTCGCGGGCGGCAAGTGTTTCGAATGCGCCGAAGTCAAAGACTCGGAAGAGATAAGCCAGATGCTTCTTCTATTCTTTCCTAGTTTATGTTCCATTTGCTCTTGTTTTGGGAGGTTCTGGGGTGGGGTTTGGATTCGGCGTTGGCAGATGATTTGCGCAAAATGTCCAATAAGATAGAAAGTAATCCAAGGGTTGGTTATCTTGTGGTCCTGGAGAGGCGCTGCCCCGCCCGGCTGATAGAATCATTCATGCCGATCCCTGATACGACGTAGATCGCCACTGGACTAAGAGCTGCCTTCCCACGCTAAATCTCGTCACCTGCAATGACGAAATGGCAACCATTTAAAGCAGCCGAAGACCAACTGACCTGAATCACATTCACATTCAATTTTACTTACATTCCCCCGAAAACAGAATAAAAAGGGTATGCAATTCCGTCCAGAATCACCAACGTCCCAATCTGTAGCCAATGCCACAGAGCCCACAGCTAACAATGTCTATCTGTAAATTCCTGAAGTCAAAGCTTCCCCGCAAATCCCGCACCATGTCGGCAACAAAGATCAAGGTCATTGCCAACCCTCACTACAAGAAGTCAGGTACAAAGTCGTACGTGCACCTGATGCGCAAGTATCGCTTCAACCCGACTCAACCTGGCCCATACTTCCTCGGCAATGCTATGCAGCAGACAGGCCGGCAGTACACCGATAAGGCTATCGGTGGACGCGTGCATATGCGTCAGGTGCTGCAGAAGAAGAGCGCCGATACCGACCAGGTAGGCGAGGTGGGCGCCGAGGACGTGCAGAATGATTCGATGTATCTTGCCCAAGTGGGTATTGGTAGCCCGGCCCAGAACCTGAATTTGGACTTTGATACGGGATCTGCCGATCTATGGGTAAGTTGATTATATTTTTGTTACATTCCCTTCTTATTTTTTCCCTGTTTCCCTTAGCTTTGTTGTGGAAAATGATTGGTTGTTAACTAGATTGGGTTAGGTTTGGTCGACTAACTTGCCGTCGGCAACCCTGTCCAAATACACCGACCATACTGTCTTTGACTCCAGCAAATCGAGCACTTTTAAGACCCAGACAGGCTCGACCTGGAAGATCTCTTACGGAGATGGATCTTCTGCCTCTGGTACTGTTGGTACCGACGATGTGAATATCGGTGGTGTGGTTGTGAAAAACCAGGCTATCGAGCTAGCAGACACCATGTCGGCCCAATTTGCAAGCGGGGCTGGTGATGGTCTGCTGGGTCTCGCATTCTCCAACATTAATACCGTGCAGCCAAAGTCTGTAGCCACTCCCGTGGAGAATATGATCACCCAGTCCGACATCCCGTCATCTGCTGAGCTGTTCACAGCTAAGCTGGGATCATGGCGTGATGCCGATGAGCCCGATAAGGGCGAATCGTTCTATACATTTGGCTACATTGACCAGGCTACCGTGACTGCTGCTGGTGCAGATATCACCTATACGCCTGTTGATAAGAGCCAGGGATTCTGGCTGTTTGATTCCACTTCTGCGACCGTGAATGGAAAGACCATCACTCGGTCTGGAAACACTGCCATTGCTGACACTGGTACTACTTTGGCTCTTGTGGATGATGCTACCTGCAAGGCCATCTATGATGCTATTGAAGGAGCTAAATATGATAGTGAAAGCCAGGGATACATTTATCCTTCCGATACTACCGTTGATAATCTGCCTGTTGTGTCGTTTGCTGTTGGCGACAAGCAATTTGCTGTGCAGAAGGAGGATTTGGGTTTCGTGGAGGCAAAGTCCGGATGGATCTATGGTGGTATCCAGAGCCGTGGCTCGATGGATATGGACATTCTGGGCGATACCTTCTTGAAGGGAATTTACGCCGTAAGTGACTATTTTCGTCGGATGTGATCAAAAGTGCTGACCCAGAGTCTGATAGGTTTTTGATGTCGGCAACACTCGATTCGGCGCGGTCCAGCGAAAGGAACTTAACCAGAACCTTGCTACTCCTTCGGAGTAAACTCATTGGTCACCCCTTCTCCAAGTAGCAATTAGGTCTTAGCAACATTGAAGGGACTAGAAGGGCGTGATAGCTATGAATAATGGTTTTTTTTCATCTTTTCGGTATTAGATCAATATTATCAACTATCTCTCTCTGAAATATTAGGTCGAGCTTTCATGTCCCAAAATTATTAGAAGTGTCTGGTTTTAATACTCATTTCCAAGGAGATGATTGGTACTGTATAGAAAAGAACCTACGACAACCCCGTGGATGATCGAAAGCGTTGTGGTTCCTTTAGCATACTCTTTCACCTAATTCGATCTCTGGGCATGCGGGAGTATCCGCAATCCTAACATTAAGGTTCGCAGATTAATAGAGGCAAGCAACAAATATGAAGCACCTGTGAACTTCATGAATAATACGTCGATGCTACAGTACTTCCGGAAATATGTGTAAGCGCTCAAACTCTTTCTCTCTTTATCAAGCCATAACGCCAAGTCCTACTACATAGACTGTATTAGGAGCAGCCGCCGGATATTCCGTGTTATTGATATAAAGTCTTATATCCAACATAATACATTCCGTCACGTTTCATCGTACGTGTAATGCAACTTAAATGACTAGGATACTAGAATACTAAAGAGACAGGAAGACCTTTCAGATAAACTCCAAAATCCACATTTCTTATGATGGCTATACAGAAGTTGAGATTCTGCGGTACAGTGCCCGTATACTAGAGCAATCGTTCTTTATTGATAACGTGCTGAAGACGACGAGCGGAAGAAGTATATTCAGTCAGATCAAGGTATACCAGTAGGTAAAAAAAACTGCGAGAAGCCCAACCAAAAGAATACAGAACATTGAGGTTGGGTCCAGAAGAGCCATTGGAAATCCAGCTATCATATTGGGTGCCGTAACTTTAGACGGCAGATAAACCATGGTATCAGGTGATGGGTCCTTCCCACTTCCAGAGGTATTGGGCGCAGAAAGCTCATCAACGAGTCTTCTCAACTTCTCTGACCTTGAATCAGTGAGTAGGGACTTCGGATCAAGCACTTGTGCCACTTGAAAGGTCTCATCCTTTTTATTTGGGTGTAATTGACTGTGGAAGGGATACTTCTGCACGCAGGACGAACAGAAATCCATATAGGCGCAGATTCTACACACAAATCGAGAGCCTTGAATAACCAATGAACAAAGGTCGCACGTAGTCATGTATCTTGAGGTGCCAAAGGAAAACTTCTGAGATGAATGCAGTTGAAATAGACATTGGGCATTGTCTTCGTCGCCGATGAACAATAGATAGCGACCTAATTGCTGCAAAAGTGGCAATGGAAAGTGCAATCGAGATTGAAGAAGCGTGTCTGATATTTGAAGAATGGATTGACGAACAGCGAACTCATGAGTATCATCAGGTGTCGCAACAATGGATGGGCAGTGGCTTTGGATTTGGTGCACTAGGCTTTCATTTCCGACTACCCAGTTCAGGGTATTTCTGCCATAACCATCCAGAAGAGAAGGATCGGCACCAGAATGGAGGAGATTTGTGGCAAATTCGATATGGTCGAGATAAATCGCTAGATGAATAGGAGTTTGTAAAAGCTTATCGCGGTTATTGATAGGGGAGAGGAGCTCCGGGAACCGGTGAAGAAGCTCCAACCTATTTTTTGAGGCGGCAATATGGAGAGGAGTCCGGTCAAGTTCATCTGTAAGCAACGCATTTGCGCCAGCGTGGAGAAGCATCCGAACTTGGTCAGACCCATCCTGATAAACAGCTGCTAAGAGAGATGATCCGTATCTACCACCCTGAGCGTTGACATTGGCGCCAGCGTCGAGGAGTATCTGCACAATCTCACTATTTCCTCTATATGCAGCAGCCTGGAGAGCATTGCCATATTCACCACCCGGAGCGTTGATATTGGCGCCAGCGTCGAGGAGTATCTGCACGATCTCACTATTTCCTCTATATGCAGCAGCCTGGAGAGCATTGCCATATTCACCACCCTGAGCGTTGATATTGGCGCCAGCATCGAGGAGTATCTGCACGATCTCACTATTTCCTCTATGTGTAGCAACCTGTAGAGCATTGTCATATTTACCACCCTGAGCGTTGATATTGGCGCCAGCGTCGAGGAGTATCTGCACGATCTCACTATTTCCTCTATATGCAGCAGCCTGGAGAGCATTGCCAAATTCACCATCCGGAGCGTTGATATTGGCGCCAGCGTCGAGGAGTATCTGCACGATCTCACTATTTCCTCTATATGCAGCAGCCTGTAGAGCATTGCCAAATTCACCACCCTGAGCGTTGATATTGGCGCCAGCGTCGAGGAGTATCTGCGTGATCTCACTATTCTCCACATATGCAGCAGCCTGGAGAGCATTGCCATATCTACCATCCTGAGCGTTGATATTGGCGCCAGCTTCGAGGAGTATCTGCACGATCTCACTTTCTCCTCTATATGCAGCAGCCTGTAGAGTATTGCCATATTTACCACCCGGAGCGTTGATATTGGCGCCAGCGTCGAGGAGTATCTGCACGATCTCACTATTTCCCTCATATGCAGCAGCCTGTAGAGCATTGCCATGTTCACCACCCGGAGCGTTGATATTGGCGCCAGCGTCGAGGAGTATCTGCACGATCTCACTGTTTCCTCTATATGCAGCAGCCTGGAGAGCATTGCCATATTTACCACCCTGAGCGTTGATATTGGCGCCAGCATCGAGGAGTATCTGCACGATCTCACTATTTCCTCTATGTGTAGCAGCCTGTAGAGCATTGCCATATTCACCACCCTGAGCGTTGATATTGGCGCCAGCATCGAGGAGTATCTGCACGATCTCACGATTTCCTCTATGTGTAGCAGCCTGGAGAGCATTGTCATATTCACCACCCTGAGCGTTGATATTGGCGCCAGCATCGAGGAGTATCTGCACGATCTCACTATTTCCCTCATATGCAGCAGCCTGTAGAGCATTGCCATATTCACCACCCGGAGCGTTGATATTGGCGCCAGCTTCGAGGAGTATCTGCACGATCTCACTATTTCCCTCATATGCAGCAGCCTGTAGAGCATTGCCATATTCACCACCCGGAGCGTTGATATTGGCGCCAGCGTCGAGGAGTATCTGCACGATCTCACTATTTCCCTCATATGCAGCAGCCTGTAGAGCATTGCCATATTCACCACCCGGAGTGTTGACATCGGCGCCAGCTCTAAGCAATATTTCAACAATGTTCCGATGTCCTTCTAATGAAGCTGCTTGTAGAGCACTTTCACCTTTACCCACTCTTGCTTCAAGCTTCACACCTTCCAGTAGTAGCCATTCGACAAAATCCGTATGCCCATAGCTAGCCGCCTCAGTCAGTGGTGTTTTCCCTTGACCATTCGTTAGATCACAATCCACTGCTTTCTCACGTAAAATCCTTCCCACTATCACATGACCGTATCGCGCTGCTAAATGGAAAGCTGTGTTTCCATTTGCGTCTTTTGTCGCGAGATCCTCGCTGTTCTCGCTGTCTAGAGACATACGCTCTATGATATCAACGAGATTTGCGGCTGCCGCCATATGAATGATTGTAGTTCCCTCCGGTGGGCAAGCTGGGTCATATTGGTCGAGGATCTGGTAAATCTGGACCCATCGGTCTAATACTTGCTGTAGGATATCTTGTTCATTCAGTAGTGTAAGGACACGACAGTAGGCGGCTTTTTCCGCATGAATAAAGAGGTTGGCAGTGGCATAAGCCAGTAAAGGGTTGTTCCGGATAAGGTCTCCTTTCTTCCCCTGTGAATCCCCTGAGATATCCCCACGTATAGGGAGTAAGGCCAGGTACACAAGACAAGATCGGTAGAGATTTGCCTGACATTGCAAAATGATCGTTTCTCTTTCTGGGACCGGACTGCTGGCGCCGATATTATCACTTAAAGCAGCTAGCCCTTTCGCGCGCAAGAAATCATTGACCGACTGATGTACCACCTGGACAATTTCGTTCGAAGCTCCGCTTGAGACGATTTCTGCTAGACCCCCAGAAAGGGCCTTGATCTTTCGCTTCATACGCTCGTCGCTTTCAACAAAGCCGTTGATCTTCTCCCATGTTTTTGGGGCACGCGTTATTTGGGCATTATTGCCTGCCAAGGCATACCGCATTTCTCTCACCGTTAGTGGACGCTCGGCTAGAGACACCCATTGAAACAGTAGAAAAGATTGCTCCAAGTTTCGCACCTCTATCACTTCGTTTAGAATATATTGATATATATCTTCCAGGCCGGCCGGGACCTTGCGTAACCAGCAATAGATGTCGTCGACTGATTCTCCTTCTAGAATCCTCTGCCGGGTTAGAGGTATGATGAGACGAGCCCATTGGAACACACCATTGGCTTGCTGGATCAGTTGTTTCACCAAAGTCTGTCTTATATCTTCGCTAGTGTCGTCTTTAACTTCTGTCTCAATAAGTGTATCATTGATATATGTAGCGATGTCTTCTCGATTATACTGTTCGATATGTATTTCCACAGCCTGGGCACCTCCTACGATAGGATAGTGTCGACATGAGATGCAGATTCGAATAGCAGCGTTCTTTGTTTCTGCTCGGTCAATAAGTCGATGGAAATACGCCGCAACTTGTTGAGCAGACTCAGCTCCGGCCTCATCTAGGGCATCGACAAACACTGTCACATGCTGTCGATTAGCGGATGCGAGGATGACACTAGCCAGTAACTCTTCTAGTACTAGTCGTGGCCATTCCCACTGACTTTCATGGTACCCAAACTGCCTACACCGTTGTTCATAGGCCTCGCGTATCTGAGGGCGTACGGTCGCATCGCGATCAAATACTTGATTCAGTAAAGATCTAAGCATACCTAATGGTGTACGCTGCATCTCCGTGCCTCGGGCAGTAAAGAAAAAGTCGAGCTGGATGCCCTGGCTATCGTTTTGTAAATTCTCGAGTTTGCCGTGTAAGAATGCCATCAATGTCGATTTGCCCGCACCCGGTTTGCCCTTAATCCATAGAAGACCGCGGGATTCTCTCTTCCAAGATTGGTACTTTTCCGAATCCAAAATCCATTGGCAGGTATTGGTATGACATGGTTCGATATTCTCTCTCCTGGCTAGCATCTGCGGAAATGCCAGGGATCTGACTATCTCTACTCTTATCGTCAGCGGTAATCTCTTTGACCGATACGGGGTGAAGCGAACCAATATCTACCCTCTGCTGTGGAGGTTCTGTTCGATCTGGCCCCAAAAGAGACTTTTAGTCAGCTAAACCGGCTTGAATAAGGCTACAAAATATGTACCGGACAGAACATTGATTGTTCCGTGATTGACCCCAAACTGAGGGGCTGAGCTGTTGTTACCAAACGAAATTTGATTCATAGTCAATAGGCGGTGCATACGATAATGGTGTTGGTGAAGACCCCAGCTCCCAGAAAGCGGGGTGATGGATCAATTCTCAATCAGGTGATCTTCAGCCCTTAAACTGATGCACTTTTCTTTAGAAGCGTTAGCTTCGGAGACTCACAGCGGCCAATGCCATTACAGGAGAATCTATCAAGTTATAAACCAGATGGTCCACGGTACTTGTTGTCAACCAGAATGCCCGTTCCCAAGGGGGTATTTAGGCGTGATGGTGGTTCCGGGATAGCAGTCCGGCTCTGACAGATATGAAACATGGGCCCGGACAATATAATAATGCGGGATTTCACGATAAAAGGCCTAGATTTACGATATTATTAGAGTATTGTAAAAATTGATTAGCTTGTCTTGGCACCTAGAAGAGAGAGTGTGTAGGTGGTGTCACCGATTCTCGGAAGTACTACATCATGACATATCAATAATGACCTTGCCAGTCTTTTCATATCCATTTTCGATGGCATTATCCAAAGTGACCATATCAAAGTCCTTCTCATCTTGAGCCTTCAACCACCCCCGATCAATCCAGTCGCCCATAAACCGTAACTGCTCTGCTAACTCCTCAACAGAAGGTGAGATTGAATTGCATCCAAGAAGCGATAATCCCTTGCGGTATGCCTGGAATATATCCAGTGAAATGCTCTTGTCAACATTCCCCCTAGGAGCTGCAATCCATGCAAATCGCCCATTATTTGCCAACTGTTCCATTGTGGCTGACATCAGCGCGGGATCTCCCACAGTATCGACGACCACATCCACCCCATTTCCATTGGTAAGAGCTGAGACTCTATCTTCAAGCAAGGCGGCAATGTCCTTAGTAGCCAAGAGAATATCAGGCTTTGAGTCGTCTCGTCTCGCTGCTGTCAATACTTGCTTCGCTCCCAATGCTTTGGCTATTTGTACGGCCGCAGATCCCACGGCTCCATTTGAGCCCAGCACAAGAACGATATCATTTGCGGTTACCTGTGCACGGCGAAGACACAGTAGCGCTGTGGTAAATGGGACACCAACGGTGGCAGCTTGGATGTGTGATAGAAGTGCGGGTTTCTCGACAAGTGCAGCACAGGGTATCAGGCAGTATTGGGCGTGGGTTCCATCGACTCCAAAGCCAAGAGTTGAGCCACTCGTTCCGTAGACACTTTTGCCTATCCAGAATTTGGTGTCATTGGTGTCTCCTGCAACATCAATCACCACGCCTGAGTAGTCGCGACCTGGGACTCGGGGATATGTGGTGTATGGGAAACCACCTTGAGCATTCATTCGATCAGATGGTTGGATTGAGGCATAACGTATTTGGACCAGTGCATAACCAGGTTTCGGGCGGGGGATCGGTAAGATTGCTTTCGCGAATGTTGGAGGTACACCCAAGTTGGCACGATTTAATTGAAGTGCTTTCATCGTAGTGGAACTCATTGTTCTGCATTCGATTGTCTTTGTCCTTCGAATTTGATCTGCTGTTTTGATTCGAGAGGCACGGCAGGGCTTGAATAAGCTGAAAATGGAATTATCAAGTTACCGACAAAAAAGTGTGGCACGCGAACCGTCTTATATAACCACATGTCTATCAATCACGAATTTTTCGATAACGACCTCGTGATTCATGGACATGTGACTTACTGATTCTATACTTCCCTTCCCATCTCGGCATGGGGTGTAAGATGATCGGGATGGGAGGCTCCCGAACGTGGGGACCGTGCGGGCCGTGCGGGCCACGCGGCAGATGCGGGATCCAAACTTATGGTCGAGATTTATCAATCAGTGACATGATGTCGATCCGACGGGAGTGATAGGATTTTCATCCAGTGATCAACTAGTGTGTCAAGTCCGAATTCCTTAAATTGAGCTTACGAAATGAATCCCCTTTTCTGATGTTGACTCTATACAATCAGCCATGATGCCAGGCGTGGCTATGGGCTTTGAAGGGCATGATATGAACCACGACGCAGGTAAGTGGCAACCGATAAAGTTCTGACAACTCGGTACTTGCCGAAGCTAATTCTGCAGCCAAGAAAATACGATTGCGACGGACAACAATATGGAGTTTGAACGACGTTCAATCGCACCGGATTCTCTCACGGATATCGACGAAAAACAAGATGCATCCCCCTATCCACCACCGAAAACTTTTCCACACGAACTGGCTTTCGTCATCGTTGTCTGCGCCGCCCAGCTCATGACACAAGCCGGTCTGGCATTATCGATTGCACCCCTGAAACAAATCAGCAACAGTTTTGACAGCACCCCGCAACAACTGACATGGGCTTCGTCAGCATACAGTCTGACAGTCGGGACATTCATCCTAGTGTCCGGAAGACTGGGTGACGTGTATGGCCACCGATTGATGTTCATCGTTGGTTTCATGTGGTTCGCACTCTGGTCTCTTCTGGCCGGTTTCTCCGTGTGGTCAAACTCCAGGTTCTTAGATTGCTGCCGTGCCTTCGCAGGCATTGGCCCTGCCAGTCTACTTCCCAATGCAGTCGCCATCTTGGGAAGAACATACCCACCCGGCAAGCGAAAGAGCATGGTGTTCTGTATGTTCGGAGCTGTGGCCCCAGGGGGGTTCATCATTGGCGCAACATTTTCGTCATTGATTGCTGAGAAGCTGTGGTGGCCCTGGGCATATTGGATTTGCGCAATTGCGTGTTGTATGTTTGCAGTCCTTGGATTCCTGGTGATTCCTCATATGCCACAAGAAAAGCCAAGGCCAGAACTCTCCACCCTTGCTCGACTGGACGGACTCGGGGCTACGCTCGGTATCTCGGGTATGATTCTGTTCAATTTTGCATGGAACTAGGCCGCCATTGTTGGATGGCAAGTTCCCTACATTTATGCACTTTTAGTTGTGGGAATTTTGATTATTGGGACTTTCCTTTATGTAGAAAGCAAGGCTGCGTATCCATTGCTGCCTCGTTCAGTCTTCAAGGGTGAGACTGGCTGGGTCCTTGGCTGTATATGTGCGGGCTGGTCCTCGTTTGGCGTTGTAGTAATCTACTACTACGCTATCATGACCAACATCGAACTAAACAGTGGGCTTCTTGTGACGGCCAAGTTTTCTGGTGTTGCCGTTTCAGGTGCCATCGCGGCTGTGGTTACTGGACTACTTCTCGGATACCTTCCAGCCTGCGTAATAATGTTCATCGCCATGGTGGCTTTCGCAGCAGGCCAGGCGTTATTGGTTTCGCTGCCCATAGGCCAGATTTACTGGGCCAACGCCTTCTTGATCGCAATTATCACACCTTGGGGAATGTAAGAAACACCTGAAACCTTGAGCACAGATCGACTCCTGCTAACTTGAGAACAGGGATATGTCCTTCCCGTCCGGTATCTTGATTTTGAGTAACGCCATGCCAGCGGAAGACCAAGGTGTTGCCGGTTCGCTCGTGACCACGGCTGTGAACTACTCGATTTCCTTGGGATTGGGCGTTGCTGGAGTGGTGGAGAGCTACGTCAATGACAATGGCCAAGACGTCCTCAAAGGATATCGTGGAGCCTCATATATGGGTCTTGGCTTTGCTGGGTTGGGTGTCATGGTTGCGACCAGTTTTATGATTGTGACTTGGAAGAGGTCATCCAAGAAAAGCCTGTAACTTGCACATTTTAGCCCACAAGGGCCGTAATCGAATAATCGAGTCACGTTCCCACCGATTAGAAGGGAATTTGAAAATCCATGGCCCATAGATAATCTAAATCAATAGGAAGCTGAGCCGCCAATGATGGGCTGAGTGACGCAATGTCCTGTAAAAGCTGACCCTCTGTTCCTGGGGCGGTCGTTTCAGGTGAAGTTGTTCCGACGATTCGTTCAAGCGCTTCCATGCCCTTGCGCTTCTTGTCCAAAGATGCCTTGACAAGCTGCCGAGCTGTGGAGAGTGCCTCCTTGGCCAAATGTGTATTGAAGCGGTCGACAATAAGTTCCAGGGTGTCCATTGTCTCCGAGAGCTTTTGACAGCTTACGACCGTGTCCATAACAAGCAAAGAACACGCGAACTGAAATACGGTACCCACAACATTCCACCACGGCTGGTCTTGACTGGCAAGTCTTCGTGCTGCAGACAGGGCGGCCGTTCCAGCTGCAATCACACGGTCATTCTGTCCCTGCCGAAGGCTTGGATCCATGACGCGGAGACGACGGTAGATTCCCAGAGCAAGATCTGCCCGTAGTAGTATGAGAAAATCATGGTCGACAGTTGTATCCCCGAGTTTTTCTAAGGCGGAGAGTAATTCCTGTATGAGAACCTCTAAATCATCCGTGTTCTGGTTCGTGGGTATAGCTGCAACGAGACTGCATAGCTGCGACGTGAAATCCCCTCCTCTAGATGTCGAATTCGAGGTTTCAAGTATTTGGCGATTAAATGTCATAATAGATCTGCCATACTCGAATGCAATGAGGACATGGACACAGTTGGCAACTTGTGCTGTTCGGTTGATGATATCTGATGTCTCCGGATTTGGAGCAACGTTGCCAATGGCCTGCATTATAAATTCGGGCGCATGATGTAAACCCGCCGCTTCAACGAGATGCATAATGGTACAGCTGCAAAGCCAAGCCACATGAGGTCGCCCTGTGGATCGAATGTAAATTGTTCGTAGTATCCATGCAGCAATGATTTCGAGAGTAGGAAAACGACTGATCACATCATCTTCAAGGATTGCCTTTGCGTGTGATATTATCCATAATTCGGTGTCCTGGTCCAAAGAATCATTAAACAAAGATGCTACTCCGAGAATCCCACAGATCAAAGCTTCGAAAGCCATGTCTTGGGGCTGTCCGTGCCAATGTTTCTCACAGAGCACATAGATTCGACCCATATCTAGGAACCCAAAGACCGGGTGAATAATGGCAGTATATATATCGATGAGACTTCTTGCTGTGTTCCATGGGATCTCCCCAGCGATCTTATGGGAAACTGCACAGGCTGGTTCCTTGCGAACCCCTGTATGGTAGGCGAATGAGTGCAGTCGTGGAAGTTTGGTCGCCTGGACTTCCAAGCCAACATAGAGTGGAAATGCAACGCATGAGTATCTTCCAACATAACGCGGTTTTGACGGTTCAATGACCCCAGGTAGAATGGATGAATCAGTGGTTCTTTTTGAGATAGCCGATGGATGCGTCAATCTTGCCATTTTCGTGGATGGCTGGGATAATGATCCATTCAAAGGAGCGGGACGTTTGAACGATGTTGATGAAGCCATAGTATCATATTCGCATTCATAACCATATCCTTCGCAGACATTGCAAGGTATTTTGCCATCGCATTTCCTCTTGCGTCGACGACAAGGTAGACAGGCTTGCCTAGAGCGTTGTCGCACTGGCCCCGGGGCTATTGATGTCTCTGATGGGCCCGAGTTAAGGGGCGACTGGGATGACATCATAGATATCTAGTTTTCGCCAGTTTCAAGGTTGGAGTTACTGGGATGCCAATGGCAAATGTTCTTGATGTTGATACTGCCCCCTTTTGTGAAGCCAACGATAGTGTCTTCCTTCAAACCTCGGATATGGATCAATACTAGGAGCTTCCTAGTATCTTGAATCTTAGGTGAATAATCTCAAAAGCAGAAAAGTATTTGTTGCGCTGATTCCAAGGCTGTCAAAAAGCGACGACGTCCTACACCAGACGTCTGTGGATGTAGGGATAAGCTGTGCCAAGGAAATGATCATTGGTGCCTGATTAACCAGGCACCAAACATGGTAGGAGCAAAGTAGGTGGACTGCGAGTTTAATTCATGCATCCATGACCACAAAGCAATGAGACAGGTGAGGGGAATTTTTCATTATTTACATGCATATAGATCTGTATATTGTACACCAGTCCATGGACGTCATGAGTAGTGAAGACATTGAATAGTCCGATTTTACACTCGCAGCCGATAAGACCGATAAGATAAGACTGGGGGATATTTACTCCGGCCCTCCGGGCTCGGCATCGCGCGTCACTGACGCGCCAAGTTGATGTATCACCTGCCATTTTTGAGATTCTTTGTTCTTTTACTTAATACAAAGGCTGCTTCTTCCATACCTCTATTTCCCCTCTAAACTCGTTCATTCCTCCTACTAAGTGTTTGAGTTGGGATACCCTCACCGAAGACTAAATTTGCCCCAGATTATCTTCTATGCGCCTACAAGTCTCAATTTCCCCATGCTCACTTACTGATACATTCATCTCGGGACACTGAGTGACCGCAAAGACATGTCTCAGGAAACGGGCTCTGAGTCCGACTCTGAGGACGCTGATGCGATCGTGGCCCAGTTATTGAACCAATTTCAAGGTTCTACCACTCGCAATAACGACTCGAACAAACCTCAAGACCAAACCCCAGAGGAGAAGCATGAAGCCCACCAGCCACAACAGCTTAGAGCTATGCAATCTTCTATGGAGATCGTGGTGCCGACTGTTGATCATGAAAAAGACTATGAGTATCTGCCAGGCCATTTCTCCGTGCGCCGGATTTTGGAATTAAATTCAGAAAACCCCAAAAAACCCTCATACACTGTGAGACTTCAGAGTGGAGAGCAACAAACAGTAAGAGCGGCAATTCATGGTTTTTTCTGATAGATAACCATCTTCTAACCTCGCAACTGTCTCCAGATGACCTATGACCGATTCATGCAGCTAGAAAACAGTGTTCTAGCTTTAGATCAGTTCAATCCGGATTCAGATTCTAGCGACGATTTAGCAGTGACTCAAAGCAATGGCCGAGAGCAGCGTCTGCGCGCCATGTTCTCTGGAGATGGCGCGGCATCGGAAGAATCCGACCCAGATTTTTCACGACCTGGCACGCGCCGAGCTCGTCGCCATGCTAAACACTCTCAATATTTCGATATCGAGACTGCAAGTGAGCGTCAAAAGCTCTCAGCTGCTTCAGAAAGCTCGGACGACGAGCTCAATGCTCGTGCCTCTACTAGGCTGCGACGGCGAGCTCAAAAGGCGCAAACCAATTTTTCTTCAAAAAAACAAGCAGACTCCGACAGAGGTACACGCAGGTCGAATCGGGAAAGAAAGACCATTCGAAAAACCATGGAAGAACGCCTTGAAGATGACCTTTCAGAAGCCGAGACTAAGGGCCCAAGCCGACCGAAATACACTGGGGCCAGAGAGATCTTTGTTGAACTCAGTCGTGATGACGATTTCAGAAATAGACATTTTGGATGCTGCTCTACCTGCAATTGGTTTGAAAATGATGAAGAGAGAGGAATCCTTGTATTTTGCCAAGGTTGCAGCTCATCATACCATCAATCTTGCCTCGGACCCCGTGGCAGTCGAGAGCATCTGGTCACCAAGATTGACGAAGGAAATTTTATCCTCCAATGCCGCCGCTGTCTTGGCAGTTCTCATGACAAACATGACATTCGCCCTCATCTCGGCCATTGTGCTGTGTGTAGGAAGGAAGGTCCAATGTCCAAACCCCTTCGAGGGCGTCTCACCGCCAAGGAAGAACAACAATTACGCATAGCGAACGGGGGTACGGACCCGATCACTCACATTGATATGACTCTAGTTAACAATGTCAACAATGTGTTATTCCGATGCACTACTTGCCACCGAGGATTCCACGCTGAACATCTCCCCCAAATCGACGGCAATGATAAAGCTGACCAAATGGACCCTTTCAGTGAATACAAGCACTGGCAATGCCATGATTGTTCTTCTACACCGGCTGAAATAGAGGTCCTTGTGGCTTGGCGTCCTTTTGAATCCAAATTTGCGGAGGGAAAGTCATCTCTCCTGCCCGAGCTTATTCCAGAAGTCGACAAGGAGTATCTCATCAAATGGAAAACAAAGTCATATTTCCGCGCAACTTGGATGCCTGGGGACTGGGTGTGGGGAGTCAGCAGTCCCGCTATGCTGCGGGCTTTTTACAATACCCCTCGAAAACCAATCTTCACAACAAAAGACGCGATCCCCGAAGAAAATCTACGGGTAGACATCGTGTTCAATGTTTCATGGGTATCGGAAATTGAACCTGATGAAAAGATACCCGAGCTGATTGAAGAGGCATACGTCAAGTACAAGGGATTGAATTACGAAGATGCAGTCTGGGAGGTACCTCCTAAGTCAGAGGAGACCGAGCGATGGGAAGACTTTAAGGCAGCCTTCGAAGATTGGTTGCGCCGAGATACGATCCAGCCTATTGACCGCAGAGAGCTCAAACATCATCTCACAGCTATCCGCCAATTGAATTTTGAGAATGAGTTAGTACTGGAAGCTCAACCAAAAATGATCACTAATGGTCAGCTCATGGAATATCAACTCGAGGGCGTGAACTGGCTTTATTACATGCATCTTCAACAAAGGAATGCCATTTTAGCAGATGATATGGGCCTCGGAAAGACAGTTCAGGTCATCGGTCTATTTGCGACCCTCATTCAGAAGCATACGTGTTGGCCGTTCTTGGTAGTTGCCCCGAATTCCACGGTTCCTAATTGGCGACGTGAGATCAAGTCATGGGCACCGCACATTCAAGTTGTGACGTACTTCGGGTCCGCATATGCGCGCCAAATGGCTCGTGAGCATGAGATGTTCCCAGAAGGTGGCAAGCATCTCTGCTGCCATGTGGTCATTGCTTCATATGAGAGCATGATTGATGACGAAGCGAAAAAGGTGCTGTCCAAAGTTCACTGGGCAGGTTTGGTGGTCGATGAGGGCCAGCGCCTAAAAAATGATAAATCTCAGCTTTATGAGCGACTTGCGCGCATGAAGTTTGATTTCAAAGTTCTTCTCACTGGCACTCCTCTTCAGAACAATATCCGGGAGTTGTTCAACCTCATCCAATTCCTTAATCCAAAGACAAAAGCCGACAGTTTGGAAGAAGAGTATGGTAAACTCACTTCAGAAAATATCCGAGCACTTCATAAAATGATTAGTCCGTTTTTCCTCCGTCGCACCAAAGCTGAGGTTTTGCCATTCCTACCGCCGATGGTGCAAATCATTGTACCTGTCTCCATGTCTTTTGTACAGAAGAAGTTGTACAAGTCAATTTTGGGAAAGAACCCTGAACTGATAAAAGCCATTTGCACAACCCATGCCAGTCAGCTAAAGAAACACGAAAAGCACAACTTGAACAACATTCTCATGCAACTCAGAAAATGTCTATGTCACCCATTTGTTTACAGTCGAGAAATTGAGGAAGTCACAGACAATGCCAGTCAAGCCCATGAGCGCTTGGTGGAGGCTTCTGGCAAATTTCAGTTACTGAACCTGATGTTGCCAAAGCTGCATGAGCGCGGTCACCGTGTGTTGATTTTCAGCCAATTTCTTGAAAATTTGGATCTTGTTGAAGATTTCCTCTCCGGGCTCGAGCTGCGCTACTGCCGTCTGGATGGAAGATTGGTGGCTAGGGAGAAGCAGAAGCAAATTGACCAGTTTAATGCGCCTGGATCCCCCTACTTCGCCTTTCTTCTATCGACTCGGTCTGGTGGTGTTGGCATCAACCTCGCGACCGCTGACACTGTCATAATCATGGACCCCGATTTCAATCCTAAACAAGATATGCAAGCCTTGTCCCGTGCTCATCGAATCGGCCAGAAAAATATCGTCCTTGTCTACCACCTTACAACACGAGCATCCGTGGAGGAAAAGATTATGGAAAAGGGCAAGAAAAAATTGGCCCTTGACCATGTTCTCATTGAGCGCATGGACGACATGGAAGATGAAGAAGACTTAGAGTCTATTTTGCGTCATGGTGCCCAGGCTTTGTTCGAAAATGACGATTCAGCCGATGTTAGTTATGACGAAAAAGCTATCGATAACCTCTTAGACCGAAGCCAAGTCGAAAAGGCCGAGGAGGCAAAGAAAATGGACAAAGGTGCCAAAGATGGAGACGCTAATTCACAATTTAACTTTGCTCGTGTCTGGCAAAAGGAGGGTGGCACTTTGGATGAAGTGACCGAGAGTAAAGATTTACCTATGGATGAGGACTTCTGGGCCAAGATTTTGAAAGAGCGTGAGCACCATGCTAACGAGGAGACTTCTCGCAAAGCCGAAGGGTTTGGTCGTGGGAAACGAAAGCGAGCTCAAGTTAACTACCAGACCCCACAGGAAGAGGCCAACGACCTTGATGGTGCAAATTCGACAGTAGTGTCTCCGGTCAAAAAGCGCAAGAGCAAGGCGGGCAGTGAGAGCGACGGCGATTTTGAGCAGAAAGGCAACGTTGAAGAATCCGATTCTGCTGAAGATACAGCCGGAGATGCTGGTGATGTAGATATTGATATTGAGCCTCTCCGCTTGAAAAAGTCTCGTCCATTTAAGCGTGTTCACGTTTCTGTGGCCACCCCAGCCTTGGGCGGCCTTGACGGCACTTCGGATTTGGATTCGATTGCGCCTTGCATCGCATGCAAACAACGGCATGGGCTTGGTCACTGTCCCTTAAAAGAGGCTGGCGTCGAACACTGTCCGCTCTGCGGCCTTGCACATCTCGGAGGACGGCGAGCTTGTCCTCATTTTCATTCCAAAGTCCAGATTAAGCGTATGCTAGATGCATTGTCTCAAAGTGAAGAGTCTCCCAGTCTTGTTTCTGCAGCCAAAAAATATCTGCGGGGAGTCCTCGGCCACTTAGCACACGCCGAGCGCAGACAGCCTGCGAAACAGTCTGATCAAATTTCGTCCAGCCAAATCCGTGCTTCGCAAGCACCTGCTACTGCACCTCAGCCTACTCCCACCTCGCAGTTTGATCTGTTCAGATCAACAACCAATGCCACCCACTCGAACACCAGCATGGCCCAGTCTCCTTCCCTTGGTAAGGTCGCGCATCAGCCACACAGAAAGTCTTTTCAACGGGCTGATATATCTAATCCCGCAAACCATACCACGAGCTTGAGGACTAGTACAGCTGGCCCTGTTGTTGGTAGCTTCACGCATCAGCACGTGACGCGGCCGCAATACAGAAACACAGTGCAGCCTAGCCTACTTGGAACCTCGCGGAACATGCCCTTGAGCCAGGGCACTGTGGCCCAGCACCCTCACACATCCAACGACATGGATGTCGTTGATTTGACTGGACCCGATGAGCTGGGAAGCTCCTCTTCATATCCTTTCGTTTCTCCCTATCTCAACAGTCATGGACACCCATCGATTCACTAGCATCTGCCCGCTGCTACTTTTGTTACCCAGGGACATTTGTGTTATGTTTCCCTTTTTTGTTCTTGATTTTCTTTTTTTGCGCAGTCGATATCACCTTTTATTTCTCCTCAAGCGAAGCATGAAATGAATGGTGTGCATAGAATTTCGAATCTGTTCTATGGATTAATCATGGATATGGCGAAAAAAGGGGGCGTGCATGGATATTTCCAGTTTGATGCTCATTGATTGAACGTGATACCCCAATTTGATGGTTTTTTTAAGACAATAATCTCAGCGTGATATTACTGGCTTTGCGTTGAGATATCCCATCCATAACGTATCCCCAAGTTAGCTTCTCCGTATCCCTCACTTTTCTACGGTAGCTTCGAATTTCTTTAGCATCTGATTGATCCATTCAAGCCGCACGAAGGAATAGTCGATGGATTATATAATGAAGAAAATCGATTTCTTCAAATATTCGGTGCCAAATGTATTGTAGAGCGTCATCTGCATAATATAACGCTGTAGAGGTTCATGAAATCTCTGTCTCCGTATCATGACGTTGGTATATGTCAGGACAGCGGTTGCCGGGGCGTAACATTGAGAAATATTAGGGCCCATACAAGTCACGAGACCCGCTGCCCAACGTCAGTTGTCTACTGACCACGACGATCCATCAACAATCACCAGATATGTAGCTTCAATGGGGGTTGTAGAATTTTTATTTTTATATTTGTCAAGGACTGTGTATTTCCTGTTTTCTGGTGTCCATAGCATGAGCAGATGATCTCCACCATCGTCCAGCTCCTGTCGATCTCGCCAAGGCAGTTTCAGGGAGGACAGATAGCCCAGGCTTCGTTGGTAAGGTGGAGCGATATAATTTCTATTACCTAGGGAACGTTCATCGGTTAGCACGGAGCATTGAGAAGGTGATTGTTCAGGGACGTAATTTTTGCTTGGGGGGGTTATCATTATTCCTGACCAATGGTTTACCCCAATCAAGCACTTGGAGCTTGCTGGTGTTTGAGCAGAGTGTTTGCTAGATACAACACATTTTCTGACCAAGGAGGAAGTACCGATTTTATTGAAGGGAGTGTGTCATCAGGTTTGGGTCTTAATATCAACGGGGCCCCTGGTTTCTGCCATGGAAGCTAGTGGAGAAGGTTGAAATTTTAACAAGACGATAGCTGCGACTAGCCTTGTTGTACATAAATGACTGTAAGATTATTAATTCATGTTGAAGGAACGTTGTGTTTTATTTTCATGGTTTCTTCATTGTTATGGTTAAAAGATCTATTCATAATGACATGTTCCGTGCAGGACTTTTTTTGATGTATGGGGGAGGGCCCGAACTTCCAACTACTCTTGCTCTATGCTCATTGCACACAGAGATCATTGTTTTGAAAATTGTCATTGCGCATAACCTGATTCAGAAGGTGAGGTATTAGAGATGCCATGAGGAAATGCAGACAGAAAATGCAGAGTTTTCTGGCGCGTCAAAATAATACGCGAAATAACTGAACTTCATTCACGATAACTTCAAAGTAAGAGAACGGTTTCTGTACTATAAAAGCCCCTCATTTCGCTTCCCTCCTTCAACCCTCTTCCTTCGTTAACCTCTTCCTTGCCTTTTTTTCTTTTTTTCATTTTCATTACCTTTCCTGTTTCCCACTTTTGATTCCTGTATGAAGCTTTATAGCTTCTTGCTCTCTGTGATCGTATCGTTCCTTGCTTTCTGTTTCGCGTCTTTGGACCTTGAATACTTGAACCGTGGTCAGAACCTTCACTTCGCGTTCAAGATGACGGGTCCCGTCTTTTTCTGCGCGCGTCCTGGGGGAGGATTGACTCCGATGGTCCCCCTCGATGAGCTCCCCCCTACCATCTCTATCCGAGGTGTTCCTCGTACTATCTCCCCAGCTGATACCCAGGGAATGACGAGTTGTGGCATGGCCCGCCCTCGTGCTGAGCCATGGGCTGTTGAGGGAACTCCCATTGTGGCCGCCTCGAATCAGAATGATTTAATCGAGCTCAAGTCGGTTCTCATCAAAATAATCAGCGACAACTCTTTGCCCCTTCACCATCGGGGCATCATTCAGAACGCCATGAATCGCTGCTCGCTTCGAACCATTCCCGTTATTGAGGTAACCGGCCCAACTACCCAAGCTGCCGCTGTACCTGTTTCTACAAACCAGGGCACCAGTCTCTCTGGGAATGACCAGGTAAGCACATTGTCTTTCGTCAAATTCAACGTCACACTAACCCTCATGATAAAAGCCTGCTCCCATCCGTCGTGATCAGGATCAAGGTCCTAACCGTAAGAAGTACTGTTCATACTGGATCCGCCATGGCGAGTGCGACTATCTCCAGCAGGGTCAGTATCAGCCCCTCCTTCACGATTATATATACCCACAACTCCACAGACACATAAACTAACACTTTCAAATACAGGATGCATGTTCAAGCATGAAATGCCCCTGGAGCCTCGCCTCATCGAGGAATTGGGTCTTCGCGATATCCCGAGATGGTATCGTGAGAAGTTCAACGTTGCCAGCTTACTTCACGCAACTTATCAGCGGCCACAGGGCCAGCTCAGCACTGTTGATCGGCTCCACCAAAAGGCCATTGAGTTCAATGAAGCTTCAGCTGCGCCTCACGATCGTGGCAGCAATGCAGAAAATGCCAATCACCGTATCAACAACAACGGTCGATTCAAGACTCCTCGTGGTGCTCAAAATGGAAAAGCCCGCGGCAATGGTCGTACCCACAATGGTAACCGCAACATGAACCAGGCTGCCAATGCCATGCACAATACCAACGGCATGAGCCAGATGCACACTGAGACTACTAATGGCATGGGTCAGATGCACAATGTGCCTCGCAATATGACCCCGGACAACAGTACTAGTCCCGACAGTGTTATCAGCCACCTTTCCATGAAGACAGGTGCTCCCGATGATCTGAAGAAGACCACTATGATGAATAGTGTGTCAACCAACCCGGCCATCATTCCTGTCACGTCAGTTGCGCCTCCCACTCGCTTTGGGGCTGGGCCACTGGGATTTCATGGCTATCCGGTTCCCCACCGCGTGGAGAACAACAGCATGCGTCATGCTGCGTCCCTGTCAGGCCGCGGATCGATCAAGCCCCAAATGAACTATCTGGATGAAGACACTTCCAGTGACTCGGTCAACACCTGCAAATCCTCTAAAGCTGCCGGAATGCCGAAGATCCCTGATGTGTTTTGTCGTCGGCAGTCTCGCCGTATGTATGATTTCGGCTGCGACGGTGATGTGAAGAAGAAGTTGGGCGCGAACCCCGATGTTCTCACACCTATCGAGGAGACTGTCGAGTCCGACGTTGATGATACCGATGTACTTGAGCCTCTGCAGTTCAAGTCTGATATTCTCGAGGCTGGCGTTTTCCAATATGATGAGTGCCAATCTGTCCCGGTTCTTTCTACCATGGGAGCACTCCTCAAGAAGCTCCTCTCGAATTCCGAGGAAATTGACCCTCACCGGGTCCTTTTCAACTTCGGACCCATTGGTGAGGATGTAATTATTCCACCCAAGAGACAGTGCCCCAAGACTGGTACACTGATTGACACCAAAAATGTCGATGTCACTCCGGTCCCCGCGATGTACAAATTTGGCCAAAATGCCATGTACGACCGTTTCAACAAACAATAGTTACGACTGAAGATAGTATGTTCGAACAGGCTTCTTGCCGATTGAACATAGGTGTCACGATAAGGCAGAATGTCTCATTCTTATTCGAGCCCTCGTGTGTATTGCAATCTTTGGTCCGTGTTGTTTTGTTTCCTCTTTCGATCCTTGCTCTCGAATTCATGATGGTATTCACTCTATGTTTGCCTTTATGCTGTACCACCATGAAGTTCAGCCGCAACAATTTGACAACCTTTTGGGAGCTGGTTGGCTTTTACGAGTATCGCATGAGGATTGTCGCAAGGATAGTTCTCGCTATTTGCTCTCCAATGGTTCCACGATCTCAACAGTGATTTATGAACGACTTTCATGGTGATTCCCCATCTCTTTTGAATGATTTCAAACAATTTGACAGCGATCTACGAGCGACTGCTGTGATTATGGTGATTCCCCATTTCGTTTCTGCTCTGTTGTCTCTATCTTTTTCACGGTGTTCTATTTGCTTTTTTGCTTTCTTTTTATCTGCATTTACCCCTGTGCCCATTTCCCTTATTATTTTTTTCATTTCATGTTCACCGGTACTTTGTTGGCTGCATTTTATGTGGCCTGGGACCCATCTGGGACCCGAAGCTTTGTGACCGAGTTTCCGAATTTCTTATGTTTCGTGAATTTCTTTTGTTGTGTGTCCGCTTCTACTCCCTCTACCTGCCTGAGCCTTGGATTATTCCGAGGTTCTTTGCCGCGGGCCTCTTTCGTGGAGAGTGATTAAGTTCACAGGGGTTTAGTGCTATGGACTGCGAGATGTTGAGATCGAGATTGCATCGAGACACCCCTGCTGTGTTCTGCTTTTCGACTAATTTCCTCCAGTCATCGCTGTCACATCTTTTGCTTTTAAATTTATTCAGACAAATCTCTCTTCCTTATAAATTGTAGATAGTAGAGTGTAGATTAGTAGAGACTTGAAGCTCGGCCCGAGTCTGACGGTTCTTAGGGCTTGGCTACCGGATGCGTGGCTGTCAAAGATTAGAGATCAACAACTTAATCTACAGAATCAAGTGGGAGCGAGACACCAATAAATTTGGAAAAACAAAATGGCTATAGTACATCTAGAAAACATGAAGCCTGATAGGACTTTGAGAAATATGCGCCCGCGCCTCGCGAATGGGTTTATCCAACCAACACACCAGAGAAAGAGATCACGCCGCAAAGAAATGTACAGTGTCCACAGACACCTCACCGACGAAGCGGCTTCTTCGCACGACCCCCAACGTGAACAGCAACACGCTCCCGCTCTGCAGTAGCCTTGGCCTTTAGTGCGGGGTTGAATTCAGGAAGGGAAAGAACAGCATGTCCAACGATCTGGTTACCATCCACAATAGCCTCACGCTGCTTCTCAGCATTGTAGCGCTCCTCCCGTCGAGCGGCGAGCTGCCTCCGGCGCTCGTCGGTCATCTTCCAGGACTCAGGGAACTGGGGGCGGACCTTTGGCTTGTGGTGGCGAAGGTCAAGAGGGATATCGGCGAAAGCATCACCGGTCTTGGCCTCTTTAATGAGGGAGTTTACGAGGTCGGCGAGGTAACGCTTGTTTTGGGCGCGGGAGCCGAATTGTTCAGAGGACATGCGCACAATATCGGTTTGAGGGTTGTAGCGGGTGCCGACCAGCTTGAGGAAGGTTTGGCGCTGGGCTTCGGTCAAGTGCTTGGGTGTCAGGTCCTTAGAGGCAAGCTCAACGACGACCTTCGGTTCGGCAGGGTGCTGTTCACCCATGTAGGTAGTGTAACGGAAGCGGAGGATGTGGTTTTGGGGCGGCAGGGTGAAAGGGCTTGCGAGTTCTGCCGGAACAATTAGCAAACTACGGACAGCCACGAAGTATAAAATAATCAATCGTACTGCTGAGCATTGGCATGTCCCACGCCGCAATGCGAGCATATTCTCTCATCTCACGGTGCACCTCCATCGAGGCATGGGCCATGGAGGTAATTTCATCGTCATTGATTTCCTCGTCACCGTCTTCAACCAAGGCCAACTCGTCATCTTCATCCTCAGCCCAGAAGCCACGAGACTTGGTTCGGATATCCTCGAATCGCAGGTCCTCCTCCCTGTCGATCTGGTTTGACATCTTCTCAAGCTCCGCAAACACTGCGGTACGCTTGGAAACATCGTTGAAGTCGGCAACAATGCGGCGGTTCTCAGAGTCAAAAGCTGCGCGATCCTCCGGAGACATTAAATCATACATAGAGCGGGCTTCCTTGGAAAGGGATTCGGGGGAGTACTCGGGCATTGGCGGCAGGTCGGCTGGCTGCACGTCCTTGGGCGGAGGAGGAAGAACCGGGTCTTCGGAGACAGATCTGTACGGGGAAACTGAGAATTGGCGGGTATAGATCCATCCTGAGCCCCGCTGGGACAGGAGTCGAGTAGACCGTCCCAATGACCGTGTAGCTGAAGCCATTGTGGCGAGTGTAGACAGGAGGCTAGACGGCTATCTGCTTGTCGATGTTTTCCATCTCCAAGTCCGCTCCACGCTAAACCTTGCCGGGTTTGGATCACGTGATGTAGAACCAGTTCCAGATGGGCATAATCACGTGATGTAGATGTTATCGATAAGCTTCGGAGCCGATAAGCCGATAAGCCGATAAGTCGTGGATGATACAATGTTTAGACATTCAGACAGTTTCATCAATCCCAACCTCTTCCTCAGACTCACATTCTCATTGTGTAACTTCATCCTACCCTTCTTTATCGTATTCCTTACTTATGGTCATGAAAGTCTGCTTCGTGACTGTGGGGGCCACGGCGGCTTTTCCTGAACTCATCGCCGCAGTCGCCAACGAGCAGTTCTTTAAGCTGCTTGCTGAGAAGAGCTTCACTCATCTCTTTGTCCAATATGGAGCTCACGGACGTGAACAATTTGACTCATGCCTAGATGGGCATTACCCAGGCGATGCATTCTTCCATGGTATCGATGTGACAGGTTTTGACTTCCAGAAGGACCTGAGTGACTATATGGGCATGGCCATGGAGAAAAAGCCCTACAGTAGACCTCATCAACACCAGGAGCTTGGTCTGATGATCAGCCATGCTGGTAAGTGACCAACTCTCTGACTGCATCTTCGTGATTGTGGGGACTGTTCAAGGCCTGGAAATTGACGCAGATTAGGCACTGGAACAATCCTTGAGGGTCTGCGCTGTGGTTTACCGCTGATCATTGTGCCAAATCCCAAGCTGGCTGACAACCATCAGGAGGAACTAGCGATCCAAATGGAAACCCTTGGATATGGCGTTATGGCCCGGGCAGAGTGAGAACCCTCTGTAGATATACCCTGATCATTCATTTTCGTTAACCATGCACTAGAGATGTTATGTCGGCCATCGATAAAGCCACTGATCAACGTGTGAAGAGGTTCTCACCCATGAAGATTGAGAGCGCGGACAACATTATGCTTTCCTTGCATGACCAGCTCCAATATGTCGATTAAGCGTCCATCACACTCTTTGTCTGCAATAGGCGTTGTATGCATGTTTGTAGATTGCCCTACGATCAAAGCAACGCTTGGGCTTGGAGCTTTAGGGCTGTACCATGCGCTACAAGCTCTTTTCTGCAAATTCTTGTATTTAGCTAGGCGTTCATTGGTATGCGGGCGTTGCTTATGTCTGAAGTTGTGTTGTGCTGAATATGAATCCTCAAAAGATCCGGCAAACAATCTGGTGGTTTCATTCATTTTCTTTCAATCAAAAGTTACAAATTCACTTTTCTTGAAGAGATCAGCTCATGCGATTACTCTTGGTGGCACTCAAGTAAGCTTAAACTTGGCATTGGAACTATTCTCGAATACTTGAGTATACATCGAACCATGTCCAAATCGCGACGCAAATTAATGAATGTAGAATATTTTCAACCCAATTCTCTTTTTCTTCAGATATGAGCATCAAATACATTTTATACTAAAGTATAGAGTATATCGATTGAAGAAAATATTTACTAGCTTGGATGATTCATGTTGGGTTCTCAAGATCCGAGTGGATGTGTCTGCGGCGCCACCATTGGCCCAAGCTTCTTGTTGACAACTCCCCGACGCGAAAACATCCTTACCCCCTCGACGAGGTGAACCCCAGTTGACGACTATTACAATCATCCATGCCCTCTTGTCTTGGACATTGCTCTTAAACCCTCTGAGCTGCCGATCATAGGCCTTGGGGCCGTCTCATCACTCTCGCGCCTCAACCCCCGAACCTCCCCCGTTCACCACCCAACCCCCCGCAATGGCTGAGGCCACCCTACACAACGTGCCAATTGTCATTGACAACGGCAGTGGCACCATCCGAGCCGGCTTTGCAGGAGAGGAGATCCCATCATGTTACTTCCCCTCATTTGTCGGTCGTCCCAAACACCCGCGGGTCATGGCTGGCGGCCTCGAAGGCGACTCATTTATCGGGCAGCGCGCACAGGATCTCCGCGGCTTGTTGAAGATCCGGTATCCGCTCGAGCACGGAATCGTCACAAATTGGGAAGATATGGAGTCTATCTGGCATTATGTCTATGAGAACGAGCTGAAGACGCTGCCCGAGGAGCATCCTGTGCTGCTCACCGAACCTCCGCTAAACCCGCGCGCCAACCGCGATACCGCCGCCCAGCTGATGTTTGAGGCTTTCAACGTTCCAGCCCTGTACATGTCGATTCAGGCCGTGCTCTCTCTCTACGCGTCTGGGCGCACAACCGGTGTCGTTCTGGACTCCGGAGATGGTGTCTCCCATGCGGTGCCCGTGTTTGAAGGTTTCGCCATCCCCAATAGTATCCGCAGAATTGATGTCGCTGGTCGCGATGTTACAGAGCAGTTGCAATTACTCCTTCGGAAATCCGGCCATGTCTTGCACACTAGTGCTGAAAAGGAGGTTGTGCGAATGATTAAGGAGAAGGTCTGTTACGTGTCGCTGGACCCGAAGCGCGAGGAAAAAGAGTGGATGAATAGCTACCATAAGTCGGATGCTAAGGCAATTGACTATGTCCTGCCCGATGGACACAAGATCAAAGTGAGCAGACAGGACTAGCGTCATCTCTTCGCTGGGATTTATACTGATGTTATCTTTCTATAGATCGGTCAAGAACGTTACCGTGCCCCTGAAATCCTCTTTGACCCCGAATTGATCGGCCTTGAATACCCAGGTGTACACCAAATCGTCCAAGATGCTATCAGCCGTACGGACTTGGACTTGCGCAAGTCACTATACCTCAACATTGTGCTTTCTGGTGGTTCAACGCTCTGCAAAAACTTCCCAGACCGTCTTATGCGCGAAATTAAGCGTCTTGCCGTTGAGGACATGAAGATCCGAATCTCGGCGCCCGCAGAACGCAAGTACACCACCTGGATTGGTGGTAGCATTCTGGCTGGTCTCAGCACATTTAGAAAGGTATGGAGGATTATAGTTCCGATATATGGGATACAAGCTAACAGGATCGTGTGTACAGATGTGGGTAAGTGCGGACGAATGGCATGAGGACCCTGAGATCATTTTCAAGCGATTCGCATAGACGAGTTGTGGCCTCCACCAGGCGCCTGGCTCTTGCAAATTTGGCAAGACAACATCTACATCCCGATACCCTCAGCAAGAGGGGACTGTCTCCAGATCGATCACTGCTGTGCAGCAATCTTGGTTTCAAAGAGGGTTATGCGAAGCAGGTGATCAGCGATCGCCTGGAGACTTGCTGAGTCGTGCATAGTATCTGCGACTTTTGATACCCATCCCCCCATTCATATCCCCTAGATCTCCCATCCACGACATCACACTTGACATCTTCTGTTCACATCAATTTGTGCAAATAAACTTTCTTCTTGTGCTGGAGTCTTGAGGTTTATGCTAGATGATCACAATGGGCCAGACTTGTGCTTTAACAAGTCGCCCTGTCCAAACTTCGTCGTTGTAAATTAATCGCCCTTTTGAAATTTCAGATATTCTCTCGATGTTCTTGGACCACCTGAAGGGTCAATTTAGTCCTTCCATTTTGACTCATCGTATTCATCCATCAGTCGAGTGTAATCATCACCGGCTGCTGCCCATCCCTTAATACCTCCCTCCAGGACAAGGCTTTCCATTCCCTCATCCTTCTGTTCTTCCAGATATTCCGCAAACCAGCCAGCCGCACGTGGTCCACGGCCTCGGGAAGAGCCTGCATTCCTTTTGTTAGCTGGCTTCCTTTGGTGGAGTCGAGTCATACTGACCACAGTACCATACGACTTTGGAGATTTTGGCTTGCGAGAAAACAGAATAAAGAGCCGGAATGGTGGGATACAGGCTCTGTGCAGGAAGATTCAATGAACCTCGGATGGTACCGCCCTATGCATACGGATGTAAGAATGATAAACGAGCGTGGTAGAGATTCTGTACCTCAAAGTCCGTACGACGCAAATCAATGAGGATATAGTCTTTTCCGATCTTCTTGCCTTCCTTGAACCATCCAAGTAGGTCGAGGCAGGATATCGAGGCTGCAACAATCCTTGGTGCAGGGTAAGCTGCGTGCCACGGAAGGCATGCAGGTATTGCTGGAATCATTTCTTGTTTTGTCTCGTCCGTTCGTTGTGGGACTGACATTGAACACAACTTTGATGAATTGGGAAAAGGAAAATCGACGATATGCTACCCAATTAAAACAGCCAGTGTTCGAATTTTAGTACTTTTGTTGATATAGTCCATGGGTGGAGCACGAGCGATGAGCATGTCACTGCTCGTTGGTGATTGGTCAGTTCTAGGTTTTTCTCTCCACGGGCGTGATTGGCCACATTACCACTATAATTGAGGTCTTCCTGCAACTCGCAAGTCACTTATCTACTTTTCGATTTTGTTTCGTTGGTCTGCCGATGACAAATTTTCTGTAGAAATATTGTCTCCATATATTCGACCTTGATATCAAGCATGATTGCAGCAACACATCAAACAAATGTCCCTGAGGGACCTCAACTTGATGACCCAACATCGGAAAAACTGGCGTCAAGTCCCAGAGCCAATGATGTCGAAAAGCAAAGGACGAACGAGTCCGAGGAGCTCACTGAGAAACAATCAGCCTTCAAAAGTCTTGGGTGGTTAGATCGTTTTCTGGCTTTATGGATCTTCCTTGCGATGGCCATCGGGATCATACTGGGAAATTTTGTGGAAAATACAGGCCCTGCATTACAAAAGGGGAAGTTCGTCGGGGTTTCTGTTCCGATCGGTATTTTCTCGTCTGCTTTGTCAATTCTCAGCCTCAGCTAATCAGTATCAGCGGTCGGTCTTCTGGTTATGATGTATCCCATTCTTTGCAAAGTGCGATACGAATCTTTACACCATATCCTACGACAGCGTGGTATCTGGGTCCAGATTGCATTTAGTATCATTGTGAACTGGATCATTGCACCCTTCTTGATGGTAAGACCTTTCTAAATGCTATGGTGGAAATAGCTGACAATGTATGAACTAGCTGGCACTGGCGTGGGCTTTCCTACCTGATGAACCAGAGCTTCGGGAAGGACTGATTCTAGTCGGATTGGCTAGATGTATTGCTATGGTAAATCACCTTCTCCTAATACTGCGTCTGAACTATACTAACTTTTACTTGCTATAGGTCCTCATATGGACTGGCCTGGCTGGCGGGGATAGTGAATACTGCGCCATCCTCGTTGCGATAAACTCACTCCTGCAGATGGTGCTCTTCGCCCCCTTAGCCATCTTATTCATCAAGGTCATTGGCAACCCGAGTAGCCATATTACGCTCTCTTATACGACCGCTGCGAAAAGTGTAGCAGTGTTTCTCGGTATCCCACTAGGCGCGGCAATCGTCACTCGCATTACCCTTCGAAAGTTGGCCAGTCCACGTTGGTACGACCAGGTCTTCTTGAAGTGGGCCGGTCCGTGGTCACTGATTGGGCTTCTCTTCACGATCCTTGTTTTATTCGCTTCTCAAGGCCGTCAAGTGGTCCATCAGATTGTGTCCGTCATCCGAGTTGCCGCGCCTCTCATTGTCTACTTCATCATTGTTTTCTTCGTCACTCTTCTCGTGACTTACAAGCTTGGGTTTGGTTATAAGTTGGCTGCTACTCAGAGCTTCACTGCTGCCAGCAATAATTTCGAGCTTGCCATCGCTGTTGCGGTTGCAACTTTTGGTGCTGACAGCAATCAAGCACTGGCCTCGACTGTCGGGCCTTTGATTGAGGTTCCGGTACTGCTTGGGCTTGTCTATGTTGTCAAGTTTATAGCCAAACGGGCTGGTTGGAAGGACTGAAACAAAGGTGGATTGGATTGGAATGTTCATATCGCAACTCATGGGAGCTTTTTGGACTCTGTTTGCTGGTTGCTGCGTATCCTTTGGAACCTAATGAGTCAAATTGGAAGATCTAATTGTCCCCACGAAGCATGTTCTACTCTTTCATATATTTAATAATCTAATTTTAGTAATATGTGCCCTATTGTCCTATTGGTAAATTAAATCTCCTATCAGGATTCCAGCAGAGGCAATGACCATTGATGAATGGAAGTAAATTTGAACCAACTTGACCCATGTAAGCATTCCGAGGCTGTTGATTATCAATTTTATCCTTATATCTTGACAAATAGGACAAACAGGTCATTCGATGACAAACAGACTTAACGGTGACATACCAGCAAATGTGGAAAGTATGAGCCGCCCCCGCATGAAATGAAGTAGAAAACCACCCAATTAGACCCGTGATAGCACACTCAGTGCACGTTTAGACTTGATCGCTCCTAAATGAGCTTTGCTCTGGCCATGTCTTAAGTCGGCTGCATCTCTAATTTCTCCTCTTCTCTTCTCTCCTCTTCTCCCAACAGCAACGCCCGTGTTCTTTGCAGCTGCCTGCAATCATTCAAGCTTATATTCTCTCTTCCCCACTCTCCATCGCCGCTACCTCCCATCAAGACCTCTCCATCTCCGTCCTACCTAACCATAGGCGTCAACGAAATGAATTCAAAAGTTATCTATCGCTTTGTGCAAGACCGCTATGCAGGAGTCGCAAGCCAGACCAAAATTTCGTATAAAGAAGGAGACTATGAACGCAATGTCGCAAAGGCTTTTGGATATGACTTGGAGGATTTGCGTTCTATTCCAGAAACAGCGAATCTGGGTGTCAGCTGTGGGAACCCATTGGCATTGGCAAACATAAAAGAGGTAGGAGACTGTCGCCGTCTCACCCCTAGGTGCTGAGTTTAACACCAATCTGCAGGGCGAGGTTGTGATTGATCTAGGTAGTGGGGGAGGTATTGACGTGTTACTAGCCGCAAAGAAGGTCGGAGCGGAAGAAAAGGCTATTGGTATTGACATGACCAAGGTATGCCGGCTACTCCCTATTGAGCTCATTAACCTGATTGCTAAAGCTAGTAGGACATGCTAGACTTAGCACGTCAGAACGCCAGGAAAGCAGGTGTATCCAACGCATCCTTTATCGAAGCATTTATTACCTCTTTTCCGTTGCCACCTTCGACTGCTGATTGCATAGTCAGTAACTGTGTTGTGAATCTGGTGCCGGAAGTCGAAAAGCCTCTTGTCTTCCAGGAGATGTTTCGTCTGCTGAAGCCGGGAGGCAGGGTCGCAATTAGCGATATACTAGCAAAACAGGAGCTTCCGATGGATATCAAGACGGACCTTTCCTTGTATGTCGGATGCATCGCTGGTGCTAGCCAGGTCTGCGACTATGAGAGATACCTGAAAGGAGCTGGGTTTGAAGGTACTTATACTGCAGTCTGTCAAGACTTCGTATGATTCTGTGTTAATACCTGACTCGCAGATATGTTGATATTGAACACCCGAGGTGATCTCAATCTGTACAAGGGAATTTGGCAGAGGGAAGAAGGCAATGGAATAGGTTCTACTGGCTCGTGTTGCAACCGGGTGGAACCAAGTACAAGCGCGAAACAAATGTCTGATGTGGACTTTAACTTCTGGGCTGGTGAGTCGATCAACAAAGGAATCTACATGACACAGCGCTGACGATGTACGCTTCACAAGGCTCCTTCAAGATCTTTGCCATCAAGCCCGATCTTCATGATTAAGGGTACCTACATGTAGACTTAGGGTATTGAATAGGCCATATAAGCAGGATTCGAAGGCTAGATGGCAGTTCCCATCACTTACCACCGGCATTATCGAAATCGGCCTGCCCATTGCACTAAATCCTTCTTCCTAGCCTCATTGTCCAGTCCTGCATTAAGACGGATCATTAATTGAGCTAGTCGTCTTCAATTGAGAATTATGGTATCAATGCTTCATAAATTGTATTGTGTATTCCTAGTCAAGTACGCAGTGGCGTCGGTTCTTCAACTTTCTTCTCACTCTGCGTGTGTTCTCTTTGCGCTCTAGACTTTCCATACTCGATGAATACATGGCGGTTAGTAAGTAACTTCGAGCATTTCTGTACCGCCTGCTGTCTTCTCATCCTCTCTGTCAAGATGATATCTCAGAAAGAAGGGCAAACAGAACCTCATTATCAACCCTACACTTCTCTGATTGTGTGCGACCCTGTCTGAAGCCACGACAAAGCTTGCTATCAATTTCTGATTCACTGTATCGTCTCTTGTTGGATTGCAGGATCAGTCGATAAGCAATAGAACAAAGGATGGTTCTATCCTCACTAGCCATTTCATCGGTCAACACAGGCCAAAGTGTTAGAGAAGATATAGCTTGGGAACTAGTGCTGGTCGATGCCTTGAGCTCTGTTGTGCATATAGGTGACCAGAAATGTGGTAAAATCGGAAAGGATGAAGTAGGCGTATTGACTTTCGCGTCATATATGGATGTAGTAGAGCCGGAGAGAATTCGGTCACTGGCGATAAAATTGTCGACTTCAGCACCGTTTGAATTGAGTAGTAGAGAGTTTTCGTCACGGCTAGGGAGCTCATATAATGTCTCCTCTTCAGAAACCTGTATTTACTTAGTCATGCTTGCAATCTTACTAGGAAACTTGAAGTCTAGGATGAAACCATTTACACGTACCTCCCTTTGGAGAATTCCAGGCTCAGCATTAACGCGTGAAATCCTTTGCGTTTGATTCAAGAGATCTTCGCGATCTATCTCAAGATCATTCGCCCCATCTGCGAGACTATTGCTTTGATCATTTTCACTGATGTTCGATAAGCGAAGTAATTTTCTCAGTATTTCGTTCTCCTGTCGAAGTGTATGTGCTGTAGCTTGAAGCTTCGCAAAGTCCGCACTACATTGAATTCTTTCATTTTCATAAAGCTCCAGTTTCTGCTCGAGCTCTGCAAGGTAATCTCGCCTGCGTTCCCGGCACTTTCGCTGGTTATTGCGGACTCGAGCTAGATCTTCGGCCTAGAAGGTATCTTTGAGATTAATTGAGATTTAGCGAATCGCGCCTCTGGCAACAGACCTTTGACTTCTTGGGTCGAGGCATCGATTGTATACTTTTGATCTCACGACAAGCGGAAGTTCAAAGACTAAGCGGGGCAACCTTGAAATGAGATCCACGTGGTGGTGTGCATTAGTACAGTGCAAATGTACACTGCTTTATCTTGACCAATCAGCGTTCGCCAGTGACATGCTTCATCTATATATCTTTTTTTGCTTCCTGTATTTGATTTCGCTTTCCCTTCCCCATCTAATCCATGCTTTATCATCATCCGCAAACCCTTTATACGGCATCGAGACCGATTGTCTCGATGCCCATTTCTACTGCGATCAACGTTCTCCAAAAGCATGTCTTCCGCTACTCCGCAACAAGGGATTTCTGATATACGCCAAACGGATCTCACCTATCGATCTCTGGCATTGTCTCCAAGCGAAGATGATCCAGATACACGCCAGAAGTACCGGCCATTCATTCTTGACAACGATGCCAATGCCACCGAAGACTGGGTCAACAACTTGGATCTGACTACCGCTTTCAACATGGCCGAGCAGGACTTACAAAACACAAAAGAGAGACTCAGGGTCTTGGTACTTTATGGCAGTCTCAGAAAAAAGTCCTATTCACGTCTAGTCGCATTCGAAGCCTCTCGTATCCTGTTTCGGCTCGGTTGCGACGTGCGAGTCTTCGATCCCGAGAGTCTGCCAGTGAAGAGTGAAAACGCAGATCACCCGAAAGTACAGGAACTCCGTGAACTCAGTGCTTGGAGTAACGGACATCTTTGGGTCTCGCCAGAGCAACACGGTAACCTTGTGAGTCGCCTCTCTCTAACCCAATGCTCAATAGAACAATTACTTACTCTTGCATCTTATCCAATGCTAGACCGCAGTTTTCAAGAACCAAATCGATTGGATCCCTTTGAGCACAGGAAGTGTTCGTCCCACTCAGGGCCGAACACTAGCTATTGCTCAGGTGTGTGGTGGATCTCAATCGTTCAATGCCGTCAATTCTTTACGTATACTTGGTCGATGGATGCGCATGTTCACTATCCCGAATCAATCCTCAATCCCGAGGGCTTATACACAATTTATTGACGAAGGTCAACCAGGGGATCAGCGGCTATTGCCTAGTGGCAATCGAGATCGGTTGGTGGATTGCATGGAGGAATTTGTCAAATATACTATTCTAATGCGGCCGCATATGGATCTTTTTGGAGATCGGTTTAGCGAACGGGAAGAGAGGAGATTAAAAGAGATCAAGGCAAATGCCACTAAATAGAGCTGGGTAGATTGAATAATAGACATTGACTTTAACTAGAGCTCCTAGCAATAGATGAAGACGACTGAAGGCCAAAAAACATTGCCTGTTTTTTACTAAGAAACAAAAAAAAAAGTGGATAAAGCACAAACACTGGATCAGGTACATATCAGCAACCACTAGAAAAACAGGGGAAAAAATCTGGAATTTGCAAGGCGAAACTAATGTAAGAAAAATTGTTCTAGACAGCTAAGACATGGAAAATTTCCATCGAAGCCCATCGGTAGCGATCGCCTAAACACGGCTACCACGTTACTGTACGACCCACGCCACTATGTCGCCATCGGCCAGTCTCCACCGAAACCAAAGGAATCACGTTTCAGCTATGAGTCCACCATACAAGAAAAATTCAAGTTTAAAATAGAAAAATTACGAAAGACCAAATTGAGAGTCATTGAATACCGCCAAGGAGAGCGTGTAATTCCATTGTTATGCCCAGGGCTAGAAAGTAGTGACCAAGGGTCGCGATAGGGGGAATATGAATAAAAGACAAAGGAGACAAAAACACAGGCTAAAAGAGAAAAATACATGACTCCAGATGGATGCGACGAGACATTCGATAAAGTTGAGAGTCGAAATAGGCCACATAAGACGCCATCCTTGGAAATAGTTTGAAAGGTTGAAAGAAAATAGACCGATCTTTGAGGACCCGGCGCGATGCTAGTATTGAGGACCACGAATGGTCAAACCCAAGAACAAGGAACGCCGTTCCCATGATGATTGGAGTGAGGATTTCTCTGAAAGCAATGCGATAGTCGCAAGTGGGTATCGGCGACGGAGTAAATCAGGAATCATAATCGACGGAAGGGATGGATCGCTTGAATCGCGAGATCGAATCAACAGCCCGTAGGATTCTTCCATAGTCAAGGTCGGAGCCCGAGATTAAACGAGATAGGGGAAGGCGAAAGCAAGAAAGCAGAAGAACTTTTGTTGTTTTGTCGTAAAGGTGTCGTGATATCATGAAGAGCTGATGAAAGTTCATCTATGCGGTGCCCTTGAGCTTGCCCCATCCCTTCTCCAGGCCTCGGCGGGCCATGTCGCGAGCGCGGTCGGCCACGGATCCGGTACTGCTGTTGGTAGAAGTGCTGGCAGCGGAGAACTTGCGACTGAGGCTGTAGTTGCTGCTGGAGTCGTCGCCGCGACAGATCATGTTGCCAGCACCACCACGACCAACGTGGTAGACGGGGGCGGCGCGGCGGAGGTCGCGCTCAAGCTCCTCGTCGAAGCTGAAGATGGCGCGCTCGGAGCTGGCGTGGACGTTGCCGGCGCCACCACGGCCAGAGGTGAAGGTCGAGGGGGAGAGCGCGAGTCAAGGCGAGTCAACGAAGCCGGACCAGTTGCGGTGCGAGATTCGGTGGTCTTGGTGTTCTTGAGGCTCACCACATTTCCGGAGCCTCCACGGCCAGTGAAAACAGCGGGACGAGTGGAGTGAGGCACCGAAGGGTGAGGCTCAACGACGCGGTAATTTGAAGCCATGATTAAATATGTGGATAGAGTAAAAGCTGCAAGAGCTATGAGAAGGTCACGTCCATGTGGGTAAGTTCACGATATTGAAGAAGTCTGCAATGGACCCAGACATGGCGGGACCAGATTCTTATATAGTAATTAGTAGTTGGGGCCATAGAGTCATTTGCATTCACGACATCCACGGGTCACACGGTGTGTAGGAGTGGGGCGTTTAATTGTGTGGAGTAATTTTGGTGGATTTTTGAATTTTCTGTTTCTGTAGCGTCATCGCTATGTTAGAGCGGCATGCTGCAATCGCTGGATTGGGTTGGCGGTGGATCTGAGTCATCCATCTCGATGCTGCAGCAACGAGCCCTGTGGCCAAATGACCGGGCTCCATTGGTTGAAAAGTTTTCCCTGCTCCACTCTCTTCCAGTTGCTGCTTTAACCCACGGTCGCTGGCCTGGATCATCTGACTGGATCCTCCACACCAATAATAGTCGCTCACACGTAACAGAAACTACAGCTGGCGCCAATCAGCGTCCGCGGCGTCTAAAAACAGGGATGAGCGGCGGTTTTCTGGGGGTAATGAAAACCCCAAAGGGGAATCCTACCAAAGAAAAAAACCTCATTCTCTCCACAATTTGGAAACGATACATTACGTTCACCGCACCTCGTGGTCTGGTTCGGATCTCTCGCTTTACGTTGATTCAGGCCCAAGTGTCGCCATTGCCCCGTGTGACAGTCCCACGACACTGACTGGTTCAAACATTGCATCATCCCGGCCCGAATGACTTCTATTATAGGACATAGCTATAGTCCAGAATGCCTATAGAGGTCTGATACTGTTGTGCTACCGTCTAAGCAATGAGGCATTTGCAAATGGCCCAAATTTGCATTTTATCTTCTTTGTCTCATTTTCTACTGTGCGCAATAATCAGCAGTTGGCCTCTTCAGCTCAAAAAAAACTACGTACGTAAAGTCTATACATTCAAATTTTCAGGGGCCCGCTGATCCCAGCACAATGACTCCATGTGCGGGATAATTTCTCCCTCTAGTTCTGTCGATCCGGTCTAGGGCCTCACGCTAGCCCACACGGTACCTGAGATCCTCACTAACAATTCACGCAATTCATGCCCACAGCCTCCAAATAATGAACTATAGGTTTTGCCCAGATGCCGAGAAAATAATATCAAAGCATGACCGACGCCACAGAGGCAATGCCCCTTTCTCGCCCCTTACGACTCTGTTCTAATACTCGAATTTCAGTAATGTTACCATGCCAGGAACCATCCGGAACAGGTAAAGCGTTCCCCAGACAAACAAGGAAAACGGGAAACAAAAAAGAAAAATTGAAAAAGAAAAAAAAATGACGAAACCAAGTGGATCGACAACGCAGAAAAAAACTTTTCCCGCTCATGTGCCCTCACTGGCCCAGGGATCCGAGTCCGGTGATCATGGCAAATCAGAATGCAGAATTGGGCCTGTGCGTCTTGGCCGCCATTTCCCCAGATTTTCCATCGTCGTTTCCCCGGACTCCGGTTACGAGGAACTTGCTCTCTAAGTCAGGCCATGGGACCGCTCTACTGTACTTACAGCATGCAGGCAGATCCCGTGTTCCCTTCCCCCTCCCCATTCTTGCATTTGGAGACAAACGCACCTCCCATGCGCTGCGGGCCTTACTCTAATTAGTTGGCCTGCATTACCGCTTGTGCCTGGGCCTCGGGAACCCCGCGTTGCGATTGCTGGCTCGGACTGCCGAGGAAAATACCTCTCGCCCCCGTTCAGCCGATCGTTGGCTACTCGTCGCGTGGATTTGCCCATTCTATTACATCCATCCATGGAGTGACATCTCTTTGCCGAATTCCGGGGTAGATCTAGCAGATTCCAAAGTTCTATTCTTGTTCTAAGACAGACTAATTTTATTAAACACACACATGATCATCCATTTTTTTCTTAGCGGAGTAATAGGCAACGTAGAATCGTGTAGAAGACTCATAGGTCGGAAACACCTGCCGCTTCTTTTCTACTCAGAACCAGATCTTCCACTAGTACTGCGCGATGACACACAAAATACTATGCACGACAGTGCAAAAGGTATGCAGCCCGACCTCTCTTGGCGTTGCACAGTCATCCATTCGTGCTATTAGATAATAGCGCCTGTCCATGACACATGATTATCGATGTGCAAGGGTCTCGACCACCGGGACGGTCACCGACTCTGTACTGTTGGGGATGCACGACCGGCAAGCTGCCACGATCGATGACGCAAGACCTTGTTGATTTGGGGTTCTAGTTGCGTTTTCGATGAGGCATATTAGGTAAATTGTACCGCCATTCGATGTCGTGAGCTGGTTTCGATTGCGCAATTCTATGCCCGATGGGAAAGCTGGACCGCAAATGTGACAGATGTACGACGGGTCCAGGATCAAGTTTCTTTCTTTGTCCATTTCTCAGCTACCCGTATGAAGGATAATGTTTGAAAAGGTCTAGACAAATAATATGCTAAGATGAGTTGACTTGGGTACCAAGTGGACATTATGACACCCTTCAATGGGAATTCATTCATCGTGGTATTGCACTGATGCAATGTCAGGTTATTGCGCAATCAAATTGGGCTCTTTCGATATTAAATTGAGTCTAGATATCTACGTGGCATCCACAACCCAGCAAATTTGAAGATGTCGCTATTCCGGTCATGGATTATGGCTATTGAGCTAAGACAACATCAATGTTCAATTGAGCTGAACGATTATGGTTAAAATGGAACTAAACATAACGATATGACCAGGCTGATCAGTTCCAAGGTTGATTCAAAAAATAATAGATGCGGTTGAGATCTATTTGAAAGACGAACGTAGCACGAGCAAGGTCTATGAAGGGTCGAGATTACACCAGGCTACTGCGTCTGAATGATCGGCTTGACTTGGGGGATGGGCTGCCATCAAAGTCAGAGGGTTAGCAAATCCCTTGCATACCATCTATTGTTATTTAGTTTCCATCTGGAACAAGGAAAGGGATGTCGCCCACCTGGTAGGCAATCGATTCTTCGGCTGTGGTAGTTGGTTCTTTATTCTAAGCCTTGATATCATCGAAACTAGGTGTAAAGGCTTCTCGATGTCTACAAAGTAGACTAAACGTTTTTTTTTTTTTTCTAAAAAAAAAAAAAAAACACATTTTAAATTAGGTCCTGTCATTGGCATAGAAATTGTAGTCTTGTCGCATTAATGTCGCGGGCCCAGACATTACAGATTGGTTAAGTGATATTACAAGAGATATGACATTATGCCAACACTGAGGTATGTTAGGAAGCTAACGCAACAGGCGATATTGATTCTTCACTCGGGACTTGATCTCTCAATCGCTGCTCTTCGTAAGCAATATCAAAATCATATCGAGCTCGAGCTGCATGAGGTGCCAAGCGCGATAAGTATTCGAATTTTGCCACATTCACCGCCCTCACCTTCACCATCCGAATTGGGAGACAACCTCCAAATTGATCATCTCAGTCTCTTTGGATTCCATATCAGTGACCTATCGCAAGGGTAGAGTCTAAAACACACCTTCCAAGTATTTACCGACCACAGAGCTACCTGTGATTCTCCCGCTGAGCTTCTCCGCACCCTGAACGGGAATTTTCCTCGCGCAACAGCGGCCGAGAACGCGCAAAGAAAGCTGCCAAGATGCCGAAATATAAGTCCCCTTCAGCCATGCATGATTCTGCTATCCTTACTGACCTCCTATTTACTCTTTTGTAGGTTCCAGCTCCAAACCCGCCTGCGATCAATCACCTCCCTTTGTCCCGTGCCGTGTGCGGAGACGACGATCCGAACTTTTGATATCGGATACCATCACGATAACGCGATTCGCAAGGCCAGATCGCTGACTTTGATCTAATTATAGGCGACTACTGTGATGTTTACCTCACGCACGACTCCATGAGTGTGCGCAAAGCGCATAACTCTGGTCGTAACCACTTGAGGAACGTGGTGGAGTACTATCAGCGTATGTCACCTGCTGGAGATGCAAGTATGGACTATACTGACAATCACCCCAGAGATCGGCCAAGAGAAGGCTCAATCAGTCATTGACTCCATCACCTCTTCTTATGCCGCTGAAGGCCAGCCCCTCCCCAATCCCGCCATGGTGCCAGGAGCATTCCCCCCACCATTCGGCTTCCCAGGTCTGAAAGCGCCCTTATCCACCAAAAGCCCCATATAAACTAACCCATCTTGCCATCGCAGGCCGACCCGGTCAAGGCCCCCCTCTTCCCTTCGGAATTCCTCCTCCAGGGGCTCCCGGTGCCCCAGGAATGCCGCCTCGTATGTACAACCAGCCAGGAGATGCCCTCCCTTACCCCGGGCCTCCTTTCGGCGCAGCAGCTAATCAATTCCCTTCTCCATGGACAGCTCCCGGTGCTCACGGTCTCCCCTTCCCACCCCCGTTCCCTGGTGCTACAGGAACTCCACCAACAGGAGGCTTTGCTCCCCCAGGTGGACTCCCTAACATGCCCCCAGGCGCAGGAAACCTCCCTCCCCCTCCCGGCGGATTCCCAGCTAATTTCCCCATGCCCTTACCTGGAGGTGGGTTCCCTCCAATCCCGCCAATGCCGGGTATGTCGAACTCGCCGATTCCTTCCGGTCCACGCGGATCAGAGGGGTACCCCGCGCCTCCTGGAGGCGGGCCTCCTCCCGGGATGGATGAGAAATGGTAAATCAGCTCTTTTTTCGATTGGACGGGTTGTTTTGAGGTGTTGTCTGCTTTCTTCCCTCTCTTTATTTGATATCTCATAGTCATGATCACTACGTCTTCCGCACGAGTTGGATGTTCATTTTTTTGTCCTGGGACAGAAAACTTTCCTTGTCACTGGAAAACAAAATTCTCCTTGAGGGTGTTCTCTTCCCCGGCGTTGTATTATAGCGTTTGATTTGGGTTTCCTGTGGATCTCTCAATACTCAATATCATGTTTTCCATGGATTCTACTCCTATCAGTAGAGTATATGTTGGGGTCAGTGAAGTCTGTAATCGATAGACTTATCTATGTTTAAGGGCCCCTGATGTTCCTATGTTCTACTATCAAGGCTGATTCTTCAACTTTCTGTTGTGATATATTCATCGATATATTTGCATGGGCAGGTGGGTCATCAGCCCCCGCTTCCCCACTTGTGCTCATAGGTACAGTACTGTACTAGATAGGTAGACTCCCTGCTATCCAGCAAAATGCTCAGATGCCCATCCCTGCATCCCAACCTAAGTCCCAAGATTCTTTTCGTACCATGCAGTTTATGCCCAGGGCCCTTCTGCGTAAGTGCCACTTGCCCGCCTGGGAGGAAGTATCATGAACTCTCCCTTCAGGATGGGCAGTGGCTAGGTATAGCAGTAACTGAGGATATCGAATATGGAACGAAACCTTGGAAGGAGACATTGGAACTATCCAAAGATTTACTACATAGGTATTTTATTACAAAGTTGATTTGGACACCCAAGCTTGGAAGAAAGAGGTAGAAATTATATTTCGAGGATCGCAAGAAACCCGGCCCAACCCCGTACCCCAAATGCATCAGAACACCATAACTAACCAGAAACCTTGAAAACCAGAGCACAAAAATTGATAAAGAAAAATACATGTCGACCTCGAGCTAGGAATCCCTAGTGGGGAGGAAGTGAGGAGGAAAGTGGATGATTTTGATCGAAGTCGACGAGAAGGGAAAAAGAGAGTAAGGAGAAATCTGAAGAGGGGTAGTATCACACCACTTGAATTGATGGTGGATCATGATGAAAGTATACTGGAAGGAAATTGGCGGCGAGCCTGAGCAAAGAAACAAAAACAGAAAGATGGGACCCAAAGAACAATGGATGGAAAAGGCTCATAGACCATCATTGCCCTCACGCTAAAAAACATCACATATCTTCATATCAGGAAATTATGAAAAATTCCAGACGAGCGCTTAGTGCTCGTAACCAGCGCCCCTTTGCCACGGACTGGCGTTGTTTTGGTTTCTATGATTGGGGGCCAATGCGGACTGCCCAACGGGCATGTTGTCGTAGTTTCGCTTTGCAGGTGATGGTGATACCCGACCCAGCTGGTCGTAGCCCGGAGGAGAGCCCCGGCGGCCTGCGGCATCGCTGGGAATGAGTGGTACTGATGGATCGACAGGTGATCGCTGCTGTTGAGAAGCGCTGTGAGGGGCATTGGCTGCATTCATGTGTTGGTATCCGTTGCCGCTGCCATTGCCACTGCCACTAGCACTACCATTGTTACGGCCACTGGAGACGGAGATTGTATCCTCGTCGAAGGGGTTGTGCTGGTATGATTGAGACTTCATGTCGCCTCGAGCAGTCGCACCCAATGCATCCAATTCAGTCGTAAGCTGAGTCTGCGACTTGATGAATGAACCCCGGTCATCGCGCATTGGCTGGTATCGGGTATCGGGGTTTTTGGACACGACAGCGTAGACCGAGGCAATCAAGACAAGAACAAGGAGAACTAAGGCAAAGGCAGCGTTGTAGACAAAGAAAACCACACCCATTACGCCGACCATCAGGCCTGGTGGGTTGAAAACATTCGAGAAGACCAGCAGGAAGATCACGTTGATAAAGTTGACGACCGCAATTGAAATGTTGTAGATATTGGTCTTTTTGTCCATCCATGGCCGGATAACGCACGCAGCAACCAGCATAGCAGCTTCAATGACCACCAAAGCGACTGTCTGGACAACGGGAGCAGACTGACTCAATCCGATGAACATGCCCTTAACCAGGACATAGATAAGATAGGGAACGACGAAATAGTATGCCGTGGCTCGGTATTGCACATAAAGAAAGCCCCATTTGTTCAAACAGGCAGGATCGGAATACAAGATGTATGCCGGGTTCTTGTGCATCGTGACCGAGCGCTTGGCCAGACGGATGACCTTCTGGGCTGCCCATCCTAGCGCAATGAGCAGGGATAAGAGCATCACCACGGCCAGGACGACCTCAGCCGGTGAGTCACGCTGAGTGAATTCCCAAAGGCAAAGGATGCACATTTGGGGGAAACCAATCAAAGTCAGACGAAAGAGGATACCTCGAGTAACAACTTTCCATCCATTGCGGAAGTCCTGGAACGTGTCGCCCTTCATTTTGCCGTGCTTAACGAGTAATTCGCAGATACCCTTGAACGCGGCGATAATGATGATAACGATGAAAACAAAGAAGACAAAGAAAATGAGACCAGTCAAGAAGATATTGGTTTCTTCAATACCGGCACGGAATCCAACACGATCAATACCCCGCACTACTTGAACCTTCTGGCTGGTGTCTCGTTTTCCGAGCATATGGAGTCCTCTCTTCATAAGATTGCGTACAGGGTCCATGACATAGTCACGCTTCTTTAGCACCTCGACTGAGGTTTGGCTTAGTGAAGAGAGGACAGTTGAAGGAGTACCACCAGTGGATCGCTGGTACCAGGTACAGATGGTCTGTAGGAACCCGACGTGAATAATACCCATGCTCCACTGGAAGTCCTGGGTCCATGATTCCACAATGGGTGGCATATGAACCGACGTCATACCAATTATTGCTTGAGATTGCATGAAGCTGAACAAGGACAGGGCATTTGCCGCAACATGAGCGGCGGTGTTAGAATGGCCCAGTCCGGAGGTGATGGCAGATGCTGTAAGACCCAAGCCTGAAATGATTGCGGTCACCCAAGAAACTCCAACTTGGTATACAGTTTTACCATTGGAAAGTGACGCTGACACACAGGCAATCTTCTCGCCATTATCCTTCCTTTTAATCACAATCTGCACATCCGCATCGAGATCCGGAACAGTGTAGGCGATACCCGGGATATTCGAGGCAGTATCATTTGGAAGAGTGAGCGAAACAGACTCCAAGTCAATGGGGCCGGGAGCCATAGGACACATGCCCATTCCCGAAATGGAGCAGGGGTCGAGGGTGCTTGAATAAGCCTTGTAACCATAGGCCGTCAGAGTTAGGTCTGCCACGACCTTGCCGGAGATGTATGACACGCCATCGAAACCGATCTGAAGAGAATTGTTGTTTGGGTAGAAAATGACATGGAAATAAGTGGCTGTGAAGTTGCTACTCTCCATGCACAAGTTGAGCGAATTAGATTCGAGATAGTTGACTGCAAACGCCGGCGCCACAAATGCGACTAAGCAGGTGAGAAACGCTATCAACCTCATTCTGGGGAGGATTGAAATTAGGGTTGGATAGATTTTTGAGTCCAACGATGTCGAGAAGAACGAAGAGAAGAGATAATATGAAAAGCCACGGTTGAAGCGGTACTCCAGAGTACCACGTTGTCAGCCGCCGGATGCGGAATACCTCCAAGCGGCCGAGTTCTCGGCGGTTGGTGTTATTGTGGGACCGATGCGATATTGAATGTCGTCGATACGACCGCACAATTATTTGTCGCGAAAAGCAGCTAGAGGTATGGCGTGTATGTGTGTTTCTAACCGTATCTCTGATTGCCAAATGAATCGGAGGAACAGCTTGAGAAGCGATTGTCAGGAAGTGAAGGAGTCGAAGGAGAGTCGGCGGACTAATATCCTAAGTCGCATGCGACAGTATCAAATATTAATACAGAGCAAAAGGCTCCCGAGAGAAGTGAAGTCGAGGACGAATGGTGAGCGAGGTGCGTGGAGTCGCAGAAGTAGGTTAAATCGGGAGATGTGGAGAAAGTAAATTGGGGGTCCAGAGCGAGTGAAATTGGCAGCATACACAGTATGGCCAAAGGTTATTGAGGGTCGAACGATGAGAAAGAGGTGAAAGACAGGTTCCCAGTCCTCAAGGAAATTCTCGAAGGGAGAGGGAGGACGAGGGTGAGTTGCCTTTTTACCCAGAAACACGATGCGGGTCACCTGGAATGGTGGAATGTGGTACTGTATGGTCAGGAGGGCCCTGGGCGCTTGTTGGTGGACCACTCAGAGGGGGTAAGTTACCGTAACCATGGTATGACCTTTGTTATGGCAGCCAGTCTTTCTGACGGGGACTAGGCCTCACAGGGTCGATCACTGATGTAAGTGCAAGTTTCATCAACATCCCTACTTCACACTTTTTTGCTTCATATTCAAGGAGATGGTTCAATCACTACCCTCCTCTTCTACTGTACTGACCACCGCAGATTTTTTTTTGTTTAAACCTCCGCACACGCGTCCTTTAGGGGAACTTCTTGGCTGCAAGCGGTAGATGGATCGTGGCGGAGGTGAGTGGGCCCTCCAATACCCTAAATGCTGCAGAAGGCAGATTACTTCATCCCACGTACCAGAGGAAATGTCCCCCAGTTGTGGAGTTGCGAGAGGCGCAACGAGCGAAAATAGTAAGTGGACCATGGCATATCCAGGTACCTGCAGTAGGTGACTTTGTAACCGCTCGTATTGTAGCGTATGTCTGCCGAGGCTGGGCACAACATTGGCGCGCCTAAGCTGAACTATTTTTTTCTTGTCCTAAGTAGTCCCCCTGATTCGGGAGTAAGGGGGGGTAAACAAGGCGGGCCTATGAGATTACCGGAATTTGCGCACACCCTTCTCTATACAATGAATGGATCTGTCTAAATTATGTATCATTCTACAGTGTACAGATATAACCCTGGCATAACGCGGACTACAAGGGTCTTTAGGTCATCTGGCTCTCAGGGGCTGATCCCCACCCGAAAGAAGACCGATCCATAAATCCTAAATTATTCCATTAGTTTAATTAATTCCCCTCGTCTATGGGCACAGACCATCAAGAAGATCACAGTCCCATTAATGCCGTGGCGTTGGCTTGATGCACAGCCTCAGTTCTCTCCCCCATGACAACCCAGCCCTTCATGTTTCAGATGTAGTCTCTGCACATCTGTCAATCCTACATTAGTGTCCGAGATCCAGTTCCACGTGCCCCGAGCTCCCAGCTTGCCGGAGTTGGTCATTTCAAAGCACCTAAATCCACGCGACCTGACATTCCTGACATCATAATCGAAGATCAAATGATCGTCATTTTCCAGTATGTATACATGACATTGCCTATTCGGCTTTTTTATATACGTAAATCTGAGATACATGTTTCGCGACCGTGACAAACGATGTTGTATTCAAGCTGTCTCATCGACAAAGACCCGTTATAGCGCCACCGCTATTTTTGGGTCAGGGTTTAAGGGCGCTGAGGCATCCGAGTGGTCATAATCTCTGTCCATATACCCCACTCGTCGCAGCCATCAATTCATCTATAGTTTCCCATAAAATCGCAGGTTCGTCTACGTAGTCAGACGACTCAGAATTGAACTAATATAACAGCTACCTTGCTTGACTGATCCTTTGTTCAAAGCAAAGTATAGGCGTACATCAGTTGAGTGTGCCGCCCATGTGGATCATACGTAGCAGCTAGGAAACAGGACGACTCCATAGCGTCAAATGGAAAATGGGTCTTCGCTCAGCAGAGCAAAAGGTGAAATGATACTGCCTAAAGCCCCTGCATAAACATAAACCCAGCCAAGCAGTCATAAATTCTAAGGAATTCCCGTGCTCCGCCAAGGTTGCCGAGTCTATTTAGTACGTACTCCGGACGAGCCCAGCCCTTGGCAATAGTACATGATTCCCACCATGAACTTGCGATCGAGGAGACTCCAGCTCCAGATGACATGTTGGCGGAAGAATAAAACGACATTAGAATCACGGATACGGGTAGCTTTGGTTCCTTGGAACCATAATCCATGCGATAGCAAGGCAGCTTGGAGGAACCGCAGGTGTAACCTTCAGCTTTTTTTTAAAAAAAAAATTAATTCTATTCATTTGATAAGCGCCATATGATTGAAGGTACTAATGTCATGAATTTTAACTTGTATAATATCTTAGTAACCGTCACGTTTTGCTGTTGAAGTCATACGGGACATTGGAGATGTATACATTGACAGATTTCAGGATGCCATGGTGGGAACTCAGGTGTTCCAGGGCTGATTTCCAATATTCTACAGGGCAGCCCCAGGGAGTGGTCCAAGACGGGCCAATTGGAAATCTATTTTGCAACGTTCGGAGGCATGCTGGAGCTGCACTACTGTCAAGCTTTCAGTTTTTGATCTCGTGGTGAACACTGAATAGTTACATCCATGGTAAGCTGTCTATCAGTCGAGAGCTTTCCCTGCCATATTTTCTTTTTATCATTCGCCAGAATCACTGGCCGTAAATCCATTTCAAATGTTGTTAACGCCTTGCCCTGCGAGTTTGGTAAAACATCAGTAAAAGTTCGGATAGCTCTCTGCCGTTCTTCTGTGAATCGAGTGTTCAACCAAGAGTGGATATACCAGTCAATCTATGTATTGAGGTCGACTTCGCATTAATTGGCGTCTGACGATTGTTTCACAGCCCAAATACCAAACAGCTCGTTGGGTTGTCCATGAAAGCCAGCTGCAAGCATAGCCTACCCAACGTGAAATAACGGCTTCAAAAAGCGAGTCGGCGACCCCATAGCTAAGTGGGTGTACCTTACTAAGAATCTAAAAAGCTTCCTATCAGCACGTGATTAGTGGATATTCTGCCGAGCCTCACCGGTCAGAAAAAAAAAAGTCGCAGAATGGTTTTCCGCAGCGGTTTAGGTCGCATCTCCGGAGATCAAAACACCCCAATCGACGGATCACACATCCTTCGATTTAAGAGATTCATTTTCATTTCGTTTCAGTGAATCGCAAGCCTTGTGGTTCACTCAAAACGACAAGATGCCCGGCCCAGTGGACACCACAAAGTCCATCGACGCCAAGAAGCGCAAGAGAAAGCACGCTGCTAAGCCTACCGCCGACAGTGAAGATGTTCCCAAGCCTGTTGAGACCAAGTCAATTAAGAAGACTGCCAAGGCCGCTGTTTCCCCCAAGCCTGCGACCGAGAAGACAACTAAAAAGCGCAAAGTGAGCCACTCCGCTAGCGAGGACGAGAGCGGTGACGAGGCCGAGGAAGTCGAGGAAGTCGAGGAGCAGGAAGAGGACAACGAGGCAGACGAGGCCGAGGAGAAGGACAATGTTGCGGATCTCCCCACCATGGGCGAAGTCAGCCTTCCCCAGACTGAGGGCCAGCTGCAGAAGTTTACTGAGCTGAACCTCTCGGAGAAGACCATGCAAGGAATCAAGGATATGGGCTTCGAGACCATGACTGAGATCCAGCAGCGCACAATCCCACCGCTGCTCGCCGGTCGCGATGTTCTCGGTGCTGCGAAGACTGGATCCGGCAAGACTCTCTCTTTCCTGATCCCGGCGGTCGAGATGCTCAGCGCTCTGCGCTTCAAGCCCAGAAACGGTACCGGTGTTCTTGTTATTTCTCCCACCCGTGAACTGGCTCTACAGATCTTTGGTGTTGCTCGCGAACTCATGGCCCACCACTCTCAGACCTACGGTATCGTTATTGGCGGTGCCAACCGTCGTGCCGAAGCCGATAAGCTTGCCAAGGGTGTCAATCTGCTCATTGCTACCCCGGGTCGTCTGCTTGATCACCTCCAGAACACTCAAGGCTTCATTTTCAAGAACCTGAAGACTCTTGTTATTGACGAGGCTGACCGTATCCTTGAAGTCGGTTTCGAGGACGAAATGCGCCAGATCATCAAGATCCTGCCCGCGGAGGAGCGTCAAACCATGCTTTTCTCCGCCACCCAAACCACCAAGGTCGAGGATTTGGCCCGCATCTCCCTGCGCCCTGGCCCATTGTACATTAATGTTGATCACCGCAAGGAGCACAGTACCGTGGAGGGTCTGGAACAAGGATACGTGATCTGTGAGGCGGATCGACGCTTCCTGCTCCTGTTCTCCTTCCTCAAGGTAAACCAACCCTCACTCAATCGGCTTTGGAAACAAAATACTAACACGATTGTAGCGCAACCTCAAAAAGAAGATTATTGTGTTTTTCTCAAGCTGCAACTGTGTGAAGTACCATGCTGAGCTTCTGAACTACATTGATTTGCCCGTACTTGAGCTGCATGGCAAGCAGAAGCAGCAAAAACGAACCAACACGTTCTTCGAGTTTTGTAACGCCACCCAGGGTACCTTGATCTGTACTGACGTTGCTGCTCGTGGCCTTGATGTTTGTCTCTCCTCATATTCGTTCATGGTCCCGTTATCTAACTTTATTTTAGATTCCTGCTGTCGACTGGATCATTCAGTTCGATCCCCCAGATGACCCACGTGACTACATCCACCGTGTCGGACGAACTGCTCGTGGTGCCAACGGTAAGGGACGCAGTCTGATGTTCTTGCAGCCATCCGAGGTTGGCTTCCTCAAACACCTCAAGGAAGCTCGTGTGCCGGTGGTTGAGTTCGAATTCCCTTCCTCCAAAATTGTCAATGTCCAAAGTCAACTTGAGAAGTTGATTTCACAAAATTACTACCTCAATAAGGTAAGCATATCTCCCACGCAATTGAAGATGCCATTTACTCACCTTTTTCACAGTCTGCCAAGGAAGGATACCGATCGTACCTCCAGGCATACGCCTCTCATTCTCTTCGCTCCGTGTTCGATGTGCACAAGCTGGACCTGGTGAAGGTTGCCAAGGGCTTTGGCTTCAACGCCCCCCCACGGATTGATATCCAGCTGGGTGCTAGCATGACCCGCGACAAGAGACAGGAGCAGCAGGGTCGCCGCACGTATGGCAGCCAGCCCAAGGGGTCGAAGTTCAAGCGGAAGCACGAGGATTAAGCTATGACTGGAATGCTGAAATTACCAAAAAAGTCCATGGTCGCCTGCATCTATCATTTTGGGAATTGTGGAGTTAAACTGTGTAGATATACTATTTCAATCTTTATTTTTTTGACCCGATCTGTGACAAGCATCTCTGTCGTATCCCAATATCCGGTATGACTGCTACAGTATAATACTCAGGGACCCGGTGGCCATGTGGGAAAAGGGGAATTAGAATTCACTCTAGCTTTGAATCCACGTGGGCGTCCAAGCCATGTACAGCCATGGGATGCATCCATCTACCATGTATGGATCTATCGCACAGAAGTCGGCAATCTGCTTCGCTTCTTGATAACTACAATTGGCAGACCCTGAGAAGATTTACCGAAAATTATGATTGCCTCATGTACGGAGCTGCAGGTATGTCACCAAGACTACTGTGGGTGTAGTCCCGATAGCAATTTTGGTGACTTGCAGCCCCTTGCAATGCACTAGCGTCGTTAATCTGTCACACCCAGGTCGTCTTTTTTGTTTGACTTCATTTTTGCTCCGGCGATCAAGGGAAGAAAATAATTGCGAGGGGAAACCCCGTGTGCTGACCTAAAGAGCCCGAATGCGAGGGGAATTCGCCCGTATGTGATGACAATGATGAGTTGGCAGTGGAGGGAACCAATCATTGGGGCTCCATCACACCCTGGGTTTTGTCGTCTGGGCGACCATCACCTCTTTCTTTTCCCCGTCGAACCGGTTCTACTGTGTGGTCCGTGTTCCTGTGTGACAAAATCAAAATCAAAATCGAAATCCTATGAGTTGTCCGTCTGACCATATAAAAGATAGAATGTGTAAGGTAGACATGAATTGACGCGTGTAGTTAACGTGGACAAGAATGATGTGGCGCCTTTACCCAGCCACCATGTAAGAACTCGTTGGAAGGCCTGGAATAGAAATGGAAGATCCGTACGATGAAGAACACTAGTAATAACCAAGGAACCGAGATCTGATCCGCAGCCCAATCCACGGGTCCCGTTTGTTGTGGTAGAGGGCGCATGGGGGTGACCGCTTATCGGAACCTGGGGTGTACACCAGCCTTCTCTTTTTTTGCAAGAGGCTGGGCTGATCACGTCCTTATTTCCTCGGGGATCACAGTTCTTATCCCTTCGTGAAACTCTTCCTTTCATTCTTTCCCTTCCCAATCCAATCGGATTCCCCATATCCCCTTTTCATGTGAGGGATCAGCGAGAGAGTAACTCGCTCAACCTTCAGCTCGCATAGCAACCGCTCACCGTTTTCCTTTCCTCTTTCCTCCTTCAACTCTTCTGTTGAATTTCCGTCATCGTTTTTGCAACGTGACTTCTGCGCTGGTACGCTCTTAATTCCTCAAAATTAATTCCCTCGGCCCTTGAACCCTTCCCATCTGTACCCGATCTCCGATCTCCTCCCTTACCCCCACTATTGTGTTGTCAAACGGAGCATCAACAAGTGACCACCATCTGGCCCCCTCCCAACAGTCTCTCTTGCATCCATTCTCTTGAAGTATGCGATTATCGGACTGAAGACATAATAATACTTCTTTTTTGTTTTAAAAAAAGAGCAAAAGAGAAAGAGAGGCCTGTCTCCAGCCATGGGGGTCAACACCCGCAGACCCGTCCTTCCCGCCCCTACAGAATCTCTCGTCGATACTATCGGCGGCAGCGTCACGGGCACAGATCTGGCAACTGACATTTCTCGCCGCACAGACAAGACGTCGTACTCGATCCCGGACGACGGAAGCCCTGTCACGCTTTCTACCCGGCGCCATCGGGACCGGGACGACAAACTGTCTTCACACCGCGACTCGCAAACTTCCCTCCTCATCGAATACTTTGAGGGTGGGAAGGGCTCCGGTGGAATTGTCTCTCGACCTAGTGTTCGAGTACGAGTCACTCCCTCGGGCAGCCGAAAATTTAAGGATAAGGATCACATCCAGATTACCGAATCCGGCTCTAGTCGCAAACCATCATATACTCGTCGTATCTCGCTCACATCGCCATCTTCAAAACCAAGACAACTCACCGAGTCCAATTTGGATGAGCACAGTGGGAGCGAAAGTAATTCTGCTGAGGAAGGTCAACGTCCGTCACGAAACCTGCCGGTGGAAATCGAATTCATGAATCGCGACCAGGGTAGCGAAATGTCCGCGATTTCGCGTGATGCCCGTTACATGCCCACCTCGGATGTGTCATCCATGCCGGCTGACAGCATGCTTGAAGGCGCCTCGTCAGCGGGTCCCCGGCGGAAACGCAGCCAAAGCCTTGAACGCAGTGCCAAACGGGGAAGCAAAGATTTATTGAAGACTCCATCCCGACAACGCAGTCGCAGCTTGAGTCACGAGCGGATTGTCAATCGGGTTGCTGAGAAGCTCAATGAGTCCTCCCATGATGTTTCGAGCAGCAAAAAGAGCAAAAGCAAGGGCAGAAGCAGGAATGCGGGCAAGGATTATCTGGAGGCTGAACCGACTAAGTCATCGTCACGTCGGAGGCGACATGGAACCGAAGACGAATATATCCACAGTCCGGAGTCCAGTTTGCTGAGTACTTCCAACGTTTCTTCAAATCGCAAGTCCGACGCATACTCTGTTCGATCCGGCGCGTCAAAAACTTCCATCAACAACCCGAAGCTGTTAGAGACGGTCGAAGATGCCATCCGACGATTAATTCTTCCGGAGCTTAAGGAGCTCAAAAAGGACCAAAAGGTCATGTCCAACACATCTAAGTTCGAGCGAGATATGACGACTTCATACTCATCCACCAGCTCGCGCGATGAGCTTGGTCGCCGCCTGTCCAAACACGCTAGTGCCCCCGATGTGATGAAGCCCAAGGTCGTTCTTAACAAGGATAGCAAAGATGAGGGGATAGTTCTTGCTGGCGAGCCCGCCGCCCAAACCAAAGAGCGCAAATCAAGCAAGACAAGTGACACTTCTGATGCTGGGTGGGTGAAGTACAACCGACCGGACTTGACGGAACAGGAAAAGCTTCGCAGGCAAAAAAGTAAAGGTCTGCGTGATGCTCATGCGGCAGCACGAGTGGGCTCAGCTTTGACTTCGGCATCGCTCAGGCATCACGATTCCCAGTCTAGTATCGGCAAGAAAGAACGGAGAGCCAGCGGTTCCCAGAGAAGCGTGGAACCCGAAGGCTACAATGAAACAGAGCTTGTTTTCCAAAAACACAACGTGCCCGCTATGCCTATGCACAGTGCAATCGACTCTGAGTTGACCCGCACCTCGTTGCTTTCGGAGCGAACAGAGAGCCCTACTCCTCGCAAAAGAGTCTCTCTGGCGGAAATTTCTCGTGGTTCCCCGCGACAAGTCGTCTCGCCAACTGGCCATACCCCTACCCGGACTCCCTTGGACTCGCGATATGAACTTGGCATGCGCCATGGCAATCAGTCGCAGCGTGATCTTTCCATGCACAGTGTTTCCGACCGTGATCTTCATTCCAAAAGCCAGTCACCTGCAAGCGATGGTGGTAATTGGGCCATTGCTGCAGCTGCAGCTGCCAACTTGCTTGATGCTGCTCAGCCAGAGACTCATGATTCATACAACGAACCATATGAGACCGGCCGGCAACTCAGCCCTATCCAGAGTGTAGCTAGCGAGCGCACTGAGACTCATGGTGAACAGTATCCCAACAAGTACCACACCGAAGCCCAAAAGGAGATCGAGCCCCGTCTTTCAATCGAGTCCTTATCTTCTGCTCCTAGCACCAACCTTGCACGATCCACTCGCCAGGGCGTAAGCCCCAGAAGCCAAAGTGGCTTTTCCAAATACGACGAAGAGGGCCCTGAGCTTGGATACGAACAATCACGCCATGTTTATCCCGAGGATGACATCTTCGGTCATGAGGAGGAATCCAAGCTTTCCTATGGCCAAGAAGATAGTGAAGTTGATTTCATGGACAAAGTCAAGGAGGGTCAGCATGTGACACCTGCCATCGCTGCTAACCCGCAGTTCGTTCAAGCCATGGGCATCGAATCAAACGTTGCGTCTTTGATGGACCCCTCAATTCTGGAGACCTCGATTCTGGAGACGCAGTCGTACCAGTCTGGCACTGGTAGTCGATCACAGACCGACCTTGCCCAGCGATCGAGAAGCCGAAGCCCCGAGAAGCCTGTCAATGAGGTTTATCGGGGTAGTCCCCTCAAGCAACGTCAAGATGCGTCTAGTCCTGATGAAACTTCTTTCACCCGCCGAATGGGTGTCACTTCACCTCCACAGAGCGTGACACAATCGATTGAAGACCTGGAGGAGGCTGGTATGGTGGCTGCAGCTGCTCGTGGTATTGACCGCGGTCTCGAGAGTCCCCTACCAGAGGCAGACCAACGCAGCCAAGAATCTGAGTCTGAAATCAATACCAACCCGTCTATCATCCAAGGTCCGATCGGTGGCATCGCTCAAGGAAACGGTGACCACTGGGCGTATGACTCGCGATCCCCACCTGCTGGACAGGTTCCATACTACGAGTCCAACCCAGCCGGAGCCAAGGACCTGGGTGCGCAGCCGCGTGGTCTTGATGCTGAGTACTACGAGACTGCCAGAAATATCTTTGGTGGCGATGATTATTACCCTGATCAGCGTGCCCAACAGCTGTTTGACACTTCGCCTGGAGCTAAAGATGAAGGTTACGTCTCGGCTGCTAACCCTGTTTCTCCAAGCGTTGGCACCCCTAAGCAAGGCAGCCGAGGTGTCGGAGCTGTGGATGCCTTTGGTGCCCCCGCCGAGATGGATGAATTTTCTGCTGGTCACCAGCGTCATTTTAGTGGTTATTCTCATGGAGTTGGCTCGCCACTTTACGACAGTGCTACTGGCCATGGCATCGAGAGAATCAAGTCCAAAGATATCGTTGCCCTCATGGACCATCTCACCGTTCGTGACGCCCAGCGCAATGCCCGGGATACTGAGATGTTGGTCACCCTGGTCCGCAGTGCTGCTGAGATGCGCACTTCGTTTGACGAGATGAAGAAATTCATTGCCCAGCAAGACGAATTGCTGCTTGATTCCACCGAGAAGCAGCATGAACGACTCAATCAGGTTCTTGGGGGTCCCCGGCCGCTGCCTCCCAGTGGATCTCGTACTCGCCAATTGAACCTGGAGGACGATGAGGACTTGCAGTCTAAGCGGAAGAACATTTTCAAGCGTGCTCTCAAAGGTCTAAGTCTGAAGTCCGGTAATGACTTGTCTAAGATCGAAGGCATGCTGGAGCAGCTGCTTGACGAAGTTGAAGCCCTCCGAGATGGTCAGGGCATGACCAGCCCACGTGCTACGGCTCGGATGAGTGTCGACGCGAACACCTTTGACAACAATGGCCAGAATGGTGTCGCCCAGGGTAGCCAATCTCCTTACACGTCGAGCCCAGCTCGGCAAACAAACGCGGACCCGCGCGTCAGCACTGTTCATGAAGAGGATGAGGAGGAGGGCGACCTTGATGAGGATGATCCTTACATGACTGCACACTTGCCTGTGCAAGACTTTGCTCGCCACGAAAGAGCTGGATCTCTACCTCTTGCTACACCCCCTCGCAAGCCGCTGGCCTCAGGAACGCGCAGCAATGAGACCACTCCCAAGGCTTCCACCGACAAGGCCGAAAAAGCTCGCAAGCACAAATCCAGTAGTTCTTCGATCTTCCCCAAATTTTCTCGCTGGTCTAAGACCACCGCTTCTTCCATGGGTGACAATATCCGCAACAGCATTCAGCCTGGACGAAAGGAGCGCCCTTACTCTGAGAATCTGTCTCGCTCGGGATCCGATCTTGGACAAGATGCGTATCAGAAGGCTAATTATTACGATCCCGAGGGCGATGATCGCCTCCATTCCCCTTATGGAGACGAGCAAGAGAACCGGCCCCCATCGCCATTGGTGCCCTCTCAAGTTTCTGAAGCCCCTAAATACCGAGCTCACCGTGGAAGTCTCGATCTCCAGCACCCCCAGCCTAGGCAGGGACCAACGGGACGCTTCCAGTCAGCTTTGGAGACCCAGGCTCAGACCTACGCTACCCCCGGCTCGCCCAGCTCAGAGCGATGGGGATCCCAACCCAGCTTGCAGGCCGGGCAGCCCGCCCAGAACCGCTTTAGCGCTGGCAGCAGACTCTCTCCAATCTCTGATGCAGGCTATTCAGAGCACAGCTCCCGTGCAACGGGACCACCCCGTCCTCCGAAGGTCAAAGACGAGGGACCTCTGATTCCCGAGCGACCACCCAAGGTCCTCGAAGATGAAGACGATCAGGCTTCGACTACCTATGGCGATCGTGTCATTTCACGGGTATGTCTCCCAACAAATCCTTCAACCCCAGATCAAAAGCTAATTCATTCACAGGGCTCCGCCATCCGCTCCCCTCCCACCCGCAAGCCAACAGGCCCTCGCCCTTTGACTTCTGGCGGCTCCTACAGTCCCAGTAACATCAAGCGCACCCGCTACCGAGGCAGTCCGATGCAGATCGACTATGAGGATGAATATTGAGACCGCATTGAGATACCCTAGGTTGTATTTGTGTCTAGCGAGCTTTGACTTTGATTTTTGTTTTACGTTTTACCCTTTTCTTTATTCCTATTCCATGTGACGAGCTCGGCGTCCGCGCCTATTACGACAGTTAACGACCATGCCCTACCTGATATCTTACCATTGAGCTTTGACTTGAAAATCATCCTCTCCCATCTATGAGCCATTTGCGTGCAAACTTTCATTCCTGCTATTCGAGGCTTTCATTCTGTTTTCAATGTCTATAAGCTTCATGATGGGTGGGGCAGCCATGTATTGATTTTGTTGTATCTTGTTCTACGCCCTCGTTCATTTCTTGAGGATAATTTTTTTGATTTTTATCACCATTTGGTGAGGGTGTGTAGATACGTGTGGTTGGTTTTAGTGCCAATTCATGATTCGGTGCTACATATTCATCTTGTTCCAAAAGTTAATAGTAAATGAGACCATTTTATCAAATGCAGATATTTTGACACAGGCTTTCATGGAATATTGAATCATTTTAAAAATGTAGTCTGGGGTAGAGGTAAAGTAATAGACACTGTCACTGGCTAAGTATAACTTCTCAACAACTCTCTAATATCCAGACTGACGAAGACCAAAGAATCGAATGGGAAGAACATGGTCAAAACGCTGAATCAAGACAAAAGCCCAAACACGACTCACCCTCCCATGTACTCTGCAACCAGGTTTTAATAATCAGAAAAAGGCCTAACCGTCGTAGTCCCCTTCTCCCGAAACGCATACTCCGCCGTCGCAAGCCCACTAGCCTCAATCCCATCACTGATTGGAAACTTCCCAGGATAACTCTCAGTAGAATGGCACTTTGTCTCACGATCCATCCGAACTCCCTCACCCTCACTACCCGCCGAGGACCCCAAAGAATGCAAAGCCAAGGTAAGATCAACCGGCTCATCAACCGAAGCCAACGACCTTAGCGACGCAACAGGCGACTCCTGTCCCGCGCATATGCCCAATCTAATGATATGTGTCTTCGAAGCCGAAGGCGCAGTCCGATTCATCATCTCGGTGATATCATGCACCTGATGCAGAGGCAAGAGATACTCATTGTCATCCTCACTGCGCTCTTCAACGCTAGCGCCGAGTTTGTGTTCATGAACCGAGTGAGTCGAATGCCGGGCGAGATGGAGCGCAGGCGTCGAGCGTGCTTGAACGGGACTCGTATGGCCTTTTTCTTTCTCTGTCGTCCCCAATACGGGCAAGCGTGGGTGGTTAGAAGGTGGCATTCGCTTGACTGCCGTATCATACATGGGGGCATTTGCTTTTGTGTACCGGTCCACTACTGCGCTGGGTTTGTTGATTGCGACACCAAGCTTGGAGTCGGACTGGTGCGAGGGCATGCGCTCAAGTGCTGTTTCGGGATAGCATTGTGGCATAGTTGGAGGAGTTTTGAAGGCTGTTGAAGGTGGTTGGGGCATGTTTGGGACGCCATCGATTGTGAGTCTGGAGGCGGATGCGTATGCGCCTGGTTGGGAACGGCGGTTTAGTAGTTCGGGGTGGAGGATTGTTGATGGGTTTGGTGAACGGTAGTTTGAGAAGGGGATTATACTGATGATGAGGTCGATTATTCGTTTCTCTGTTCGCTCGATATTGTATTTGAATGGTGGGAACTCTTGTGCGGAGGAGCAGAGAGGCCGGGCAATGTAGGAGATCAAGTAGAGGAATTGGAGGTGGACGAGGGTTATGATGAGGGAGTTGGTTGTTCTTAGGGTGACGGGGAGAACGGCGTGGGTTCGGTTTGATCTTTTGTAGACAACGAGAGGCATTTTCGCTCAGATTTGATGGTAATGACTGGGATTGTCGAGTGAGGGTTTGTTGAGTCGTTGATATACTGGTTCTCGATGCGGTGGTTACTGGGAAGGTGCGAGTCTCCAGCCGTTTCCCGGAAACAATAGCCCTAACATCTCCTACCGCAGGTCCTTGCACGTGGGTTTCCAAATGTCTGGCCCGATAGCCCATAAAGAAATAAGCCTACACATTGATCTGGATTCTGACAAGAAATGCTTGCGGGAACTGAAAAGCGCATCACCATCCATCAATATCAATTGTAATTCCAATGGGCCTAGGTAGGACCGGCCATTGTCTCATCCGCATCTCCCAATTGCTTGTTATGCCAAACCCTTGGAATATGTGACAACATTCATAGTTGATAGAGATGCAGAAATGGGCCGCTACAATCTATACCGAAAGCCTGCAGTTCTTTCCTCGATGTTACTTTTGCTTGAACATTCCATAGGATGACCACGCTTGTTGGGCAGGCCTATTTTTGGTGTTAGTGCTAAAAAAGCAGCGCAGAATTAATGAGCAGACTTCTTCACAAATGAAAAGAAACAAAAAGCCTCAATTATAGTACATCTAGATGCTCAGGCTCGGTCTAACCAATCACATACCAGTCACGTGACTAATATTTCAAGTTGACAGGCCTCCGATTCTCGCAAAATAAGTCAATTGCTAGATGAACTTATCATGAATCCTACAATGGTAATGACTTTGAGTTCATAGCTAGGGACTCCAAAGAAATTTGTCTTAGGTTCCTCGTTAGCCTCTGTGTGTGGGATATACAAGCTGCCCGATACATGGATGACGGTAGATCGAGTAGATCCACTTAAAGCTAATCTCGGCCCAATCCCCGGCGAGTCGCAACGACACCTCCACTCTCTTGACTCATGACAGCCCGTCTAGCAGCTCTCCGATCTACCTTATCCACCATGGCAGGCATTGCAACAGATTGTCAGCATGTGCGCCCACGGAGCTTCGCACCGCTCGATACCACCAAAGTATCAGATGCGCCGCGGCTAAAGGGCATCGTGTTTGATGTGGATGGGACCTTGTGGTAAGCCGATTTCAGCTTCCCTTTCTCAAGCATGGACTTCATCCCATAGTAGCTTCGCTAGGTTGGTATTGATTGTTTTGTATCATTAATTTCGAGCACTGCATTGCGCAAATGCATAATTGGAAGGGGCACTGGGGCAAATGGCTCTTATTGCAAGAGGAATATCTTGACTGGGTTACAAACTAACATGGAGAACCAGCTTGCCACAACACCATATGTTTACTGAAATGAGGTAAGACTAGACCGACTGATCCGTTGCTATACAACACGAAGAAATACAACGCATAAACATCCATGAAACTAACAATGAACCACTTTAAGAGATGCACTTGGGATAGATAAATCAATCGACATCCTGCACCACATCCAAGGTCTTCCAACCGCAGAAGACCGCGCTGCAGCCGTTGCAAAGATCCAAGCCGTTGAGCGGCGCGCCATGATGGACCAGGTACCACAGCCGGGTCTAGTGGGACTAATGGAGTATCTCCAATCCCGCGGCTTGAGACGGGCACTATGTACACGGAACTTCGAGTAAGCGCTTCCCCGGCGTATCGGTCCCAGTTCAACGATATAATGAACCACGGGAACGCTAATACATTTCGCAATACAGATCGCCTGTCCGGTATCTTCTCAACAATCACCTGCCGGAGCATATATTCCTGCCTATAATTACGCGAGACACACCCAATGTGATCCCCAAGCCTGATCCAGCTGGCATCCTGCATATTGCGCAAGAATGGGGGTTGACGAATCGGGCCGAGAGTTTGATTATGGTGGGTCAATCTGATGGTCTTTGGATCCTGTTCTGGCGGAAAGCTGATTTTCTTTAGGTTGGTGATAGTATTGATGATATGACGGCTGGACATAAAGCTGGTGCGGCGACGGTGCTGCTTTTGAATGAGAGGAATACTCATTTGCAGGAACATGCTCATACTGATCTTTGTATCAATCGGTTGGATGATTTGATTGAGATCCTTGAGCAGGGGTTTGTTAGCCAGCGGTGTGATCCGGGGCATGTCTGATGGCTTCCTTGGCTTGACAGTCATACTTTTGCTTTCGCGAGGTCGGTATAGAGATGTGTCCACACCTTAGATGCTGGAACCTTAGGGTCGAATTTAGTTTGGAAACATGCATGATCTTTCCTATGATATCAGGTCAAGACCTTGTAAATGTGTACACGCAAAGCTTTTAAGTACAGGGGAATCATGGCATTTCGTTACATGGACCTTATTGGTCTATTTTCCTCTGCGACCCCTGCCCCCACCGCGTGACGGCGGTCCTCCACGGCCATTACCACCACGACCACGACCTCGCGGGGGCGGGCCACGAGGGAACGAACGCGGAAGTGGAGATAGTGTACGCTGGCGGGTGTTATTCCCAGTGAACTGTGGCCGGCCACGGTTCGGCGGGGGCCTTCCCCGTGATTTATCAGGCCCGGGGCCGTTACGCGGGGGTGCGACTGAATTTCCAAATCGAATGTGTGATCCGCGGCCTCGTCCGCGTGAGACCGGTTGGGGTTTTGAGCCCTTGCGGGGCAGCATGTCATCACTTGATGGGGATGAAGAGCGAGCATTGAGCCCTCCACGAGCTCCTCCTCGCGCCTTGCGACCCTGGCTGTAGTTTATGGGCGGCTGGATCTGCTTAGGGGCTGTGTTGAGGTTGATGATATGGTCAGGGTCAATGCCCTTGAGTGTAAAGGACGAGGTGTTGTAAGGCCGGCGGAGAGACGGGCAGTCGCCAATAAGATGACTTTTGCTGATGCAATTAGCACATGAGATTGAAACCTTGACCTCTGTTGATGCGGTTTCACGCAGTGGAAACTTCCACCGATCGTCGCACCACGACTCAGTATGATCTGATGAGCCACAAAAATCACAAGGAACTTCAGAAGCGGAGCTCTTCAATGCTGAGGGGCACTCCTTATCTTCGTGCCCTCTTTCCCTGCATCGCTGGCATCTTCGCCATGAGGGGCAGAGTGCGCTTATATGTTGATTCCATGCTTGACAGTGTGAACACTGGGAGATATGCGTTAATACCTTCTAAGTTACTGGCGTGCTTTGCTAAATATGCATACCTCTTTTGTAGGACACACTTCCGCCTGATGGCCAAATTGAAGACATTCAGTGCAGCCCACCGGGAGTTGAAGATCGATATCATTGATGTCTTGATCCCAATAGATGAACTGAGCTTGAATTTCCATATCCCCCTTTCCTAGATCCATCAGAACGGCTGGCGGTGTGGGATATTTCTTTGCATAACGCTCAAATGCCTCCTCCTTAGATTCAGAAGATCCAGATGGCGCCGATGCACTTTCCTCTGAAACTCCATTCACATGACTGTTTGTTTGGCCATTTGTGACGACATCCTCTGGGCTGTACTCATCTGCGGTATCCTCGGCTTTCTCGCCAATGTTTAGCAATATGGAATCATCGGCTTCGGAATCCAAAGACACTGCATCGGAGTCACTTCTAGAATCCACTTCGCCTTCTTCCAATCCACTCGAGCCGTCCGACCCATCTTCAGACTCTTCATCTCCATTCACGCCGGTATCCTCTCCACTAGGTTCAGGCGAAGCCGATTCATCGCGAGGTGTCCAAAACGCATTCACCGCCGAAAACTGTTCTGCCTTCGGCCCTGTAGCCTGAGGTTTTGGCTGAACCTCTCCAGATGCCTTGCGTTTCCCGAGCGTAGTTCGGATAGGCGCTTTTCTTCCTTGGTTCCAGCTTATTGCAGGCGCAGTGCTGCCCTTATGAGGGTTGGCGGGTGCTGGCTTCTCGGGCGAGTCCGAATGATCGGAATCGCTCCCAGAGCCCGCGCTCGATCCGGAACTGGATGTCTCGTCGGGGTCGACCTCAAGCGGGTTCGAGCTGAAGGATGCGCCGCGGGGAAGAATATCGCTCACATCGCCTGCGCGAGATCGATTCCGTCGCTGCCTCTTCTTGGGTCGGGAGTCACTGTCGCCGGAGCCGCGGGTAGAGGAATTTTTCGATCGGGGCCTCTGAATGCCGACGGATGCTGTTCGGGAATCAGCTTCATCCCCAGAGTCTGACATGATTGTTGTTGGCAAATTGAACAACTTTCGGGGAGAGGATCTTGACGCGAGAATTGCAATCAAAATTTTACGGTTGGCGCCGCGTGCCATAACCGCATTATGTGCGTTAGTGGGGCCGCCCGATTGGTTTACATCACTTGCACTGTTTACTTGAAGACAGGAACGAGGTTGGGACATCCAATCAAAATTGTCTCCTTATATCTTTCTATTCATCGAATATTGCGCCTAGATGAGGTAGTCATTTATTCAGCAAAAAAATTAGCTGGCTGCTCTCACTGGCATGAGAGCCTGGGGCTGGGGCATATTTTACCAATTCAGTACAACAAGAGCTCTGGTCGAGGATTGAAATCACTAGAAGACTTTTAGCATTCGCTTTCACTAAGACCAAAGCCGCCATACTCCATGACATAGTATTCATAGAAATGAGTAGACCGCACTAAAATCGATCAAATGGAGTATGCTAACCTTCTCACGGGATTACCCTGTGTTATACTAAAAAGACAGGCTCTCCCAAGTGACCTCTCAATTTTGTCCCTCTTTGATGCCCTAAGAGTCAGATGACTGCTCTATAGAAGAGCATCTCCCCTGCCTCTGTTTCTTGGCTTTTCCGTGTCACAGGATCCTGTTCTGCCTCGCACGTAGCCACGTCTTCCTCTCTGGTCTTGATTAGTACGTCAGCGCTGACGGATTCCGACTTCCATAAGTTTGATGTTCTATCTTAAGACTCAATCTGAGCCCCACATCTTATGCCGACAGACATATCCGTTCCTGCAGGAGATTAGAGTCCTGATCTTTGGGGCTGGCTGAGGTTCAACTCATGTGGATCTACGGAGTATATACGGGGTACATGGTCACTCAATGCAGTCAATACGTGTGGCCGGCTATATGCAGTAGATAGGTCAGAGCATTACATCGTCTCGCGTCAAGCAGTGTGACTTGAACCACTTGTTGACTCATCATAAAGCCCTGATTGCCGTGGCCGCGTAGTTTTGCCCTTTCTGTCCTTCACTCAGGCAATATTTAGCGACAAATCACAGACCAAGTTGACGCTCGGGAAGGCCGCCTTAGCGTGAGCTTGATTTTATCCGCCCTTGCTGCAGTGGCTCGGTCGCACTTGCATAATTGGTCCAGTTCTGTTTGATGGGACGTAAGCCAAAGCAAAATCTGCAGCTTCTGCCATGTGCTTCAGCTCCCCACAGGCATTCACCTCTGCAAGACTAGACGCCTCCTTGTGAGTGGTGAGTTGGTCTGTGATGATATCAAGAGATTGTCAGTTCAGCTTCATCACATCACAAGAACATAGTGATTGGACCCTTCCAAGGTTGCCTCTTCCTCAAGACAGCCATGTCGTCAACTTCCATACCTTCGATTGGCACTCGCCAGAAATTCCTGGTTTTTTCTTCGGAGGCTGAATAAAAATGTTTCATATGTCTATCATTCTCCTTGACATGAGAGAGAAAGTCAAGTCATACCAAGCGACAGCAGCCAGCTGAACCGATGGAATGTGTGATCTTTCTGCGACATTACAGGAAAAGGCGTAGATGGAGTTATAAATTGGAGCAACTGCACCATGTCTACTGACTGTTCGTCCCCGTCCATTCTTTACTCCAATGGGTTTTACAGCCATGCTGGGCTTATACTTCTTTGTTTGGCTCTCACTTTGGGGCTTCGTCCCTTCTGTGGTGAGAGCCCAATCGCAATTCAACATCGACCAGATCCCCAACCTTCTCGACCTATTCACTCTTTCTCCTTCCACAGACAGCACCTCGGGAAAGTCCATGTGTTGTCCTTAAGGAACTCAATTCTATGGTCAACAATGCGTTCCTGGGGCATACGTGTGCCCCCAAGGCTTTCATTTCCAAGATCCATATTGCGTTTCGCAAATGGAACCCTCGTGCCCTAAGGGGAGCACACTTCGAGATCAAATGGGTTTTGCCAATACCACTCCCACGTGTCCGAAAGGCTCGAGATTCGACGGCCACAATTGTGTCGTCGGATGGCCCACCTGCGAGCGCGGTTTCCGAGTTGAAAACAAAATTTGTGTATTTGATAAACCTGCGTCTTGCCTGCATCCTTACTGCTTCGAGAATAATAACTGCGTCACCAAATCGGGACCAAAATGTCCTAAAGACATGAAATATGAAGAACGGGACTGTGTCAGCAAGAAAGACCCTATTTGTCTTCATGGTTCTGTCTTTGATCATAAATGGCATCGTTGTGTCTCGTTGACTCGTCCCTACTGCCCTGAGGACAGCGAGCTTGTCGATGGTGCTTGCTTGGCCAAGACACTTCCACAATGTAACGGATCTGACGATCTTGACGAAAGCCTTGGCAAATGTGTATCTAGGTCTGCACTTTCGTGTGGCAAAGGATTTGACTTGGACCCGGCTACTCATGAGTGTATTCACAAACAACATCCCATCTGCCCCCACAATGCGCATTTATCATTTGATGCTACGAGAAGTTCTGCTCGCTGTTGTCCCCACCATAAGAAATGGAACGGTGAAATGTGTTGGGAGTTTGCCCGGGATCACAAATGCCTTGACGGTTTCAACCTTGATGGCGACAAATGTGAGCAGTAGGCTTTGCAAAAGCCTAAATGTCCCCGAGGAAGCGATCTTCGTGGACGCGTATGTGTTAGCAATACGCGACCTGAGTGTCGTGAAGGATACTCTCTTGATAAGGGCCTGCGCGTTCGAGATAGGAAACCAATCTGCTCAAAGAACTTCCATTACGATATTGCCCGTGGAGAGTGTGTGTCCAATCATTGCCCGGCAGGCTCTGCTCATAGGCCATGACTGTGTTCTGGGCGAGAATCCATTTTGCGAATTCGGGTTCACCTTTGATGGAGAACGTTGTGTCTCTGACAACACATCGCCATCTTGTGGTAACAATGAGTATCTTGAGGATGGACATTGCGTGGTTCTGGAGCGACCTAGCTGCCCTCCCCAAACGACCTTTTCCAGCACCGGATGTGTATCATTCCAGTTCGTTCCGAAATGCAAACATAGGTCTTTCCCTGACGACCGCAGACAATGCGTGGTTGAGAAGACGACCAATTGTCCCCGAGGTACAGCCTGCAAGAAGTCAGGTTGTATGGCCAGGGTTCCTATCTGTGTGGAGGGTGCTGAGTACAACGACCAAACCGAACGTTGTGTCAGCATCAAGGGTCCCAGTTGCCCTCTCGGCCACAGTCGAAAGAATGGTGTATGTCAACCAGACTTGGAGATACAATGTGAGAAAGGGTTTACTCGTGATGGAAATCAATGCTGCAAGAAGCCTGAGTGCAGAAACAACTTCTATTACGACCACGAGCTGAAGAAGTGTGTGGGAACTACAACATTGCCACATCCAGACGACTATCCAGAAGATGGTGTATGTGTCCGTGGACCAACCACATGTCCCGAGGGATACCATATTCGGAACTGGAGATGTGTTTCGACTTCTGTTCAGTGCGAAAGAGGCGCTAGATACAACAAAAAAACCGGGTTTTGTGAGGCTGATGCCGATGTTATTGAATGCCCTGATGGTACAGAATTCAAGGACGGTTGTTGTTCCCGTCGTTCATCAGGAGATTACTGTGCCAGCGCCACGTGGTGCGGTCCCAAGACTTCCCCTATTGGCTCAGGAGGTAGTATGAGCTATACGGTGTGGGAGTTGAACACCACCCATCGTTCTCTCGCCCAGGATGCAGATTTACACTATCAAGAGATAGACGGACGCCACGAATTCGAAAGGCATCATCTCATGGAAGATGATTTTGAGACTGCGGAGGTTGAGGAGAAGGTGATGGATGAAGAAGATTTTGATGCAGAGGAAGCACAAGAAGAAATTACGGAGGAACGGGGCGAATGGGAAGAAGATGAAGAAGATGAATTTGGGGAACTAGAAGAGGAATTTGACGCTGAGAAGGTCTAGGTAGGAGTATGTGAGACTACGTTTTGGATGAACAGGCTTTCGATTAGGTGTGTGTAGTACAAGTTGCCCTTGTGCTTGATTGGAGTTTGCTATGCAGATATGTTTGAATACTATTTGGTTGAATTCTTACCCTTACACCATCCTATCATAGCGAGTCATTATAGTCCATATGGACTCTGAAAGGAGGCAGCAACTCGGATAGGAACCCGGTAATTAGGAAATCCACTAGATAACTGGTTAGTTACCTTGGCCTAAGTAGCCTGACCTGCGTTGCGCCATGACGGGGGTGTTTTGTTTATCTCGCCACTGCGAGGTATCATGCTATTGGTGTATGTGAGATCGGTGGGAGTTATTATATCTCGAAGCAATGACTCATGCAGACAGACAGATTCCAATGTCGGCCTTGGATCGGAGGCACCAGCCCGATCTAGGGTTTGCCACAAGCTTTGTGGGTTGTAGCTCCAAGGTTCGTGAACACGGCTTTGGTTCCTGCCTGTACGGCTGTTAGTGAAGACCCAGGAGTCTTCGTGGTTCTGACTGTTGTGATATAGGGCTGATTCAATATTCGCTGTCTAACCATAAGCGACATCGTATGATAGATCAGCTGCCCTGGCTGGTCTCTCCGGTCGTGCACGATCGAACGGTTCTCACTGATCATCGCCAGTCTATGACTCCTTTGGAGTTCAATTCCTTTGGAACTGGCTTGAAAGTGAGACAACGAGAGCTGTTCCGTGGCGATTATGCCAATCCCCGGACTATGTATATGCCGAAGAGACTGGGAGGAAAATCCGGCAAAACACAAGGGAATTGAACGCGTTATCGGGAACATACACATTGTTCTAGATCAATCGGAAAATAGGGGCTTTCCGTTTTATAAATAGGAGAAAGTGGCTTTGACTATTTCATTTAGCTCAACGTATTTAGTCCACATTCAGTTGAGCTGGTCCTTACTGCACGTGCCGTGTGGCCAACCCATTCCTCCACGAATTTTTTTTCTTGTCTCACTCGAAATCCCTGGGAAAATCACCGAAATCCCCCCCAGAAACACCCCACCAAATACTCCGTTGCGGTTGCGTTGATTCGAAAAAGAGAAACTGCCCCGTGACCCCGAAAGCCGATCCGCCTTTCTCCAGTTCTGGGCCGTGTGTGCCACTTCCATCCCCACGCTCCTTTTTCCCATCAACCACCTTTTCGCCGTCACGCTGGCTTCCGACTCTTCCAAATCCTCCCTGTTGGTTCCTCGTGCCATCTCTTTTGCACCCGAGATGGACGGGCCACAGCGGTTATCTCCCAACACTCAGAAGCAGGGCCGCCGCCGGCGGTCCAGCAGTCTGATCTACCAGGAACCCGCTGAATCGAACGAGCACATAAGCGACCAGGCTGCGCTACCCAATCTCAATGCCAACTGGGTGCATGCGAAGGGTGAGTTTCCGTGGTGCCACCTTCTCAGATTTCCCCCAATCCATCCGCCGATCGGGACACGGTGGACAGGTTTATGGAATCCAAATACGAACACTGGCTAACGAGATCGGTCGCTTGAATAGGTGCCTGGACCATCCACTTCGTCCTCATTGCGGCGCTCAAAGTACTCTGCGACATCATTCCCGGGGTCTCGCAAGAAACCTCATGGACCCTTACCAACATCAGCTACATGTTTGGCTCCTTCCTCATGTTCCACTGGGTGCGGGGCATCCCGTTCGAGTTCAACGCTGGTGCTTACGATAACCTCAACATGTGGGAGCAAATTGACAATGGCGACCAGTACACGCCTACCAAGAAGTTCCTGCTCTGCGTTCCGATCTTGCTCTTCCTCGTGAGCACCCACTATACCCACTACGACCTTACCTACTTCACGATCAATTTCTTGGCCACGCTAGCGGTGGTCATTCCGAAACTGCCTTTTGTACGTGTCTTCTATATCCCCATACCGCATCTCTCCGTCTCCGGGGAATTGCGAGAAACCACAGCTAACGTCTCTCCAGTCGCATCGTTTGCGAATAGGTCTCTTCTCCGATTTAGAAGACGATTCATAGTGTACTCTTTCCTTTCTCTTTCTCTTTTTCTTATGCTACATTGGCGTCCGGCCTCCGAAGCTCACTCCCTGTCTTGACACTCCGTTCCCTCCCCTGTTTCCTCTTTCCTCAAAAGAGTTTCTTGCATTGCGTTGATTCACGGAGTATGATCCGTCGTTGGCTTGTCGCAAATCTTTCTCCTTTCTTTTTTGGAAAATATGAGACGCAGCCGTGGGCCCGGCCACCCCTTTTTATTTTAGCTCCAGCCTGTCCTTTGTCTAGATGTCCAGTTTTAGAGCCCTGCATATCTTATATTCTGCACAATCTTCCTCTCTTCCTCGTGAGCCTTTTGGAATCTTCAAGGCTCGCGTAGATTTAAGCCTGAAATTTAGAAATGGGGCCATGCAGAACTACATACTAGCCATGCCTTGGATGCAGGTTATTTTCTTGGCTGGGTCCATGCGGGGGACATTGCATCATCGCAGAGGCTGGTTTGTTTACCATTCGCCTGCTTCTAGGTATTCAGGATTGTATAAGACACTTTATCATAAATGTAACTGAAGTTGATGGTCTACATCATAACATTTTCATAGGAATCTACGCTGCTTCCAGGTGAAGTTGGTTAGCTACCCCGCTTCTATGGATTTAAATTGTGGTATGGAAATGGGGCCATTTAGTTTTGGTCCTTTGATTTCAACAGAAGCCATTATCAATATGACTGATGCTTCTAGTGCAAATTAATGTCTCCCGTCATCCTCGATTTCATGTTCTAGCGTCAGTCCACAGCATTCGAACAAACAGTAAAATTTGTAGTAGCAGTACGGCGGTATGTTGTTGCCAATCATTCAACTGTTCCGTCTATGAACCTGTGCATTTGTGTTCACCTTCTACATAGACCCACGCTCAGGTAGGTTCACGCTACTTTCTAGCCTCGATACCTGGCTGTTCCAAGGTTTTTATCCTATATGCGGCATTGCATAGTCGGGATGTACCTATGGCTTTTAGAATGACGGTGAACTATTCGACAGGAGGATATCAAGGGCGAATCAATGGATTGCTTTGAAAGGTTTTATATAGTCCCAAATATAACACATAGATAGGGTACACTTGAGAGATCCGTATTGGCTTGGCGAATTACCATTCGGTCATAGAGCAACATGACCGGGTCTCGAGACTCAACAGCCATCAGGGTTCAAGCCATGGAGCACATCTGCTTCATATTTTGCACAAATAAGCCACTGGGGATCAGTCTGCTCAAATCATCTCGTACTTTTAATCTATTTTGATCATATAATCTCCCTTTCTTAGAAGGTTAACATCACATGCCTCAATCTTGACAACGAGCAACGAAGAGACGTTTCAGAGCCCATCAAAAGAACATGAACGGGGAAGAGGACTTAGATGATTCATGTTATCACAGACCTATTAAAAATAGTGAGAGGTAGGGAAAGAAGAATAAGATAGAGAGAACAGGAACAGGATAATGGAATGTTCCTTAGATCCATTCCTGGAGATGCCTGTCCAACTTAGTATGGAGTTGAGTTGGCAGTTGCCATCGGCTGGAAAGCTCCCACAAATTCTTATCCGACTAGCAAGCTGGAAATCTGCCGCTTGCTTGCAGGCGAGGAGACGCCTGCTCCTTTGATTTATCCAACCATTGAGGGCAAAGCTGAGTCGATTGACGGCGCTCTCAAGGCTTAGTCGACGTTCTTCGCGCACGTTGTTTATTTTTTGGGGAAAATGCGGCTTGAACCCTTGCAAAGTCTTTCCTGAAGAGGTCAACTAGTTATCAGCATTATGAAATGGGAAAGAACTCGAGTGGGGCCTATTACATGCAGTGATCACGCTAACCTTTTCAGGAGAGTATGAGTTGGGGGCGTCATCTTCAAGGCCTCCGAAGTACACCATTACCTACTTAGGTAAATTGCAAAATTGAGCTCATCTACCGCTTCCTTATTACGGATTGTATCGTAGTGGCGACTCAGTAATCATCGATCTTCCTACTCAGCCAAGGCAAAACAGTCGCGATCTTGAAACATCAGATCTACTATTCCCGCATCGGGCCATTGAAGCTGGAGGCTACGAGGCCCCTATGGTGGCCTCTCTCGAGGATAAATAGCTGAATATATCCTGTACAATTTCAATATCATCAACTCCATCAATCTAATCTACTCAATTGACTCAATCAATCAACCGATCTCCCGATCAACCAACCCACCATCAAAATGCAGTTTATCACCGTCATCATCGCTACCCTGGCCGCTGTCGCCACTGCTACTCCCTCCCCCGATGCCTTTGAGAAGCGCACCTGTGTTGGCCGTGGGTTCGACTCTATGGATAAGATCGAAGGTATCGTTAGCTGACTATCTTTCTAGACTACAAGAATGCTTGCGAGAGCAATGGCCCCTCTTGCTGCGACGGCTGGCAGTGTGTTGGCGCCACTGAGTGGAACGCCGGTGTCTGCATTCCCAACTACTAGGGGACTTGCATGACTTTTGTTACGATGGTCAACCTTTAGCATAGATCTCTTGAATACAATTGGGTACATACATTGAATGGGCTGGTCCTGTTCTTTGTCCCGACTTTGAACCCCCGCACAATCAAAGACCTACCAAACAAAGAACTAAGCGCATATAAGATTCCTTCGTAGTCGCATTTTTATTGCATTCATCTTTTGAAACTCTTCCACGCTGTGATAAATAATCTTCAACTTTCAAGATTGGCTTTAGTTTATAGTTTACTTGTCTTAGTTGTTACTCCACAAACCTGACTAATCGCTTATCGATAAGGCGCGTTTCTTGACGCGAAATCCGCGACGATGACCGATTCTCTCCATCGACAGGCCATGGGTCCTCCCAATAATGTAGCGTACCGCACGCCTGCGGTACTACCGTTTGAACTGATCCAGCATATTGGAATCTTCTTCGAGGAAAATCTCTGTCCGAACCCTCACACCTTCCTTTGGCATGCAGCCCCACTAACAAACGTCCAGACACTCAAGGTTTAAACCTTCTGTACAGTACCCTCGCCTCGGGGACCTATGCCTCTCGGAAAGCGTTTGTCCCTTTACCACAACATATTGCGCTCGCCGTCACGTTCCTCGTTCACCCAACAACTACAACTCGCGCCAAGTCTGCCGAGGCAAAGGACGCAGCCTCCGTGGCCCTACAGCTTCTTCGGCTCCTCTCTACCCTCGTCAGCCCAAAGGATTGCAGACTGAATAATGCATTTGTATTTACGCATCAAACACTGCGATCGGGTCGCCGGCACCATGCAGATCATGGGGACAGTGATTTACACTCGCCTGGGAGCAAGCCATTGAATTTAGACATGGGCCAATCCGATTCGCTGTGGTCGCGGGCGGAAGACTTCTGGCATGCTGTGGGTTGGGCACTTAATTGCTCTGTGCTTCATCCCGAGCGGTGGGAGCGATGGCAGGTCTGGCTGCAGTATATGTGCGAGGTCATGGAAGATGATTGGGAACAACGGTTAGAAACATACAGAGCAAACGAAGCTCGGAAAAAAGACGACGCACGAGAGGTTGAATCTGAACAGGCTGAACAAGCTCAAGATGCCGAAAACGCAGAAGGAGAAGCCGAGGGTGCTCAGAAGAACGCTGCACGGGGCACTGGAACCGAAAAATCGAAAGGCAAAAGTACAGGGGCTCGGAAGAAAGCACAAGAGTCCAAAGAAGCCGAGGAGCCGAAAGGCAGGGGCAGGAGAGTCTGGCAGAATGTCGCCCCTACTGAGAAAGTCGACCGAAGAGCTAAGAAGGTGGATGAGGATCTAAGCATCTTGCGAGAGAGCTTGATTTTTCAGTTCATTTCAGCCGTTAATGAAAGTGGACGAAGTCGAAGGATATTGAGAGCTATTTTCGCCGACGGAAGTACCACCTCGGTCAATGAGTTTCGGGAGGTGTTTAAGAAAGAGCTCAAGTCTCGAAGCGGGCCCGAAAAGGCGAAGAAGAGAGAGCGCGAGGTCAATATTGACAAGGGGCAGTATGGCGATTATTTGTCGCAAGATGAGACAGATGACGAAGTAAATGGAGCTGTGGACCCGAAAAATCCAGATTCAGGCCCAGTCCGTCGGTCGAAGCGAACAAGACGAGGAACAAGGACTGGAGCGCCCCCGCGGAGCCTGCAAATGTTGGGCCTCTGCCTCATCAGAATGTTGGACTTTCGCCGATGGGTGGCATCGACTCTCTTCGATTGCGCAAACGACTCCTCGGCATTCTTTCAGATGTCTCGTACCAACTACCTCAGGATTTTATCCCTGTGCTGGACCTCTACAATCTTTTCGCGGACAATATTATTGCTCAACCTCTGCCTATTTTCCAGGCTTTCGTTAGCCCTTTCATCCTCCCCGAGCTTACAGATGCGGAGCAAACTACCCTCTGTGAGATCATGCTATACAGCCTGCGGGAAGCCTCTGCTCCATCCTCTGATGAAACTTATCTCTACCAATCAAAATTGGAGAAATGCTTCCTCCCATTCGGGGCAGCCAACGGTAGTGTGGTCAACAACACCAAGGTGTCCATGCTTCTCGAGGCAACGATCATGCTCCTGGGGAAAAGTGACATGTTAACTGCCACGCCATCTTTCAAGAAAGTTGTGCAGTCTGGAATTGACCGTCGGGAAGGTAGAGCACGAGAGGAGCCCCGGCGCAGCCAGAATAGCAAGAAGCAGGAGTCACTTGAATTGACTTGGTTGCGGGAAAGCAGTGAAAGGCTCTTGTCTCTTGCTGAGCTTCTGTCACCCCCTGGCCAATTCGTCAACGTGAGGGTGTAGATTATGACAAGTCACGACAGCCATGATAATGATGCATATACTATTTCACTTCTTTCCCTTTATTTGCTAGTACCACAAAGATAATCAAATAAGGAAAATATCGACGGGATGGGCATCACTGTTATATCCCTATGTCCTTTCACCCTCTAATTCCGAGTTCTATTGCAGCTACTTCACGCAACCAAACAAGTTTGGAAATATGATTGAGTACTTTAAACGGCAAGGATACCTACTACGTCCCTTCGCATCACAAAAGCCTCTCGATAGAACAGCGGCATCTCCAGATCCGGCGGCGGTCACCAAACGAGGTCACATCTTCTACCAGGTTTACTGAGTTCGAGTATCAGGATTCTTTGTAGTGGTTGTGCAGCATAAATGGTGTATGTAGTGCGATTTAACTCATGGGGCTTCCGAGTCCCGTAATGATCGACACGTGGCAGCCCTACTTTTAATTGACAGTCGCATTCAACTTTTGAACTGCTTGAATAGTAATAATTAGAGGAATTCAGAATTACCCGTAGTTATCAACAGTGTAGCTAACGGTACGCCAAACACTATAAAACGAAGTAGCATATAGCGACTTTCGGGGAATATGAGCAAAATACATCTCTCCGAATCGCCGACGCAAAAAGAACATGAAATGAGGGAAGTAAGAGGCAGGAAATACTAAAGCCTGTCGGATATAGTCAAGACCGTAAGAAATAAGAAAATGGAAGGAAAACAGAACAATGCAGGAAAACCCCCGAGTTTCAACAGAGTGGAATGAACGTATCATGGAGGCGGACGAGGTCCAATAATCTGGCGCCTGGCGCCTCCGATGCCAAGTCCCTGACCTCCACGGTTCTGGTTATCTCCACCTAAGTAACCGTACTGGTGAACATCCCAAGACTGGCCTGGGCCCGTGCCGAGGGAGGTATCGCGCACGGCAGCCTGGGTTTGCTTCTGGTTTTCTTCCCACTCGCGTTGGCGCTCGCGTTCACGTTCCATCTCGCGCTCCAACAAGGACTTGGAGGCCCAGCCACCGGCCCGTGTCTTCTCTTGCGAAGCCATGCGGCGACTGTTCTCTGCGTCAACCTCGGCTGTCGTGTTGTAGTCTCGGGGCCGGTGCGAAGTAGGAGTAGGCGCCGCGGGTGCTGGGTTTGAGTTCAGGAAGCGGTCGGTACGATTTTGTCTGTGATTGGCAGTGTACGCCATCGGGTCTGGAAGGGGACGGGGTGCTGGAGGAAGAGCTCTGGCTGGAAGTGCGGGCGCTTGCTCTTGGGCTGGCACGGGCCGTGGGAGAGGCCGGGGAGGCGGAGGCGGAGCTTGTTCCTCGAATCCATCATCATTCTCCTCTGTTACCGGTATGTCTTGGGTATTTTGCCATTCACCGCGGAGAAGTCGCCGTTCTTGCTCCAAAGAAGAAAGACTATAGCTCGGCTTAGGAGGCACCGGTACGGGGCGTCCGCCGTTACGGCTGCGAGATTGTGAATCATCTTCTTTCTCCTGAGTTGTGGGTCCCTTTCGCTCGCTCGTATACTGGCGTTCACGCTCTTTGGCTAGCTCCAGCTCGCGCTCAAGCTCCTTGATGCGGCGACTGTCGGCGGTTTCGTCGGTGGGGGTAACTCCACCTGGAGAAGCACTGGCCTGCCCTGCCTGATACTGGCTCAGGAATTGACCATTGAGACGAGCATCGTTGGACTTCCGTCGGCGTTGGCGTTCTTCTTCATGCTCTACCTCCAGGCGGTGCTCGGCAGCTTTCTCTTCTGCAAGTCGGCGCTGCTCCTCTGCCTCCCATCGGCGCTTTTCCTCGTCCCATCGACGTTTCTCGTTTTCCATCTCTCGTCTTTCCTCCTCTCTCTGGCGAGCCGTCTCCTCGTTCCATCTTCTCTCCTCCTCAGCTTTAGCACGGGCCTCCTGCTCTTCCATCTCTCGACGGGCGCGCTCAGCTTGTTCCCTCTCCGCATTACGTTGGATATCTTCCTCTTCCTGTCTACGTTTCTCCTTCTCCGCCAAACTAGGAACAGCCGGGCCGGGGGTTGTAATTTGTCGTCGAGCACCAAACGCAATGCCTTGGTTGCCCTGGCTGGCACCACCCATGTAGCCGTATTGGTGAATATTCCATGCTGGCGCAGTCTTTGTCTGGTCATCTCTCTTACTCCAAGAGCTAAAGGATCCGGATGGTTTGGCAGGGCTCCCTGGTCGACCAGAATTTGTATCGCTAACATTGCTCAAGGCACGGCTAGTGCGAGTATAGGATCCCGAATTCGATGAGCCTGTCGCATTAGGACTCAACACCCCCTTCTTACTTTGTGGGCCAACTGCCGACGGGAACGCGCTTGGCTTCAGGGAATTCGCCCTTCGACTAAATGCCGCCAGGCACTGGAGAACCTGCGCGGGATCTTTTGCCTCATAGAGATCAACGGTAAGAAAGACGTCGTGTGGAGGAAGGTTGAGCGGCGCGGTTTGGCAGGCACGGAGGAAATGCGAAATGTTCTCCATCTGAACGAATGGCATAGACGACTGCTTATACTTGACGCCGGGGGACACGGCCAAATTGACCAGTCTAGTAGACAAGGGGTTAGGCTTAGTCCAGGTTACAACCGCATGCATGCCTGTCTGCGCAGCTGCGCAGGAAATATACACATAGGCAGGCAGAAAGGTTCAATCGAGACTCACTTGCATAGAGCCACACCATCCTTTAGACCTTCGAGTAGATCAGGCGATGGAAGTTTCTCGCGCAGCACCTCTTCTATCCAGTCGCGTACCTCCGCGGCTGCCTGCGGGGTATAGCGGGATAGTCGCATATTGCGCAGGTCTTTATCCAATGAAGATACCGACGCCATAATGAGTCTCCGGTCGTGTGTGCTTAATCCGAGTCGGCTAGAGTGGACGTCGGTGTTGTAGTTTCACAAGAGTACGTATCCCCTTGCGGGCGTGTGCCTGATCGGCCCTAGAGTGGAGACTTGGGTATGAGAGTTAGGACGCAACAAGCAAATCGAATTAGACCCGAAGGGAAAGTAGTACCAGTCACGAGGTCCTGGCGATTTGGTATCCTCAAGAACCTCCAATGAGTGAGTCTGGGAAGAAAGAAAGTTGAGGGAAGGTGGAATGGAATGCCCGGGGCTGTGTTTATTGGGGCCGATGACGTTCCAAACGTTCTGGCTCTTTGGCCCGCAACTTTTTCTTCTCCACCCTTCAATCCTCCACCAACATACACACAATGGTTAACAGCCTCTGGTTCAAATGGAAAGGCCTCCGGCTACCCTGGCGGAAATCCTTTTTGGTCGGTCAGTTTCTGCGTTCCTCTTCTCGGCGCTATAACATGTTATGCTAACCCGCCACCTTAAGGCCAGGATCTCGCCGGAAACACCTTTTGGGAATTCAAAGATCAACTGAATGCCGGTCGATACAGGCGGATCGTTAAATTTGATCCCAAAACGCATTACGGAGATGTTCAGGTTACTCGTGAGTCGATCGCATCCGGGGGAAATTGCGCTGGCGGCCGACGGTGGCAAAGCGCTCCGTGGAGGCAATACAAGGTTAGATTTACTGACAAGGATTTGTGATCTAGCGCAATGGCATCAATGGCTCCGATACGTCCGACCGACACCCCCGAGTATTGAGGAGCAGCGACAAGACCTGGTTCGCCAGGCGCAAATGAAAGAACTTGCCCGACTCGCCGACGAGCGCTGGGCTAGCAAACCCTCCTTCCTTGATAAACCGAAGACTCAGCAACAGACCCCAGAGATGGGAGCGGGACCCGCGACTACCAATGCAAACACTGGCCCGGTTCCTGTCTCTGCCGATGCGCCTTCATCTTCTGCCCGGGCACCACAGCCTGATTCTACAAGAACCCCCCCGACGACCCGCAAGGAAGAGAACCCGTGGGCAAAGGCAGATAGACAGGTCCCTGGCGGTAACTACCAGCCTGAGGCGTGGTCTCCTACTTCCAAACGGTGAAACATGCCACCACAAACAGATTTTGACCCCTGTGGTGATGGAAGGGAGATACAGACCAGCAGACTTGATGATCACACCACACCCTCATGAGCTGATCTGGGTCAAATCACTCTTCAGACATAAAGCACAGAGCTCAGGGGATTTTCCTGCGTCAGATTCCAGTCTAAGCTAATATCCTTAAGGTCGAAGGCTTGCTGCTGGTAATGCGCAGCTCTTCAACATATACCCCGGCAGCTGTTCACATAACTCACGTCCAACCTGAAATGGATCTGGGTATGACTTTTCCAAATTATATCAACAACCCCACTCACCTCGCCCGCTTCAGTTGCTGTAAATTAGCTTTTTTCTATCGTGTTCCAGACTACAATCTATAATAAAATCTATTGGGACGAGATCTCTTGATATGATGAATAGGTCTACATTTATACCTCGGCTTACGATTTCGAATTAACAGCTTCTGATTGGCCCACGAGAACAATTTATCTCTAGAAACATTGAAACGACAAAACCAAACTGGGAGCCTAAACACACCCAACACAATCTCCGCATACTAGAATATGGTACGATTCACAGGTCAAGATGAAAAAGATACTGAACACGAACTTGAGTTGATAACAAAATTGAAATTGAGAATAAGATAAAACTAAAAGGGGACATCAGTCAGGAAGGAATTCCAGTCTGGTCCTGACACTGTTTTCCCGCAAAGCAATCCGCAACATTGAACTTCGGTCTCTCAATTTCATCAAACCCAATCGCGAAAATCAATTGAAGATGCTAACCCTTTTTCCTATCTTTGCATTTTTGTGGTTTCTTTGCCTCGTTCTGGTGATGAAATTCAGCAAATATCGCTTTTTTGGAGGGTTGTTTCCGATTTCGAACCCGCATAACTCCCGCAATGCATACATCGTACAAGCACGTATATCATAGACAAATTAGTATCACTGAAAAGTCAATGGGAAAAGGCGACTCCAACTCCAATCAAATATGAGAAAGCCCAGCCCTGCAGCCTCGCAACAAAGTAATGAAGTAGTGCAGCAATTCAGTCAAGACACGTTCAAATTGGTGCTCAAACCATATCCAAACAAGCAATAGTAGTAAATGCGATGATGCGCCTAAGCCGTCCAGAGATGGAGCTGGAACAAGAAAAACGCAAAGTCCAAAAGACACAATCTAATCATAGTCCCATTCCAGGTTCACCTAAATGTAAACCATGTACTCAGAGGTCCGGTCATGAAGCCTAAGCTGGGCCAATGTTGGGGCAGGGGCATCGGGGTCCTTAAATCCTTTGACCTCGTTCCATTTAGTGTAGTGTGCGAGAACATACTTCCGTGCACGATCACAGAACCGATCGGCCAAGAAAGCCGGAGTGCAGTAGGACACGGACCGAGTGCAACGACCCATCACGTAGCAAATAGAGTGAGTAATCTCTTGGAGATCATTCATGGGGTTTCCCGTCAGACCCTTAACATTGCTTCCAAAGATTTCATCCTCCATCACAATGTAGTGTGCTGGGCGAGCGGATCCCATGATTGCGGCCTGGGCTTGGAGATAGAAATCCCAGAGCACTGGACGAGTGATTCCGCGGTCCACAACTGTTCCAGGATTCGGGTTGTTGTTCTTGTCGAGATCGTCTTTGGATGTCGGGAAGAAACGAACATGGTGACGCTTTCCAACCACAACGTATGAGATCCTGGGAGGCTTCTGTCCCACTTCGTCGTAGACGCGTCCACATTCCTTTCGGATGGAGCTGATCTCATCCCTGATCATGATTGCATATTGACCCTCGCTCACGCCGTCACGGTAGATGAGGATATTCTTGGGGTACTCCTTGTTCTCTTTCTTCCAACGTCGCAGACGGCCCTCCAGCATCGTACCAACCTGCAGAATGACCTCGTCACGCCTGCCCTGGACACGAATTTCTCCTGGCCATTGCCCCAGTTTTTGGTCAGTGCTGGCAACGATGGATGAAACACTGGGGCAGCTTTCGGGGTCATTTACAGAAGGGTGAGTGACATCTAGACCGACGACCATAGTATTTCCTTCAGCAATCAAGAGAGCATTCCTGTGCGAGTCAAGAACTTGGCAGATGCCACCAAGCTTCAAGTTGATCTTCATCGCATTGTTGGCCAGGTACTGCTTGTCTCCGGATGTAAATTTGTCCATCTTGCAGCAATGAGTCAAGATTCCATGAGTGCAATCGCCCGCCCATTTGAGGTGATTGAATGCTTTCTCCTCACCATCGGACATGAGGACCACAACGAACTTGACACGGTGCTCCTTGCACTTCTTCATCAGGCCTTCAATGATGTCAAGGCAGTTTTGTGAATTGTAGCGAAAGACCCGGTGCTCGTTTGGTGAGTCCCACGCAAAGCCCAGTTCTTTCAGACACCTCTCCAGCTCTTTGATAGCCTTTTGAGGTTCACCACGCCTTTCCCAGTCTTCCTCCGTCCTTTTGTTCACCTTGTTGGTATTGGCGAGGGTGATAACAGCCCAGCTCGGCTTAGGAGGAGTCTGTGTAAATTTCACGTCCCTCAAATTCCAGCTAGCACCCCTGGGGGTTGTTGTTTTTGTCCCATACTTGAGAGTAGGAGGCGGAAGAACACGAGCAGGGACCGCCACCATCTCGTTCCCGATTTTGACTCCGGCCGATTTGAGTTTCTGGTCCTTGATTCCTAGAATCTCTAGACCGTCCCTCATGATGGAGGCAAAATTGTCCGGAGGGCGGCGGCAGCAGAATTTGATAATGGCCTGACGCTGAGAGGTACAGAGCTCACCGTTGAAAGTCTGCCCTGGAAGAATCTTGCAGACTTCCTGGGGGAGGTAAATGGGGCGCTCGGAGTTGCCAACATTGAGAACTGGCTTCGACTCTTTGATGTCCATTTTGTAAGCTATCAAAGAAGTTAGCAAATGGGAACAAAATAAGCACATGTGATGGGAATACTTGCCTTTCTTGAAATAATCCTTAACGGAGGTGTATTTGCCGCCCTTGCCATCAGAGTCCGTCTCCCAAAATTCAACATTGGCAGGTGAGGAGCCGAGGTTTTTAACACGAGGCTTGAACTTGTCCCCCTTCTTTCCATCATTGGGTGACGCGATTCCCCAGATCGATTTTTGTCGCCGTTTCTCTACACCGTTCTCATACTTATCGAGAGGAAGATGTGAGACCTCAACGCGCAAGCCCCGGATGTAACGATTGAACAACTGACGATCTTCTCCGTATTCTTGCATGAATCCGTTCGTCAAGTCAAGCATAGGCCCTGGGCGGAAGAAGGTACCGTGATTCACGTTCACGTTCAAAAGCAGCTTGTCGACACCGACTCGCACACTCGCGAAGAATCCGCGAAGAACCTCGAGACCGCCTCCTAGATAAGCAAATTGCTTCCTGTTATCAATCCAAAAAAACTTTTGGCGTCCTTTGCCCGTGATGACAACACCTGAGTCCCGGTACGGGATGCGAGTCATCATAATGTTGAGAGCTCGCACTGCGACAGTCTCCTGTTCCACTGGGTATCTCTGCTTGGTGGTTTTGAGGGAGTCTGACAGGCAGCCCTGGCTAAAGTGGTGCACAACACCGTCCTTTGGATCCGCCTTGGTAATTTCGACAGTGTATACCTTTGGCTCCTTTTTGTTGCCATCGGGGAGACTGACCTTGATCGAGGACATTGAGTCCAGCGGGGCAGAAGTGATGAGTTCCTGAGCCATATCTGAGGAGCCGTACACCGTTGCAATTCGTTCATGCTTCAATAACTGGTCGAAAACATCTTTCTTGAGTCGTTTTGGCTGCGGTTCTGGTGAAATCGCGATCCTATATGAGTGGAACTCCCGCTTGGGATCCAGCGAAATCTCGAAGTAATTGGCCCGCACCGTGATCAGCTTCCCAAGGTTTCCATATGCAGGACGCCGAACCGGCTTCTCCAGACCGGACTCAATTGGGACCTCTTTGAGACACTGATCTTCAAACCTGTGAAGTTCTTTGTTCAATTCAGGGGGATTGGTCGTGAGGATACTGTGTGGAATTATGTTAGTAGGTTTGTCACCTGGGGAATTGGGGCTTGTCGACTTACTCTGCATTTACTGGTCCTGGTCCCCGATAGCCACCACCATCAGCACGGCTCCCGCCTCGGTCTCCACGGCCACGAGAGTCTCCTCGATAGCCACCACCACCACCACTACCACGGCTTCCACCTCGGGATTCACCGCGGGAGCTACCACGGTCTCCACGACTGTAAGACATTGTGTCTTAGTAGAAGAAGTGCAAAAGGATTGAGGGTAATGAGAAGATATCGATGAAAGTCGGACAAAAAATCTGGTCTGAACAGAGCCAAGGGACAGTGGATCTGCCGAAGCGAGATATGAGACGAAGACGAAAGTTCGCCCCGTGCAATTGGTGTCTTCGGGACCCAATGCACAGGTAGAAGAGTGATATGCAAAGGCGAGCGCAAGGGAGAGAACAAAAAAGGACCGTTGTCTGTGTGTGTGTCTGTGTGTGTGTGTTGTTGTAAGTCTGAGGGTCTATAAAACCCATTAGTATCAAGTCAAAAATGCCCCATATGCATGAAATCAGGAGACGTGAAATCAATGCATGAAGATAGCGCATGGATGACATTCAGGTATAGCAATTAGCAAATCAAGATAAGGGATATGAGTGTGGTATATTTGGGAAGACAAAGGCAAACGTAAACCAAATTGTTTTTATGGCCAAGAAGGGATAAAGACCCAGGCTCGATTTCAAGAATATTGCGCCGGGACGACATTTTGGGTAAAGAAGTAGTAGATCAAGGGCATACTCGCCTGGTTGTTAGGAGCAGGTTGTTTTAGGATGGGAAAACCGACGACACAGGGGGAATTAAATGTAGCCAGGAGGGTGACAATCAATAGAAAGCAGCAATATTGAATTGGAGCGATTGGAGCGGTAAAAAGAATGGGCAATGGAAGCGAAAGTGAAGGAACAAGTGAAGAATGGGTAATAGAAAGGAAAAGGGGCAGTGAAGAATATATACCTTGAAGTAAGACCAGTTGCTGAAAGTAATGATTGTGTTAGAAAGGAAGAGGAAGAAGGAAGTAAAAATATTAAAAGAATCCCTTCAAATAGTGAGAAGATTGACGAATTTCTAAACTCAATCAAGGTATTAAAAGGAGAGAGACATACCTTTAGAATCAGAAGGTTGAGGGCGTGTTGAAAAGGCCCAAAACCTCTAGGTAAGTGGTATAAATAATATCTGGAAGTAAGAGATAATATACCTCAGAGTAAAAGTATTCTATCTTGAAGTAAAAGAGGTTCTTCTTGAAAGTGATGGCTTGATATTAGACATCCATTAAATATGTCTAAGAATTAAAAAAAATATCTAACATTTTGGAGTATAACCCTGGTCCCATATTAAAAGAGAGAAACCAAACACCAGAACGACCAAGTCAAATAGACCTAATGATATCAAATCAAAAACACCGGCTTCAACGTAGATGAATAAACAAATCAAAAAACATATAATTATTCAGCAGAATGCTGCTTCGAGAGCTTCGACATCACCACCGGCATTGCGGACAGCCATTAGAGCAGCTTCACTCAACTTGCGGCGCTTATCACGAGCCTCTTGTTCCCGACGGGCCTTTGTCTTGGAGCTGCCAGAAGGTGCGACACCACCGAGGATTCGTTGGCTGTCGTGAGCGGTAAAGTTGACAAAAGATACATTTGCAGACTTAGTGGCACCTCGGGGACTTGTGGTCTTGGCCGGCTTGGGACCATTCATGCTTTGGCCTGAGAGCTTGCGGCTGTGTGTGCGGCGGTGATTGGCCTTCTTTGGTGAAGTGCCAGCCTTAGGAGATAATGAGGGAGAACGGGAGTTGGAAACCTGAGGAGCAGTGGCAGGTGCCATGAACTTGTGAGAGTTGGAGAGCATGTCATTGGAGAAGGAAGAGTCGCCCGCCATGCTGAAGGATCCGTCCAGTTGGATCATCAGTCCGCCTTGCATCATATCGTTTTGGGATCCCATGCTCTGCATTGGGCGTTGAGGAACAGGGGAGGGGACCAATTTTTGGTAAGAGTTCTGCTGTTGTGCGACTCGAGTCGGCATCGGGGACCACCAAGTCTGATCGTGGGCTTGCAAATCGGGAGTGAAAGAGAGGGAAGAGGTGCCAATGTTATCGGATTGCCAAGAGGAGATAGACTGAGGATCTGAGGAGTGTGAAGAAGAGAAGATGTCGTCTGCTGAAGGAGGGCTGGAGTTGGTCAAAGCCGCGGAGCCTGGGTGGCTCATATATTGTTGCTGGTGTCGTGCAAGTGCACCAGTCGAAGGTGATGGCATCGGAACTGCAGGGGACCGCTGATAGAAGTGAGCTTGCATATCAGACGAGTCCCTGTGGTGGATCATGTCGGCAGAGAGGTGCTCATGCTGAACTAGAACATCCGAGGGCGGAGGAGACAAAGGAAGGCGATCATCTGAGCCGGCCAGAGTGAAATTCTGGATCCGTTGAGCCCATGCCTCTGGGTATGCCATTCTTCCCTTGTGCATGTTGGAAGAACGCATTAAGCTGGGGGAGAAACTCTGCTTGCGCAAAAGTGCACGACGCTCATTCGGGTCGCGATGGCGGATGGACTTGGGAGTAATGAGAGCGCTCTTGGTAACCTTGCGGCGCGGAGTGGCCGGTGGGGTAGATGGAGAAGTAGTAGAGACACCGTGGGGTTGTGTCCGGCGGGAAGAAGATTCAAAATTAGTCTTGAAATCAAGGTCTGAAATGGCAGATGGGTGGACAGTGTCTTGAAAAGCGAACTGAGCCCCGTCGTCCTGCAGGGACCATTCCTGGCTCCAGGGTTGCGGCGATTGATGGCGTTTCAAAGTGGAGCCCGTGGGGGAGTGATCGCCACAGTCACTCGACAGGGATTCTAGCGGGAAGAGCTGGTCAAAGTCACCAGAGAAAGAATCTTTGTTGCCATCGGGGCCCGAAGACTCTGCATTAACAAATTGGTCGAAGATGTCATTGAACGAATGATCAAATGGCTGAGCGAACATTTTGACGGCCTTGTTTCCGTTTGCGGCGAAGTAAAGTAATGCAAATCAACGAACAACCGGGGGGAACAAAGGACGTGATTGGTAACCAAGAACCAGAGGCTCGGGGGGTTACTTAGGGCTAAGTGTGGGTCAAAGAGATCTGGGGGAGATCGAAATGCAAATTATGCAAAATGAGAATGCAAAAGGGACAGCAAAAAGAGAATGTTTGATAGTTTGTCAATCAAGCAAAACACTGCAGAGCATGCAAAGAAAGCAAAGCAAACAAACAGATTGAGGCGACTATTTGAATTGTCGCTCAAGATCCCAGCCTCGAGCTTTTTGCATACATTCTTCAGATCCCCTCCGATCATTGAAGAATGTGATGCAAGAGATCCGGTTGGCCAATGACTAGATCCACCCATGGCCCGAGGAATGTATCCAGAGTCTCTTCAGGACTTCAAGGCCAATCGTAGACCACCTGTGGTGACTGGCTCACAGAGCCGGTCAACTTGATCCACTCCCGTCAGAAAACTTGGGTCCGGATAGCCACCAGAGAGAATGCAACCCTCTCTCACTAGACCAAAGACAGCGACCACCATAAGTCAGTGTGGCGGGTGTGGGGGAAGCTCCCAAGCATGTCAAATCAACACGCTCGGCTGGATATCACCATAGCCCTAGAAGGGGGATGGAGGAGCATTGGAGTATTTGGACATGGATCGGATCGTCCCAGCCAAGATTAAGGAACCAGGAGAAAGGCTTCACACTGATTTAATGGTCACCTGCCCCAAATCGTTCCCCTGTACTGTAGTGTCTAGACAATGTATGCGTCATGACAGCTACTGTCTAATCACCTTTCCCCTAACAAGGTTCATGCGGGAGACGGTAGGATCCGTGCTGGTACTCCTTTGAGGCAATTCCTGTACTATCATTAGCCGACACTATTCAAATCATCGCGGGGGCCAATCCAATGACGCGGATAGGCTGGAATGTGGAACAGAATGCCAACGGCTGGGTGGAATGTCACGCCCCCGTCAATTATGCACAGAAAATTCTGTTGGTGTTCGAACATTCCAATCAATGCACAAGGCGTTAGTCTGGAGAATACTGCGGCCCCAGGCCTCGATCTGTAGGAGGATTTTTGGGCCAATGAGTGTTGTTCTGGTCTCTCGAACAGACCCTCATGTTCTATATTTATCCAGTTTGACAGGGATGATAGCTGATCGCTCTAGAATCATTGTCGGATGCAGTAAAAGGCGAGCTATGGTCTGAAGATAACCCTAGAGAAGGGCATCCATCGTGGCCCGCGGCTGCGGATCATTCGGATACTTCCATAGGGCGAGTACCCCATTGCTCTTTGTTCTGTGCGAGGACCCAAAGTAAGCACTGTTATCCAAATCCGGAAGCCTGTATATCTTTAATTGGGGCGATATTTGTCATTTGTAGCTGATGTCTTTGTACCTGAAGTCAATAGCCCAGCTATTCATAGCCCGTCAACTTAAAAAAGGAAAACAAAGACGCAAGTTTCTAGCCTTCCACCCAACACGTTAATGTGTAGAAGGTTTGATAGAGAATTCGACTTATGGAAATAAACCTCGTGTCCACAGGCCTGCGGATGAGATTGCAGAGACTTTGAGAGTCATGGCCGCCGAGTATTTACTTTTTTTTTCATTTCGATAGTTTCCTTGCTTTTCCTTTTCAGCCCAACCACCTGAGCAGTACAGGACTTCCACTGCAGTACTGGGCAGTCTGGGACTGTGGGCTATTGGAAACCGGGCGAGGGACGCCTTACAGTTCGCCTTAAAGCTATCGGGTAGTGTTGAGACGAGACACCTGAAAGGTACTTTGAATGAGATCGTACGTGGATTAGCAATGTCCAATATTCCCGCTGTTGTAATCGGAGTACAGGTCACACGCCTAAAGAGCATAGAACCTTCCCGGTTTGGAAGCGGATACCCGGCTGACTCAGGATGACGATCACGAGAGGCGAAAATGGGAGAGAAAATGAGTCTCTTAGAGAGAAATTCTGGGCTAAACCAGTTGCTTCGACCTGGTTTTTATTTCAATGTTCTTTTTTAAATTGTAAATTGATTTTTATCTTATTTCATCATTCACAGCATTGTTTATAGTTGTGGGTGACTTCACTTTCCCTCGGACTCCCGGAGTGACTCAACCGGATCTCACACCCCGCGGAACGTGGGTTTCTTCACTTCCTCGGATCTTTCTTCTCTTCTTCCCCTCAGCCCCCTCGTCTTGCCTGGCGACTTTCGGCATTCGAAACCCTTCCACCCGGTGCAAAAATCACCTCGAGTTTTCCCTGACATTCCTGCGCCGTTTGCATCGTGTCGCTAGGATCGCCCGATTTGCGCCTGCGCCACTTTCACCACTCACCTCATCAACCGACGTCACCAATCCCACCCTTCCTGAACCTGCTTTTGTGGCCTAGGTCATTGTCAAATCCATTCTGTCAACAACATCTTGCTTAAACCACGATAACTCTACCTCGCCTGATCACAGCGAAAGGGCGTTTTACGACACAAACTCTCAACTTCCAAGACCACACACAAAATATGTATCCATCTTTGATTCTTGCTGGGGTCAACCCCGTCAAGTGTCCTTGATTTATCACACGATCCACGTGTGCCTCGTCATGGACTACCCTATGAGCTTTGGAGGCCTTCGACGCCCATTGTCTGCATTTTTGATCTTCAACTGAAACCCCCAATCTATCCACCACGAACTTGGACTTGGACACTTCCTTGCGAGGATTAGTGTCAACGGGTTCGTGATACCACTAAACAACACTATTATTGCTCCCGAAAGCATAGCTCGCTCCACCAGAGCCATGGAGACAGCCTCGAGCATGGCTCCCGCCACCAACCACCGAGAGTCATGGGATTCTCTTTCCTCCACCTTCGCCCACCTTGAGGTTTCATTCTCGCACGATAGCTGTTATGGCTCGGACGAGGTGTCAGTTTCGTCAAAAACCACTGCCCCGCTCCAATCCAGCGGTTCCACCTTTAAGGCTAAACGCGATGAGCCATCTCTACATCCGTTCCTGAAATCCATCCTGAAGAACTCCACTACGAATGTACAAGAGGACGAATCCGATAGTGAATCCGAGTCCGGTTATGAGTCGGATGATATCGAATTTGATGACTATGACGCTTTGTCCGAAGAGGACGATGAAGATGACATGTCTGACTTTTCCGTCTGGGATGATGAAACTGAGCACAATGTTCCCGAAACCCACCGGGACCACACTGATTCATTCGACGACTCTTTTATCGGTTTTGAGACTTCGGTCCGATTTGATCCTCAAGTGCAATACATTGACACCCCAACCACCGAGCTGTCAGAAGATGACGGATGTCATTCTGAGATGACCGTGCACGAGATGATGCTCCTTGCCCAAAAGGGGGGCTGTTCTCAAGTTTCCTCAAATCAAGCTGATGCAGACGACTCCCTCTATGACGACAATGAATGTGACCACAAGGAGTTCTTCCGCATGAAGACCACCCAGCTAGAGGATTTCACACGCGATGCGGTCGATGTGGACCAGCGTCTCTTTATCGCATACATGCACGGGATTCACGGTATCGCCGACACGAACTATAAAACCTATCTACGCGCCCAGGCGGACAATATTAGACTCGGCCACGAGACCGAGTCCATGCATCCCGACGATCCCCCTTGCATGTACCTAGACCTGATCCTCGATCATGTTATCGGAGTCTTTCGGAACCTCCTTGCTGAGGATGAACTCAATGGACTGATCGCACTTCGCAGAGAAGACTTGGCCATTGAGCCTGCCTCAGGGGCTGCTCCAGGTCGAAACCCCCATCAGGTTCTGCTAGATAAGATTGAGAAGTTCCTCCTGAACCGACTGACAAACGGCCATGTGGACGTTCTCCCCGATGAGTTAAGCTTCTTTGCTGGCGGAATTGCACATGCACTCGGCACTGAGGATTTGCCACCATTCGTCTGAGCCTTCATCGCTGCAGACTCCCCAAAATCAATCTACGACGTTACGATTATGAGAAAATCGAGATTCTCTCGAATTCGCCAGGATTTCACCGGCGAGAGGAATTTACTGGATGTTCAACAACCAGAAAAGCACACATTCGGAATTTATTAGCTCTGCGGGACTAAGTTATAAGTTATTACTTAGGTAGCAATGTATCTTTCCTAGCTAGCTGTTCAATCAGAAAAAAATGATATGAAATTTCACACTGCCTGTCGCTGCCTTGTCATCGTAGCACCATCAGCCTCGTTTAAAGAATGTAACACCACCTGAGTTCTCAGAATCCAACCCCTGTACCCGACCACATCTAGAACCGTCTTCCCCTCCACCGTTCAGCCCCGCCATCCACCCACCTCAGATAAGAAGGAATTCACTCGTCTATTTTAGCCCGAAATCATAGTTAATATCAGATCAACCTTCGGCTCAAACTTCAGCCCTTCCCAGCCTCAATATTGCGCGCGTTTCAGGATGATGTACGTTACTCTCTTCGGCTTTCCCGTCGCGAATCCTTAGTCTCTACTTTACCCCACCTATCATCCCCTGATCATGTACGAGCCCCGCACGTCTAGGCCAACACGAGACGAAATGAAAGGGCTCAAAACTGGGGTCAATGCTTCGGGATATGTACCACGATCTTCTTATGTGCCCTCTACCAGGTTAGTCCCTCCGCTCCTGATACGCGGAAGGAAAATGAAAATTCCCCGAAATAGAGAAATATGCTGCCCGAGGTGGTCCGTGAAGTGACCCGTTTGTGCCTTGGCCATTGACTTGACGTGTTGCTACTAGCTAGTAGACATGGATTGATTCTCGGAAATTTGCTGTTTCCAAGTTTCTTCTCTGGTGGAGTAAGATATACATGTGTGTATGTGCTTACGGAGGGCCCGAATCATTTCATTGGACCTCAGCTCCCCTTTTCTCTGCGTATTATTCTCCCGCTTTTCTATGGGCGTTTAATGTGGGTTTCGGTGGCTTCAAGGTCGTGTTTGTCTCCACTGTGGCTTCTTGTCTCCCGTCCATTATGGACATTATGAGCTGCAGAGAGCGGATCCCGGGAGCTGATGGATCAGTAATTTGCTTGAATGTGGGTTTTATTGGTTAAGGGTGGAGTTATGGGTTTTTGTCGCCGTGATGCTTCAGCTCGGGAGGCTTGTTGACGAATATGTTGACGCAGGCAATAAGCTTAGTGGCTTGGTATAAGCCCTGGAGTAACTCTTCATACTTGCCAAGATTGTAAGAACCTAGAAGAGGACAGATCAACTCAGGCGCTTGAGACAAGGGATACCCAGTCGCAGTCGATAGTTCTACCGATCTCGATGGATGAAACCCAGCCCAGACTGGGTATGTATACATATTCCTACATTCCTCACATGTACGAGATCTGTCGTGCATTGGACAGTCTATCGTGTAACGCTTATGTGTCCATGATCACCATCTCGGTGAAAATACAGGTCAGGTAGGACAACGGTGAGTATCGAACCAAGGGCCGTTTTCCCGTATCCCGTGTCGATCGCAACGCCGTTGTGAGCACAGACTGATCTCCACGGGCCTCCAAGGCCGTTGGCGGAGACTTTCCTATGTATGTACGTATGTGCAGGTTTTTTCTTGGCTTTTCTTCCCTCTGCATGAATACGGTGAGTGAGATCTGCTTGCTTAGTTGCTGGGTTTGTAGATTAGACGTGTCATATATGTTATCGCCGCGCATGAATTTCCTTGCTCATTTTTGTGGTTGTGCGTGTCATAAAGGGGTGGATGATATACTTTCGAGTAAAACGCACCTAGGCATTGTAGATGTATGAGAATGATTTTGGTAAACATATATCTGGCACCCTCTACAATATGACCTCTATCTACTCATATACTAGATACAAGCCACATGGCTTAGTCCAGAACCTTGGAAGAACAAACTCAAAAATCCTAAATTTAAGAGCATCCATACTCTACAGTGCATGTGGGTCCGAAGGAATGGCAAGAGTCTGACAGCGAACGGGGAATGTGGATACATAACATCCACCACCGCGTGGGTTTATTTCCGGGCTTACATACAGACAGAGGTGCTGGGCTGGTGGAAACTGCAACAGAACCAGTTTTTCCCGTTGCATGGCGATCCCTTTCCACTCCCAGGGGGATTAGCGGGCTGCACCGACGGAATGTTGATCCCAAGTCATTGCACAAAGACTCGGGATATTGTTCTCTCGAGCGCTTGGGATTTGGAATAAGATCAATTGAATGATCGGCTGAGGTCAAGCTGAGCTTCAGCTTCTTGTTTACGCGTACGCATCAGTGTGATATAGCAAGGGCAAGGTGGCTATTAGGTGAGGGCTCATTTTGCCTGACACCCTATAAGCATACGCTATTGACGAGACTAGGCCTGGGGTGCAGGGAAACGAATTTGGGGGTGAGCCAATGAGAGATCAGCTGGGTCAATAAAGATATGTATGCATTTGTGATGGGATCTGATATGTCATCTGGGGATATGCACCAAACCCACTCCTCAGGAAATCGCGGGACAATCGCATCATTATACAGAATATTTCTTTTTTCAAACACTAATGTAAGGTCTACAGTATCTCAAAGTTCAAGTTGAAGTTCAAATTTTAGACCTGGACCTGGGTAAACTTTCCACTAATTCATCATTCGACCCCTCCTTTTACCCTAAACCGCACTATTGACTTTGGTTCCAAGCTCCCCACGCCCCGAAGGTTGCGGAGATAAACGGCAAGATTATTGTTGGCAGACCCGCCAACCAGACGCCGATCGTGGGTCAAGCGTTGTGATCAGGCCTGGCATGAATCAGGATCGGCCTTGATCCTCAGGGGAACTGAGTGGTGTATTGCAGAGACTGACCGCTTCTTCGTGAAGATTGTTATTTCATTGTCCCGAGGAGTATTTCCGAGCAGAGTTAGTGATACCCCTCAGAAGTACCGAGTTGCCATACGGAGTTCAGTAACTCCGAAAATGCCAAACAAGCGTAAATTTGGGTTAACTGATTCGATCGGAGTGAGCCTGCAAAGCCACATATCTTGGACCGTCGGATCATGGGGCTACGAATTTCCTCTCCGAATGGCACGAGCTACGAGAAGGTGGCGCGTTTTTGTGGGCGGAGATCGTCGGTGAACTCTACCGGGTTCGCACGCAGTCCACTTTTGTACCACGGGTATTATTTGTCACCTTGGGGTCCTAGCGATGGGTTAATCCGAGGCATGGGGGAGCAATTAAAAGATTTGATCAGTTTCGGGTTTCGTGTACAAGGTTTAGTTCGCGGGCACGCCGTGTCTGCGATGGTGTTTGGGGGCCATGTACACTAGCTGCCTCCTTCGTGAGCCATGGAAACGGGGAACGTGGTGAGTACAGGTCTGGTCCATTTCCGTGGCTCCACCAGTAATAGCTGCCCCCCCCCGGACTGGACCAAGGATCGCATGGAACGATCGAAGGCTCGGAAAAATAAGCAAAAAAGAAATATGTAAATGAAACTAAACTAAAAAGGTGAAACTGAAATTCCAATTGTTTCGGTGGAAGCGGGAACGAAAAATCAATAGAACGACTCAAAGCGGTTAAGTGGTGAAGACTAAAGAGTCTCGTGGGGCCACGATCCTATTGATTGGTGGTTGCCACCTTTCATTGGTGAGTACTTTGCTCTCCGTGTGGAGTCTCGTCGTGCTTTGGGGCCGATCGTGGGTTCACTCCTTGCCCTACCCCTGGGTTTCTTCATTGCGATAGGACTGGGCCTGGCTCAAAACCATGGTTACCGGACTCAGGTACGATAAGAGAGCTTTTTGGAATTATCATAATTGTCATAGGAAAAAGGAAACAAGAAAACAGAGTATTAAAACATTAAAACAAAAAAATAAAAAGTAAAGAAAAAGAAGACGGAAGGAGCTCGTGGGAGTGGGTTAGGCTCCCGCTGCAGGGGCTTAAAAAAGCCGGGCGTCATGGATTGACAATGGTGTATTCTGTATTCAATCGGTAGTGAACCCCCGTCTCCACTGTGAGATGAAGAATTATTACTCCTTTCCCTCCTTTCGATCTGAAGTCACTTTCCACTCGAACTCTTCCACTCGAAACCGCCATTCTTTTGATTTTATTTTTTCCTTCTCGACCTGGGCCATACCATCATCTTCATGGGTATGAGCTTACTGCGGGTAAGTTGATAATCCACGTATTAGTACGGGGCCAAGTGACGTGACGTTCATGCATGGCGGTCGTACAATTCGAGAAGAAGCCAACCACACGAGAATGGCCCCCGAATAACCGCACCCCCAACGTCAGCTGCGAGATGTCAGACTGACGGCGTACAGGATGATTTAGAGATTTGATTTACAACCCACTTCCCCCCAGTCCGAGAGATCGAGGGTGTACCCCGGCGGACCAGGGCCATCAGAATTATTCTCCAGCCGCAGCCGTGATCCCGACCATTGATATATCTCCCACCCTCACCTTTTCACCATGCAAAACTACGCCAGATCCGACTTCCTGGACACCGGGAGCTTGACACGCTCACGAAGTACCAGTCTTTCCAGTGACTCGCAACACCCCCGGGTCAATCTCATGTCGCCGCCGTCTGTCCGCCCACCGCCTGGTTTCATTTCTTTCTCCGCCGCCTCAGAGATCATTACTTCCGATCAAGAATTCAATACCGCCGATTTTGCGGAAGACGAGGACACCGGGGCTGCGGCCAGTGCCCTGGTCACACCGGCAGCACTGTCCCTCTTGAATGGTTTCCTCGATAACTTATTATTTAACATTCTTGCGGCCTCTAAATCCACACAACTAGCTTGCATTCGACCAGTGTTGGCCGACGTTCTAAAGCCCCGCCTCGCACAAGAGGTGGTAGCCACCGCAGATGAGGAATTGGGCGAATACATGGGCGGCGAGGAAGACGAGGAATCAGAATTCCGGGGAGGTCAAGAACCCGGTGGGGACTTTGATCTTATTCGCTCGTGGAAATTGACTCGCCTACGATGCATGGTCTACACCAGACTCGGCGACATGGAAGAGGAGGATGAGGACGAATTTATTGCGCAGGAGGGCCTCGGAGAGTCCGACGGTGCTCCCCGCCGGTTTTCGAGTCATGTCGATAACATCACCCCCGCAGCGGCGATTTTCTTAACTTCCATTATTGAACACATCGGCGAGCGAGCGCTCGTCATTGCGGGCGAGACCGCACGATCAAGGTTATCCACGAAGCTCAATGATACCGAAAGTCAATTCTCAGACGATATGGAGGACCATCGCAAGCGAATTGAGCAGTTGGTTGTGGAGGATCTCGATATGGAGAAGTTGGCGTTGAACGCGACGCTGGGTCGCCTTTGGCGCACCTGGAGAAAGCGCAGACGCGGAACAACCCTGTCACGAACATTATCACGCGAGTCTTTCAGACGCCGCACTTTTTCACACACCCTGGCCAACAGTCGCAAGAGCAGCATTGCAACCATCGAGGAGCCGGTAACCCCCGCAGAGCCTGTTCTTGAGGGGATCTCCGCGGCAATTGATCCCATCACGGTCCCTCTGCCTATGAGCGATTATGACGTTGAAGAGATTGAGGTTCCTGGGTACAACCCAGACATGGAGGGCGAAGTGGCACAGACAATGCAGGCGGTTGTCGCTCATAAGGTGCGACCACGCAGTTTGATGGTGGTCCCCTCGCCATCGCTGGTGGCAAGGTCGGGCAACTCTCCTTTGAGCGCGTCGGCAGTTGAGAGTCCTCTGCTTCGCCATGCTCGCTCTAGATCATTGCCAAACCACAAGTCCAACTCCCCTTCAGAGCGCCAGCGCGAGGAGATTGAGGAGGCAGACGTCTCCCCAGGTGAAGCATCACCCAAGTCCACCAGATCTTCCCGCTCATCTTTGAAAGAAAAGCTGGAGACCATGTACGAGGATGATGAATCGGCCGAATACGTGGATGCAGCAGAGTCCACCACGGGTATCGCCGTCACCACCAAAAATGAGGAGTCGAAAGAAGCAGCAGCGGAATTGTCCGACAGGGAGTGCATGTCTGTCGTACAGGAGGAAGAAGAGGAGGATGCGCCGGCAGTTGGTGTAACGATCGCATCATTGCGATCACGTCTGCACGAGGACGAGGGGAAGGAACAGCCTGACAGTAACCGTGTTTCGGTCTCGTCGCTGAATGATGGACCCACTGAGGATCCGGAAGTCATCGAAGGGCAAGGGATGCGCGAGAAACCAACACTGACGTCTACCATTCAACGACCAAAGAGAAAGCAAAGTAGGGATGTTTCTCAGTCTTATGCGAAGCCGATCATTGCAGAAACTAGTGATCCTGATCTTCCATCTACCGAATCTACGCAAGGGGTGGGGCCCGCACTGGCACTAACCGCCGACGCCACCATCGAGGCTATCAAGCCTCCTAGTGATCTTGATGCTACTGAAGGCGATCACAATAAATCGGACATGAAATATGTGTCTGAGGAGGCCCCTTCGAACGAAGCGGTCGTTTCTGAGAAGTCCTCCGAGAGCCCGTCGGAGCTTGCTACTATTACCGAGTCATTCCCTCTTCCTGGCGTTGACCCCAGTGCTGCTGAGTTTGCTGTCGTTGAAGATTTTAGTGGTCCCGAGGCTAATACCCCGGATCCTGCTGCATCACCGGAGGTTTCTCGAGCGCCTTCAACTTCGGGAGACAGTGACCACTCTCAACAATCACGCACCCGCCGCAGGCCCACCCCGTTGGTGGTGACCTCCAGCAACCGTAGCTCTCCAAGTCTGGAACAGCGAGCTGCTGTCCAACGCATGTCTGGCCGTCCAACTACATCGATATCCTCATCCGTCCTGAGCAAGCCTCGCCGCTCAGAGAGCTTCAACAGTACTCGTGAAAAGCGCCCGGTCACTGCCGGTTCCACGACATCTCAAGTTTCAAATAAACTAAAGGGCCTTATGAACCGCCCACCAGGCGAGTCTCCGTCCCTCAGACTCCGTAGCTCATCTGATACGAGTCGGGCGTCTGGCAGTGGAGACTCACTGGACAACGACACCACCGACCTGGACAAGTTGATCAACAGTGACGAGACCATCCATTTCACGTTGACTCCTCGGAGTGTGAGAGAGATGACATTCCCTGATGTGCCTCGACCAATTCCTCGGTCAGACACCACAGACACGACCGACCTTGCCGAGTTCCTGAAAAATACTGGTCCACCAGGAGCCGATCCTCGAGCTTCCGTTTCATCCAAGGCCACTGGAGAACAGCTCATTGCAAAGGCGGGTGACTCCCCCAAGCATATTCCAATCTCTTCCCGCATGAGCCTGTCTCCCACGGACGCTGCTGCTCCTGCACCAACCCGCGACACTCGGGCTGCTAGTACTACAGTCAGCAAGCCGCCTGCTCCCACCAGTGCCCCGAGCCCCACCGTCGACTCTCCTAAGTCCGTTCGAACCCAGCCTAGCATCTCATCCACTCGTTCGAATCCCAACCGGCCCAAGCTGCAGGCTCGCGCGGCGGAGACACGTGGATCGGAGACTTCTGATTTGATTGATTTCATTCGCCAAGGTCCGCCACAGTCTACCCACCGCATCCCTCGTACAGTTGCGCCATTCCGAAACACAGTCGATTCGGATGATATGCAGGTCGAGTCCCAGAACAGTTCTCTTGCCAGCCGTGAAGGCTCAAGTGTGAACAAGTCATTTACCTCATTTGGCTCGCGCACTGGGCTGCTGGATTCATCTAGCCGCCCCAGTGGTCAGGCCAAGGCGAGCGCATCCACAAGCGTGGCGGAACCTCCTCGACCTGTCCGCAAGCAAAGGCGTGTTCCGGATCCCTACGCTATTGATGACGATGATGATGATGATCTGCTTGAGGAACTGATCCAAGCCAAGCAACCTGCGCGCCAGGAGGAGAGCTTGCTTGATTTCCTGCGCAGCGAACCCCCGCCCGACTTCCAGCAAGCTCAGCCTCAACCATTGAGCATACGACCACCTGCATCTTCTAGCTCAAATGGGTCGGTCAGTATGAAGTCTCGTCTGATGTCAGGAAATGGTCCCTCATCGAAAATGTCGGTCAGCTCTATGCGCTCGTTGAACAACACCCCGCAATCCAACTACTCCTCCAAGGTCGGTATGGAGCGGAACCCTGGCACTTTGCCATCCACCTCCAACCGCCAAACCGAGACCAGTGCACTAGCGGACTTCCTCCGGAATACCGGCCCGCCAGAGCCTGCTCCCCAGAACTCCATGAGCCCCAAGATTAAAGAAGGCGGTTTCTCCCGCTTCTTCACACGCCGCAAGAAGGTCGAAGCCTAATGCAGTCACCTGCCACGACCTCGACTCCTTGATGTTATGCTTTCAGCGTTTCATTGCCATGTAACGATCACATATCTCATGTCCATCGTTTTGTCTCATTTCCATGTCTCTTATACTTCACCCGCTCTTCAATTTCTTCACTCATCTGTTACATAGAGCTGCATTGCAGCATGTTCCATGTTTTCTTGTTCTTCATGGCTACGGCCTGGTGGTTTTTGTGTTCTTCTATCTTTTGAACCATTTTTCTTTTCTTCCAACATTCTTTGGATGCAATACTGACGATTAATACGGAGCTTCTTTTCTTTTTGTTTTGTTTGATTCGACTCGATTCGATTCTGGGGTTGACAATGACGTCTTTGCTTTTCTTTTTGTGAAACTCTGCGAGATACCATGTTTGAAGTATTTATGTCTGTATCTAAAAGCCTCGACGCTCGAAACCCACTCACTTCATTTAATGAATCTGAATCTCTTCAGCCAGCACTTACTGTAAATCGTACGACTAGATATCGCGCTCTACTTCAGCATAGCACCATTGAGATGAGTATTTACACACATCTGATGTTGAACTACATGATACCAGCAGGTAAAGCATGCCATTGTTTTCAGTTGATTATTTCATTAAAAAGACATAGAAAATTACTTAAAGATCGTAATTTCCAATGCACAATGGCAGACTTGTTAATATTGGCGGAGGTCAGGTGCTCCGTGCTTAGGTGATCCTCCAGTCCCCTTAAGTGGCATCAACAACCGCCAGCTCCCCTGTTTACCACGCCAAAATCCCCCACCATGGGCTCCTCTCCACTCACAATGGGGTCAATTCTGACTTTCTTCCTCCTCGTGATCCAAATCGCCTCTGCCCTCAAATTCGATCTCCCCGCCACCTCAGGCCACGGCAAGAACGAGCGATGTATCCGCAACTTTATCGCCAAAGACCAGCTGGTCGTTGTGACCGCCATCGTGAGCGGTTCCAAGGGTGACGGCCAGCGCGTCAACATGCACGTACGTGACATACCCATCCAGGCGCATCCCAATTCCAAATTCGTTGATCTGCGCTACGAACAACACCACCACAACCACGAACCCGCTTCCGTGTTTGATCTCGATCGCTGACACAACTACAGATCAAGGACTCGATGGGCAATGACCACGGTCGTCCCAAGGATATCGTCGGGGAGGTGCGTCAGGCCTTCACCTCGACCGCCGATACCACTTTCGACGTGTGCATGGAGAACCAGCTTGTTGGCCGCAGTAAGTCAAGTTCTCAGCACCATCAAGACCCTATTAAAGCTAACTCGTTTCAGACTCCCAACAAAACCCCGTCCGCGAAGTCGAACTCGATGTCGAAATCGGCGCCGACGCCCGCGATTGGTCCAGCATCCAAGCCCAGGAGAAATTGAAGCCCGTCGAGACTGACCTCCGCCGTATCGAGGAGATGGTCGCCGATATCGTGACCGAGATGGATTACCTTCGTGCTCGTGAGCAGCGTCTCCGTGATACCAACGAGAGCACCAATGAGCGTGTGAAGTGGTTTGCTTTTGGAACCATGGGTATGCTGGTTGGTCTTGGTGCTTGGCAAGTTGTTTACCTGCGTGCCTACTTCCGGTCTAAGCACCTTATCTAAGCATTTTGCGTTACGTTCGTTGAGTACGGTTAAAAGAATCGGGGCTTTCAAGCTCTTTGTTTGCAAGTCGAATGCGTTTGGGAATGCATGTTTGGATTTTCTTGTAAGATGAAATGAGATCGGGTAGCTGCCAGTTCCTATCCGGGGAGTTGCTGATCTTTCTTCCTTTTTTTTCACGACTCGTGTCTTATGGCATTTGTTTCAATGGTCATGACTTCGATGATATAAAATATATGTCCTGCTTTGCGGGGGTTAATTCCAAGTCTGTTTTCTCAAACACCCAGAGCCCATCATATGATCACCTTGAACGCAATTGTCTTGTTCGAAGTCATGTTGACGGTTCTCCCGAAGAGGTATACGGAGGTGGAGGCGAGATAAATAATGGCACATTGATAGAAGGTATTGCGTGAATTTCAAATGCAGTGAGATAAAGCCAATGAACAGTTGTCGGGCTTATAATCTGGACATTATTACTCAAAAACCAAGGACTCACCCTCTGTACCTGGTAATATGTCAAAGCCCAGTGAAGGAATGTAAGTGTCAAACTCGAAAAGTATCCAAGGTGATGCACATAAGGGTAAGTATGGTAATCTACTTGTAAAAGATTAAAACGCATACACAGGAATCAAAGAGTTTGTATAGGTTCGGAATTTCAATATTATCGAAAGAGATAACATAAAGCAGTAGATTAGCAATGTTACCTTAGTATATGAAAGTGGATTTGATATTGAGAAGTCTTGTAATCGCAAGCCATTTAGTGGTAGATGGACCTGCAAATAATGCAAACATCGGGTGTTGCAGGTAGCTTTTTCGGCCCGGGCAATGACTCCAAAATGATGTCAAGCCGAGCATTTCATATCAACGCCTCTTTTCCCATTCAACTCAGGTTCCAACAGACCTGAAAGGATAAGAGACACCTCAAAATGTCGGCTTCGAAACTGATCCACCGCGCCTTGCGCCCAATTCAATCGTCCTACAAACCCGCAATCAACCGTTCATTCGGCACGAGTGCTCTACGCTTCAATGATGCCAAAGACCGCTCCCTCCACAATGTCCAAAGCTACCGGGAGGACCAGACCAAAAAGCCATCGAATCAATTTGTCCCAAACACCACATCCACATTGACCAAGGATTTCCCTAATGTCGGTAATAAGCCCCCGCCGCCAGAAATGCTGAACTCCGTCGACCCGAATTACCGTCCTAATGACCCATACCCTGGGCGGATCGAGCACTTCACTGGCGGTCGTCAGGAGAGTGGTGCGCAGAAGCCTGAACTTGGAGTTGGTGAGATGGAGGGTATTACTTTTAAGGTTGAGCCTCTGAAGCGGACTGGAGAAGATGCTACGACCATGCGGGCTCGGTTATTATGTTCGTTCCTCCTTCCACATCAATATGTCATGACAAAGAGCTGCAGGCATACAAACCTCGAACATTAAACTGATTGCTTTGAAATAGACCAAAGCCGCAAGCGCGGTATTCTCGAATCCGACCTCCTTCTCTCTACCTTCGCCGACGTCTACCTCCGTGAGATGACCGTCGAGCAGCTCCAAGAATACGACCGCTTCCTTGACGAGAATGACTGGGATATCTACTACTGGTCCACCCAGGACCCGCCCGATGTTACCGGGGCGAACCCTCCGGCCGAGGACCAGCTGACGGAGACCTGGAAGGAGACTGGCGCCAAGAGTGGCGAGTGGGCGCAGACTATTGGTGCATTCCGGGCTGCGTATCGCCCTGTCCCAGAGAGGTGGAATGGATCTGAAGTGTTGGAGTTGCTGAGAAAGCATGTGAGGGACAAGAGTGCCACTGGGTTTGAGTCGGCGAAGAATAGAAAAACTGGCGGCGGTGGTGGATTGGGACGTATGCCGAATGTGCAGGTTTTCAACTCCTGAGGGTTGTAGCTTTTGTAGAACTATGCCCAGGTGGATTACCGGTGAACCGAGCATGATTGGGTGATCTACTGATAGTACTAGAACATTGGAGTTGTGTATGATAGGTCGCCATAATGCGACATGGCGGACGCTTTGTATACTTTAGTGAATCAGATTGAGTCGATACATATATACATAATCTGTGTTCAATGCTTACCTATCAAGGCCAATCATAGTAAAGAATATTATTGATGAGCACCTTTCTATGGCTAGACCTGGCTTATTGATGGCTCTTAATATGATCTAAACATGTTGGTAGACGTGGAATAATCAGAATACATGAGAAAAAAAAATCTTTAATCTAGTTGCGATTTCTAGTTTGAAATTCCAATCCAACCTATTCAATATGAACATAGAGATGAACGCAATAGAATATCTTTAGAAAGCATACAATGTCCATAAGTTAGTTGAATACCATTGTAGACGGGGCCGATAAGATAATACACGTGACCTTCGCTTATTGTTAGGGCACAGCGGAACCACACAAGGCGCCAGCCAACCGGGTTAGGGCTTTGGCGGGCACGCAGCACCTCTCTCCTCTGATTTTATCTCCCCAGCGTCAACGACCTACTCCGCCCATCCTCACCCTTCATCGATTCACTCATCATGGCTGAGCAGCTGGTTCTTCGCGGCACCCTCGAGGGCCACAATGGCTGGGTTACCTCCCTTGCGACCTCCCTGGAGAAGTAGGTCTGGCCTCGTCAAATTTTCGCAATGGATCGTGTTCTGACTTCGCCCTTAGCCCCAACATGCTGCTGTCGGGCTCTCGCGACAAGACCCTGATCATCTGGAACCTCACCCGCGATGAGCAGGCTTACGGCTACCCCAAGCGCAGCCTGGAGGGTCACTCCCACATCGTCTCTGACTGTGTATGCATTTCTGCCCCCTCTTCTCTCGAAACCGAATCATGGTGTGCGGATCCATTGGGAAACGACAAAATGGGAATCGGATGCTAGGAAACAAATGGAAGCGGCTTTCGCTGACCGATCGTCTTCTTAAATATAGGTGATCTCCTCCGACGGTGCCTACGCTCTGTCCTCCTCCTGGGACAAGTCTCTCCGTCTGTGGGAGCTGTCCACCGGTAACACCACCCGCACCTTTGTCGGCCACACCAACGACGTCCTCTCCGTCTCTTTCTCCGCCGACAACCGTCAGATCGTCTCCGGATCCCGTGACCGCTCCATCAAGCTGTGGAACACCCTCGGTGACTGCAAGTACACCATCACCGACAAGGGCCACACCGAGTGGGTTTCCTGCGTTCGCTTCAGCCCCAACCCCCAGAACCCCGTCATTGTCTCCGCTGGTTGGGACAAGCTCGTCAAGGTACGCTTCTGTTCGATCTTCAATTTCAGCCCACCCCCATTTCAAAGGATGTTTGCATCTTTTACGTATTTGCTACTTCAGAGCCCTTCGTGGGCCATGAGACAATTATCACCAATGCCTGATTGAAATCAACTCAATACTTCCATTGTGGAAGTGTTGAGTTGGTGAGGAAATTTTCTCTTGCTCAAAGCACTGGAAAATATTGATGTATTATCGGGACGCTGACAATTCATCTACATTAGGTTTGGGAGCTCGCTTCTTGCCGCCTGCAGACCGACCACATCGGTCACACCGGTTACATCAACACCGTTACCATCTCCCCCGATGGATCCCTCTGCGCCTCCGGTGGCAAGGACGGTACCACCATGCTCTGGGACCTGAACGAGTCCAAGCACCTCTACTCTCTCCACGCCGGTGATGAGATCCACGCTCTCGTCTTCTCCCCCAACCGCTACTGGCTGTGCGCTGCCACCAGCAGCTCCATCACCATCTTCGACCTCGAGAAGAAGTCCAAGGTTGATGAGCTCAAGCCCGAGTACGTCGAGAAGGGCAAGAAGTCCCGTGACCCCGAGTGTATCTCCCTCGCCTGGTCCGCCGATGGTCAGACCCTGTTCGCCGGTTACACCGACAACAAGATCCGTGCCTGGGGTGTTATGTCGCGCGCTTAGATGAGTTGATGAGTGTGAAGGAGGAGGCCTATTTTTGATCTATTGCCAAGGGAATCAAAAAAAAAGTTCAAAATCCAGAACAAGAAGGGCTTTGGTTTTGGGATGTATGAGCCACGAGCAATGAAGCACTTTGGGTCGGGACACGGTGTTACCCGACCTTGAGGTTTTCTGACATGCCTAGCTTACTCGATTCGCCATTAAAATCGAATGTCTGGCTTGTGAAGGCATGTGATGTTCTAATACCACATAAGGCATCAAAACTGTTTTCCTATTTTTTCTTCACCCTTTTCCATCTCGTAGCGGGTGTGGCCAGACATGTAGAGGTTGTAGTACACAGTCCTGTAAGGTAAATACATATGTAGGAGTGATGTTGTCTAGTCAGGCGTCTTGATACTTCAAGCTAGCTCAAGTCAAGTGCTGCGATAAATGTGGAGTTGAATGTCTATGCAGGCACTATCTGCCTCTAGCAAAAGCTTATTATATTTTAAAATCTTGGAACCTGGGAAGTCACCTACTTCCCAGATGCCTTGCTTGATTCGAGTTCTACAGGAATACACATCAGTCACTCCTTGTCAAAAACATTCTGCACCCACCCAGCACCTAACAGTGATTTCTCATACCCCAGGATAAAACAAATGAGCCTTGAGGTTGGTACCGCAAGCATCAACCGAATCATTAGCATTACAGTATACTCCCGTCACATTAAAGGCCTCGTAGCCACGGTAATAGGGCTAGTAAAGGGTAAGGCATGAAGTACCGTATAGGACGAGAGTGTTTGCTGCAAAAGATATGATGAAGCTGGAAGTGGCGTACAGAAAGACTTTGGGCAGCTGTACTACTTCATTTCAAGGCTCCTCGAGGTTGAAGAATACTATTCGCCCATGGCCATTGATCACTAAATTTATTGGAGTTCTCCTCTGCTCTATAGGTACTCTCTTCCCATATAGGACTATGTCCTATGAAAAATGAGATTGTAAAGGAATATAATATGTCATTGATCATGACTATCTAAGGCGTAGGCAGTGCTCAGTTATAACTCCCCTTCGAGAACTCACTGTAGTTGGCAGCAATATTTTTGAATAGGAAAGATCAACACTAGGTCTCCAGAACCTTGAACCAAGCATTCGCGAAAAAGTCAAAAAGAGGCCATGTTCTTACTCGGCTGACAAAAACGCATGGTATATGTTTAGGTGAGTCTGAGAAGGTCCTTGTTTGATTAGTTTTACTACCTGTGCCCTATGTATACTAAAATTAGTTTAAAGTTTCGCATGCTTTAACGAATTCATCTGTTTTGCTATGCAAGTGACCTGGTGCACCTTGGTCTCATTCCGAAAGGCCTTGTGTTTTTAGTTTAGGTTGATCCCAGCGTTGTCTCTAGGGTCCTGAGAGTACTGTGGTGACTATCTCAGTTCAAGTGACACAAAATACCATATCGATCTTCCAAAGATATGACTGAGGCCACTATTTTGCTCTTTGTAAACGTTCGTAGCATCGCTTTGGGAATTGGAATGTATAATATGCGGGGTATCAGTTGGCATACCCCGCATTAATAAACATTTGGACTTGAGAGGATTTTCACTCTTGGCAATTAGCAATTTGGTGGAAATTGACTTCCAAAAGAGTTGTTCAAGTTCGGAGTATGAAGGGGGGAAACATGACAAGATTCCACGGCTTACTGTTACATGCGGTTAAATAGTCATTCCCCCTTGCTATCACATCATGCCGAGGTCAACCCCGCGGAGCTTATCAGCAAATCCTCACCATCCATTAGGAGCTCGTCGTCATTACTGCCTAGCTGGTATCCTTTGTCCTGATAACACGACCGTTTATCGGTGGGACATTTAACGTTGGAAAACCTGAAAACTTCCGCCCTTGATCTCCCTCTCATGGTCCTGGTGCCCGCTACATTTGCGAAGGCAGCAGCTACAAGATCAACTATTCCGTACTGAAGCTTTGGAAGAGTCACACGGCCATTTCTCTTCCATTTGCTCTGATTTGCTCTGAGAAGTGCGATGGTCCTGACAAAGCTTGCCATCTGGCTCTGGGGCCCAGATGCCAAGGATCGAGCCTTACTATCCAAATTGGATGTGACGCTGCTCCCTTATTTCTCATTGATCTGGTTTCTATTCGGTATAACCCGAGCAAGTTATTCATCTGCATACATCAGTGGCATGAAAGAGGCCCTGGGCTTCGAGGGCAAGCAGTACAACTACATGAACACCGCGTACCTGGTTGTTTATGCTGTTTGCCAGATCCCGGGTACCAGTCTACTAACTGTATTGCGACCGAAATATGTCTTTGTCACTGCCAACTTGACGTGGAGTGTGTTGACCTTGATCACATACAAGATGACGCATGCCTGGCAAGTCATTGTGCTGAATGCCATTGAGGGCGGCTTTTCCGCTATTGCATAGTACGTCTGTGTTTTTATTTTCATCGCCCCGAAATGATTTTAAACTCTGACAATTTTTACAGCGTTGGAGCACAGTTCATTCTCGGCTCGTGGTACCGTAAGTCTGAGCTGGGTGTTCGAGCGGCTGTGTTTTGTGTATTCGGCCAACTAGGCACAATGTCTGGTGGCTGGATGCAGGCCGGCCTGCTTGAGACTCTCGCAGGCAAAGGTGGTCTGCCAGCGTGGAAATGGATTTTCATTATTGTGTCTGTCATGACGATTCCCGTTGCATTATTCGGTGAGTCTCACCTAAGACTATCGATGAAAAGGCATTTTTTGACCAGTGAACAGGCTGGATCTTTATTCCGGATCTCCCTGCTCACCATGCCGCCTGGTATCTCAGCGATGAGCAAAAGGAACATGCGGCTACTCGACTAGGTCCCTTCCGCCAACAGTCATGGGATATTACCGTCTTCAAACGTGTCTTGCTGAGCTGGCAATTCTATCTCTTGCCAACCCTCTTCATGTGTATGTGCATCATGCGAACGCAATAATTGACTGTACATCTAAAATAACCTTTTTAGTATACTCGCTCTGCGTGCAGATGCTACAGAATAACGTCATGGCCTATTGGATGGCCTCGAGAGGCTACACCACCGTACAACAGAACAACTACCCTACAGGGATCTACGCGACAGCTATTGTCGGAACAGTATTTTATGCCGTCATTTCCGATAAACTTCAATCCCGCTGGGAAGTATCCGTCGCGATCGGCTTAACTTTTATCATTGGCTCGGCCATCCTAGTGTCTAGTCCGTCCACAGATGCTGGGTACTTCGTTGCCTTTTACTTACTCGGGACAACCTTTGCTCCACAGGCTGTGTGGTATTCGTGGATGGCCGATGTGACGAGTCATGACTTCCAACTACGCGCCATCACGACAGGCTTCATGAATTCATTTGATTTTGCCTTTGTGTCCTGGTGGCCCCTAATTTTCTACCCAGCGACAGATGCGCCTGATTTCAGAAAGGGTTATATTGCCAGTTTAGTTACAGGAACTTTGACCCTGCCATTTATCGCTATCATCGCCTACCTAGAAAGGAGGGATACAGCTCGCGGGATTATCGGGAGGATTTCTGCTCACGATTCCGATGCCGAGGGATCGGGATTTCAGCACGAGCCAGTCGATGAAAATACCCCGATCAATGTACGACCGAAGACTAATGTGTAGTCAAGTATAGATTGTATGGAATATGGTTATAGAAGATACCATTTACTCCCATGTGAGACCAAATGTGGTGATCTAGCTTGGTCTTATCTTCGATTTATTCCACGAATGTGTTCATTGGAGCGAATTCTAGGGTCATAATATAAATACATGTAGGAATGCACGCCTCTAAAGGTCGTGCGTTTTAAGTCTTCAAGATTATTTTTTCGCAAGTCTCTTCAAGGCCTCATCCGCCATGGCGATACCCTCTTCAAACCCAAGTCCCTTTGCCAGCGACTTGGCCTCCGAGTAACGCTTCAGAGCCACATCCGGTTTCTTCTGGAGTTCTGCCAGCTCACCCAGGTTATAGGTCGCAGCAACACAGCTTACATCGCACTCCTCGTCGCGGACAGGTGGCTGGATTCGCGCAGCAACATCAAGAGACTTCTGAGCCCACTGCCGGGCTGCCTCAACAGCTTGCTCCGGCGTGTTTGATTTCAGTTGGCTTCGAGTTGGTTGCTGTACTTGGCCAACCATGGCACTGGCAACATTGTTAAGCAGGCCGACCTGCTTACAAGATGGGAATCCACCCTCCGCCTCGCGGATCAAGTCCAAAGCACGCAGGTACAGAGGCAGGGCCAACTCGTGCCGCTCTTTAGCACTGTAAGTAGATGCGAGCTCGCCTAACGCTGTGGCAATCTCAGTCATATTCAACCACGACTCTTCAGCTCCCTCAGCGCCACCACCGACAGGTAGACCGAGCTTCTGGCGGCGGTGCATCTCCTTCAAACACAGCTCCACAGCAGCGACCTGCGCAGCTTCGGCCTTTTTGTCATCCTGAATGTGGTCACTGGCATACAGCTCACCCAGCTTCATCTGCATACCAACAACCTTCTTGAGCGTACGGTCACGCTGGCGCGCCTCAAACTCCTGCATCTCGCGCATCTGCTCCTCGGTATCCTGCAGCGCCTCGGTGTTGATCTGCACCTTATCCGCAGTAGTCTGTGCCGACGTAGACGGCTGCAAAGCTTGAGGTTTGGGAGGACTAACCGAAGCAGCCTCGGTGGTATGCCCCTGCTCCACCCAGTTCAATGCCTCGTCCTTCGTCCGCTCCAGCACTTCAATAGCAGGCTTCACTAGCCCGGCCTTCTCCAACATCATCGCCACTTGTAGCTTAATACCTAGCACTTCATCGGAAAAAGGGTGCAATCCTAATTCCACACCAATCCGAAGAGCCTCCTTGTACGCCTGCAGTGCCTTGGGCGGATTCAAGTCGATCTCTGTGTAGTACACCGCGGTACGGAGCGCATCCGCCACCGGCGGGGGGAATTTATGGTACTGGGGTCCGACACGAGTGACCTCCACATAAGAGATATAAACGAATGCCCCGATTGCGCTGACAACACCGACGATGGCGAGTGGGAGGAGGATGGGGTTCTTGCGGAAGATACCTTTAGACGCTTCGCGGTAGTGGAGGCGCACGCGCTGGGCGAAAGTGATATGTCGTGGGCGGGGAATTTGTGAGAGAGTGAGCCGGGCGCCACTTGTGGGCTTCAATTGGGGTGTTGGCCGGGCATTGTTGGTGTATATTGTCCGTGTCAGGGACTGGCGTTGTGCTTGGACAAGTTTGGAGGTGTAGACGCTAGTGCGCCGCGATGCTGTGCGGAACATCGACAGTGTGGTTTTTATGTGATCCCTTTGGGTACTTAGGTAGGAATAAGGCGTTGAATTGAACCTATGGTTTGCGACGAGGGATCGTGGTGTTTAGAGAGTGGTAGATTGAAGCGGAGCGAACCCGTTTGATTTTCTCTTGGCTCAAGCTTCTCTCCGCCATATGACGTCGCCCATCCGCATCTGCGTACATCTCCAACCAGGGGCAATTATTCATGCATAATATGATACGATATTCAATACGCTGATTCTAATTCTTCCAAGCAAGCATGTGTGGACGTTATGCTTTGGGCGTGGTATGTCCCCTTCATATTACTTCGGCCCTCATGCTGACTTCATAGCGCATTGCGTACATGCGGCAGCAGCTCGAGGACAGAGGAATGCCTGTAGACGATGCACCAGACGATGATGAAGTCAGGGAGACCTACAACTTTGCGCCCGGGAACTTTGGCGCCGTTTATCGAGCTGATATCCCCGTAAAAGAACAACATGGCGAAGCTAGCGAGGAGCAGAAGGCAGACCATGAGCCAAAGGAAGATGCAGGCACAAGCCACACGAAATATAAGCTCCAGAGCATGAAATGGGGTCTCATCCCATTCTGGACAAAGCGAAGTCCCGATTACGGCTCTCTCATGCGCACAATTAATTGTCGCGATGACTCGCTCATCGAAGACCGCGGCATGTGGACCACCATGAAGCGGCGCAAGAGATGTATTATACTCTGCCAAGGATTCTACGAGTGGTTGAAGAAGGGACCAGGCGGCAAAGACAGAATTCCACATTTTGTGAAGCGCAAGGACGGCGAATTGATGTGCTTCGCGGGACTATGGGACTGTGTGTCATATGAAGGTGGGTAATACTGCTTATCTGGTGTTTTGATATTTATTTAACAACCAACAGGGTCCGACGAGAAGCTGTATACCTTCACCATTATCACAACATCATCAAACCCCTACTTGAAGTTTTTACATGACCGCATGCCTGTCATTTTGAATGCTGGGTCCGAGGCCATGAAGATGTGGCTTGACCCAGGCCGCACAACTTGGTCGAAAGAGCTGCAATCGCTCCTGAAGCCGTATGTGGGTGAACTGGAGTGTTACCAGGTTCCAAAGGAAGTCGGAAAAGTTGGAAACAACTCTCCTGACTTTATTGTTCCGGTCGATAGTAAGGAAAACAAGAACAATATAGCCAACTTTTTCGCCAATGCCCAGAAAAAAGACGAAAAGCCTCTTGTTACTGGAACTTCTCCGAAGAAGGAGCCTGCATCGCCAAAGACTGAAGCCACATCTGAAAATGACCAAGAAAAGATACTGACAACACCGAGTGTCAAGAGACAGCATACGCCGGATTCAAGTACCAAAGATATAAAAAAAGCGAAACTACCGGCCCCAGTCACTCCGCAGAAAATGAAGACACGAAGTGCCACCTCCAACATCTCCAACAAGAAGCCCGGAGCAAAGAAACCGACTGACGGGTCTCAACGAATCACGAACTTTTTCAAATAATCATAATGTAATAAGATTGCTATGAGAGGGGAATCGAGAAAATTGTTGTAAACAATACTGTACAATTTGCCTTGCCTTAAGCTGATATGGTAAGACTTATTGCTGGTCAAGCTCTTTCAATCTTTGAACCAGTTTCGCCCTCAGGAAGGGACTCAATCCGAGACTGAGATGTTTAGTACCATACCAACAATGTGAAAATATTAGGGGGAGTGACTTACATTCCATCACGGGTCACAGTTCTGTAAGTACCTACTATGAGTTAGATTGCCATTCAAGAAAACCAAAGGAAAAAACTTACCACTGGATTGATAATTTCCATCACCTCCGACGAAGTGACCATCCGAATCCACTTCAAGGCTTCCGAAGATGTCCTCTGGCCTATCAAGGAGTCAGTAGCAATTCAACTCACACGAGACCTCTGGTAAGTATTATCTTACCAAGCAATTCGGCCATAATCAGGAGGACGTCGGCTGTCTGAGATATGAATCCAACCACCTCGGCCAGCAGAGCCAACACCACCCTGGCCACTGGCCCCGCCACTAGAGTCACCCGTATCGGCGCGGCGTTTATTTTTGCGTCGATTGTGACTCATGAGGACACCGCCAGAATACAAATTTGCTCCGGCTGTGGATACCATGACCTGTGCCTGAGACTGTGCTTCTGGGTCTTCGTGCGCGTACTTGGAAAAGACCTCTTGGAGGATCTCCAAGAATTTTGGATTCTCACGGAGCGAGTCTGTTGTTGGTGGTAACTTTGTTGTAGTTCCAATTGCTAATTTTTTATTGACGGGCTCAGTTGGCAGAAGGGACAGAATATGAGACCCAGCTGCTCCCTCACTTGGGAATACATACTATGTTACGTCAATATCAAAACGAATGATCAATTGGACAGATACATACGATATGAGAGTTTCCACCCAATGTAGAGACACTGCGGAGCTGGATCCATCTACGGGGACTCCAGGCCTGTCGACAAGCTGTTCTAACGGCGAACATTGTTGTGAAGAGCAATGAAATATGCTGGGTTGTAAAGAAATGGTTTGGATCTGACCTCATGCAGTTATCTTGCAGATCCGGGAAGGCGGTCAACAAGGCGGTAACCGATAGCTTGCATTGGTCCACTGGCTTGTTATGGAGAACTTGAAATCGACAAAGTTGCGAGGCTGAAGTTGCGCCGCTCAATTGCAGTGTCGGTGTCGATCTCAAGAGTGGAGGCTGTAGGCCATCAATTTTACGTTTAATAGTCCCAAAATTCGACAATATACCCATCTTCGGAGCCCGCTCTTGGGCGCATAAAGGATCACTGGATTGAACAGCCCATCCCGCGCCGAAATTGCTGCTTTCACAGCATCTTTGGGGGTTACGAGACTCTTGCTTTCATTTATAAAGTAAAAGGGACTTTACGCTTGCCATGGCGACCCCATCAGCCAAACCTGGCGCCACGCCAACTCATCTCACTTCCTCCCCGCACCCGTCATCTGCGCCTCTATCCCGGTCCATTGCTCATAAATCCCCCTCTACAAGAACCCCGACAGCCTCAGGCCAAGGCCATACACACCAAATAAGTGTTTCATCATCTCAACAGTACGCCACACCTCTTGCCGTCTCAAACGCAGTCGATGAATCCGTCAATTTCACCTCTCCCTCCGCGTTACTTGCGCTTGGCGGTTACACTGGAATCAGCCCATCACCAGCGGTTCACGACGCTCTTGTTGGCCACGGATTGCACGATAACGATATTCAGAATTTAGGAATGCAGGGACTCAAGCTTGGGGTGGGTCGTGATAACGACGAAGAGCAAAGACACCGGATTGAGGAAGTGGTGCTATGTCTTCATGCGCGCGTTGCAGGGCGAGGTGTGTCTCGGGAAGGAGTTGAACGATTGAGCCGGCTGGAGGGATTTGAATCGATCTGGCAAGACAACGATATCAACATTGCCGGTAACTTTGTCGATCTGGAAATCGAGTTTCATGCTGGCCATGATGTCGTCAAGGATGTTAGCTTGCGATACGCTACGCCAGAGTTCACCGAGGGCGAGCGACGAGAAGAAGCGACTGCTGTCTTGAAACGAAATCTTGTGCAGTCACCCCAAGACAGCGAGACGGGAAATTGGAAATCACTCCAGGGTTTCTATGAGAACTTGCAGTGGCTCGCGAAACTGGATAAGCTCAGCCAGGAAGTAAATTGTTTTGAGGCGCTGGAGGGTCTTGAGGAGAACCTCAAGCGGATATGGGTGGAAGAAGCGAAGAACAGCAAATATGGCGGAGATTACGAACATCTCTGCTCTGGGGTCATCGGTCGTCCAAGCATGCACAAAGGATCCCGAATTGGGCTTGGCCTAGAGTTTTGGGTCGACCAGGCTCAGATTTTGGATGTCAAGGCAAAAGGATCGCCCGATGCAATGGTGATTGATGGTGAAGCCATTGAGATGGAAGACCAAGAACGGATATGGACTGTCATGATCGAGTGCGAAGAGGGCTATCCGTCCCTTCGTATCTCCAAAGAGTGGGTCGGGGCAGACGTCTTCGCATCTGAAGATAAGTCGGAGTCGTCACCACCATCTGAAACTGTGCGGTCCATTGAATGGCTTGATCCTCCACAAACTATGCGCTTGCATGGAAACCATCCCGATCCAATGGCTCTTGACTCCAGTATGCTGGAATCGTCCCCACCAAATCGTCGCTTTGTTGCCAAGCTGGAGCCTGCTCTGGATATTCCCATCCTCGCGGCGTCCGAAATCTACCGTCATCTTGGAATGCAGTTACCACATGAGTTCAAGATGTTTACATATGATGGTTTGCTAGTTTCAGACTCGACAACGGGCGATGCATCGCCACAACCTAGCCGCAGAAAGCGCAGAATGTCTGTCTATTCCGTCGACTCAACTGGCGCAACTCAGGTCAAGCAACATAACTACACCTTCCAGGCATTCGAATCCGTTGCAGGCCGCAAGATTCGTGAGCTTCCATTTTCTCATCCTCGGCAACTCGCCGACATCCTTCCTGTATGTGAAACCCTGCACCTTGACCCGTTCAAAAAAAGAAAAAAAAAACAACCTCTAATGAAATTTAGGTGTTTCGTCAATACGCTTTGCTTGCAAGCTTGATTCGCAAAGTCTTCAAGGTTCCTGCCAAGGAAAAGAATGACATAACAGCATCTGTGAAGATGACACCAACAAAGTCATCTTCTGGTCTATCTTCTGGCCCAGATTCAAGTCTCTTCAATGGTTCGGAAAGCACCATTACCCTCAGCAATGATGACCCCAACGAAGAGAAGCTCAACATGCTGCTCAATAATGGGTTCCCAACTGCTGATAACAGCGGGGGTTTCTCGTGGTCCAACAATCAGGATGATCGACTATTCATGAACGATGTCAAGGTGGACGTGACATTACGCACACAACTTGGACAGGCCCCAGCTCTAATGTTGCTTATCACAAATCCCGGCAAAAACATCGGTAGCATCGAGAAATTTGTGCGCCAGTCAGTACAAATCTCACTCTGTTTCGAGATTGGCCTTAATGGTCGCATCTCCGTGGTCGACAGCTCGGGTCTCAATGCAACCAATGGTGATCCTGGGGACACCGAGATGCAAGGTGCGGATGACAAGCCAAGCCTGCATGATATCCACAAAAAGATCGCCAGGGTCTTGGAGACCGCGCAGGACCTGGGTATCCTGGTGGAATGGGTCCTGCGGGAGCGGCTCGGCAGCGGTTAAGGCGCGAATGCCGGAATTTCCGGGAACCAGTGTCTAGACTCAGGCGACCTCAGGTTCAGTTTACCTTTGCGCAAGCCTGGCTCAGAATCCAATGACCTGCTGATAGGAGTCTTTCAAGATTACAGTTGCTCCCGGCCTCCGAGTCAGTTGTGCTACTATCCGCTCTGGTGGAAATTTGCGCCAGCGATACGTCCAAGCTGGAGACCATGGCCTATGGAGGCTCAAATGCGTATCTTCTCTGTGACACAAAATCTAGATCTGCATTGCATGTTATGCATTCGTGGGGCTTGTGCATGCGCCATGAGTGTCGCACAGTTCGAGGGAGGACTGTCATCGACTTGCATTTCCATACACGAAGATATTTGTATGATAAACTTTTTATGATACCTACTAGCTAGTCCAATTTCGATTGGCTATGAATACCAAATGCAAGTTAGTACCTGACGAATCGATTAAGGAGAATGGGCACTTCAAAGGCTTTAGTCTGAAATGCCTCTTCGACACCTAGTTTGGAACCCTAGACTAGCTTGAACATCTCAAAAATTAGATTGCATCATATAAGAAGACCGTGAAGCCTTGATGCATCTTGGAAGTGGCGTCATCGCACATCGCATCATGATGTCGTCGCAGGCCGATCAGATAGACCCTTTAGGTTTTGCGGGGCGTACCTGTCTGCGCGGTTGCGTCGCCATTGCGGGCCCCGTGACTTCCAAGAGTACTGGGCAGCATCATCACCATCATCATCAACAACATGAAATTATCATATGAGGCATATACTACAAAAAAAAACCGACCCGCCAGACGCGAAAAAAAAAAAAGGAAAAAAGAAAAAATCAACCCCTCTTACAGAGCTATCGAACTAATACCTCGTAACGGAAGTGAAACTAACTATGAGGCACTACTGTCAGCCACGCGCCGGTTCTACCCCACCAGTTGAGGCTTTTGTTATATGAGTTCGTTATCAGTGGATACAGTAGCAAGCCCCTCACTAGTAGTTTTATTCACATTCCGGTGAGGCATTTACTAAGGCGTTGAAATACCTCGTATACCTAGTACTCAGGATGTTTTCTTTCCGTCATTTGCCCCTGTACTCGGACCATCATTGAGAATTCACGCGTCACGCAGCCCGAGATGGTTTTTATTTAAATATTGATTTACGTTTCTGTTAAGTTTAAACTGGTCATCGAATATGGCTCAAGACCTCTTCCGACCTCCCAAACTGGGCGATATTACGTCTTAAGTATTGGAGCGATGACTATCACTAGTCAGCAGCGTGTGTCAAGCGGCCGTTAGACCAATCAACGCAAGCCGATAAGCAAGTCGGTTGTCGATCCATGATGGAACCCTCTATTATAATTCCTGGTCTGGTGGAGGAATCAATTTGGGCGCCTGCATTGGGAGCAAGTGCGCCTGTAATCAAATATCAAAACTGTAGTGTGGTTGGTTGTTTAATCTTTCACTGTTGCACGTAATCATACAAAGAGTCGAGACTTGTCTCGACTCTCGGCGTTCAGGCCGGATGACTAACACCGAAGTGTTTCAGGAGGTTACTATTCTTATCCTGAACGCGCACTGTGTAGCCGATGGTGGAACAGGGGAACACAGAATATCAGAAACAAGAGGCTGTGCATGTGCAACACAACACGGAGTGACCGTGAAGCACGGCCACAGATATGGCCAAGAGAAGTATTCTTAGATTTCCCAGGGCTGACCTGAAAAGTCGGGGAAATAAGGGTTCTGGCACTAATCCCTTCCTGAACTTCCCGACCTTAACTCGTCGACGAAAATACGGGGGAGGGAGATCTTGTCGCCACTTTTCTTGCTGCATAAACCTATCCCAAGTAATGCCTGCTACAGTAACCCCCAGTACCTTTTTTTCCATAATTTTCTAGTACTTTTTCTAACCTCGCCGATCACTACGAAGATTTCTCGCTTGATCTTCACAATCTTTGCTAAGCACACAAATACCAAAAGCGGATATCCTTACATAAATTAGCCGAGCCTTGATAAAAAAAAAAGATAAAAAAAAAAAAAAAAAAGATAATAATCAGAAATTAAATAATCAAAACCATAAATATTATAAAAAATTCTTCTACGCGACGCGTGACTCAATTTGCATTTGAAAAAAACCCAGGGATCCAGAAACCCATGGCCGGTGTCGGGGCGGTTCCCAATTCTTGGCCCCGTCTGATTGGCGAAATGACGGGGGTTTCGAGAACGTTTTGCCACGCTCCACTTTAGCCAGGACTGTGACTTGATCGATCCCAGTCCCGGCGTGGCTGGGTTCTCCAGTTCGATGGGGTTTGCGGATCTTGTATTTTCCAAAGTTGGTACCAGGTATGTACCGAAATACCGGTCAGCCGGGGTGTAATTTTTATGAAGATACAGTAGATAGGTATCGCTTGCCATATCCGATCTGTTCTACGTCTAGTTGACCTAGATGGGATGGCGGGTTAGCCGCTGCAGGTACGGCGCGTTCAGGTGGACTATTCTATAAAGAGATTGCTTATCGTAGCCACGCGGCGATACGAGTCGATAACGAATCGCGCAATTGCGATTAGCAAGTGAGATGGTCACGGAGAGCGGAGCACGGAGAATGGAGTGCATTGCATGAGGAATGATAGTGTATAGTTGATTCGCAAACGTTCACCGCAGGTAGATTTGATGCTAATAGAAACGGGAAAAAGCAAACTAAGAGAAAGTCGATTCCAGTCTTTGCTTTTTTCGTCAATCTAGAACTGTCTGCGCGGATCAAATATGCACCTTAGCTATCACCCCTCGCAGTTGATATGCGCCCTAGCCAGGATGGATCAGATTGTTGCTAACTATCATTAGCAATATACATATTAGCTATCTTTTGAATCTTGCGATACGCAAGGATCTCTTGACCGGTCATATGAGCATTTGAGACGGTGATCAAGCCGGGGAGAACGCTCCCCCGGACTGTTTCCCGCTCGGGATAAAGATATCCAGACGTGGAGATGCGCGCGGGAACACAGACCGCGGGGCCGACCAGATCTGGGAAGCAGATGCGCAGGTGCACATGGCATCTGTTCCTTTTTCCTCCAATTGATAGCGATTTATTTGAAAGGTTCCGAGTAGGCGTTCCTGCTGTTATCGGTCCAACGGGAGAGAGGGGATAGGGTGCTGATTACTGGGGCTAATTACAAGGCCTGACCGCTGATTGGGCATGAATCGAGGTTATCACAAGTGTATCAAAGGACAATAAACCAAAAAACGCAAGACGACAAGTTAGAAAGGGGTGTTCGAGTGGCGGTCTATCAATACATCAATACAAAGCAAATTTTCAGTCTAATAGTGCAAGAACAAGAATGGCAAGAACCTCGGGAAAAGGCTAAATTCTAAAAATGACGGAGGAAATGCTCCATGTTGAAACCTAGGTTGAGAAAACCGGCATAGGGCAGATGCAATTGCGGAAGATCGTTTTCTTGTGATTCTCGTAGCCTGTAAAGATCTCGGCGACGACCGGCACCGCAGCTTGTATGATGCGACGATGATGACACAGAAGAGGGGTGGCGTTGATTTTACTCGGTAAATAGACGGTCGACTTCCCGTGCGCTTGTCTCGCTTGCACGTAGAAATTTTGTCAAGATCCAATGCTACAAAAAAAAGAAAAGAAGATCACAAAAATCAAAAAGCATAGGTCATGCGTGATTTTTAGGAATTGGTTTCCCCAACGACCCGGTTTCGGGTTTGCGCAGGAATGTCTACAGTATGAGGCACTTTGGATCGGTAACGAAAAAGCAATTACCATACGTGGAATACCAGGGATACGGTCCAGCCCCATGCCGCTAAGCCGTATGAGGGCTGATCCACGCCTTCCTGTAATTTATTCCGTACTTTCCTCATTCTCTCCCCCACTGACAAAAAAAAAAGAATTCAAGGCGTGACTAAATTTAAATCTTTTATCTTTCCTCCTTTTCTTCCCCCACCATCTACAAAACTCCCCTCTTTCCTTGGATTTTCTATCCATCAGTTCTGTGTTTCTGTCTTCTTCTATCCTTCGGGATTCCTATTAAGAAAAACTTCAAAACCCTCTCTGCTTGCTTGCAAGCCAAAACATCTGTTTTAATCTCACACATACCCATAATCATTCATTATGGTACGTGCCGTCGCGATGACTCATGGTTAAAACTTGCTAACATCTTCTGCCAGGCTGATTCAACTGTCGTCTCCAACACGGAGAATGTGCGTTTGATTCTTGTTGCTTTGAATTTCCACAATGGCGATTAAGCCAGAGAGGAAATGTTCAATACTGACTTCCCATGGGGTATTTAGCTCATGAAGTACATGTCTCTTGACCAGCGTGGTGCCGTCCAAGCTGAGTACATCTGGATTGATGCCGTTGGTGGTACTCGTTCCAAGACCAAGGTATGTTTCATCCTGTCCGTTGAGTCTCTATTTTTTTTTTTTTTGGCGGGGTCGGATTGGTTGCTTTGGCATCGTTATCGCTCGATCGGACTTGATAAGCCCTGTGCACGGGGTACCCGATCGCGCAGCACGCGATGTCTGCAACTATCCGCATCACGTGAAATGGAGGGGCTCCCCGTTTGTCCGAGCGTCTCACTAATGGTGCTTCTTCCTTAGACCCTTTCCAAGGCCGTGACCAGCGTTGACGAGCTCCCCGAATGGAACTTCGACGGTTCCTCCACCGGCCAGGCCCCCGGCGGTAACTCCGACGTCTACCTGCGCCCCGTTGCCATCTTCCCCGACCCCTTCCGCCAGGGTGATAACATCCTTGTCCTTTGCGAGACCTGGGACTCCGATGGAAGCCCCAACAAGTTCAACTACCGTCACGAGGCCGCCCGCCTCTTCGAGACTCACGCCAAGGAGGAGTTCTGGTTCGGTCTGGAGCAGGAGTACACTCTTCTCGGTACCGATGGCTGGCCCTACGGCTGGCCCTCCGGTGGTTTCCCCGGTGCCCAGGGTCCTTACTACTGTGGTGTCGGTACTGGCAAGGTTTACTGCCGTGACATCGTCGAGGCCCACTACCGTGCCTGCTTGTACGCCAAGGTCGCCATCTCCGGTATCAACGCTGAGGTCATGCCCTCTCAGTGGGAGTACCAGGTTGGCCCCGTCCCCGGCATTGACAGTAAGATTTTTTCTCCCCTGGACTATTGCTTTAGAGAGGCTGACCATGTTTACAGTGGGTGACCACCTCTGGATGTCCCGTTTCATCCTCCACCGTGTCGCTGAGGAGTTCGGTGTCCGCATCTCCTTCGAGCCCAAGCCCATCAAGGGTGAGTGGAACGGTGCCGGTCTGCACACCAACGTCTCCACTGTTGCCACTCGTGCCGAGGGTGGTATGAAGGCCATTGAGGCTATGATGAAGAAGCTCGAGGCCCGTCACGTTGAGCACATTGCTGTTTACGGTGAGGGTAACGAGGAGCGTCTCACTGGTCGCCACGAGACCGGTAGCATCGAGAAGTTCTCATATGGTGTTGCCGACCGTGGTGGTTCCATTCGTATCCCCCGCCAGTGCGCCAAGGACGGCAAGGGTTACTTCGAGGACCGTCGCCCCGCTTCCAACGCTGACCCGTACCAGATCACCGGTATCATTGCCGAGACTCTGTGCGGTGGCCTTTAATTGAAATCATTTTAGCGCTCCGATACCCTCCGGCATCAACTGGGAGTTCGGACCATGAGAGCGGCCTGACTGCATGAGGGAGCCATAGAATTCTTTCCTGTGTCTTTCTTTTTTCTTCAACTATTTATCCGCGTCCCTGAACCCAAACTATTCTGCTCTCGGCGCCAGAGTCCGCCTCCTGTGTTCACATACCTCCCTCGTTGCACTCGCCGAGTCTCTTGTTTTTTTGTCTTGAAATCGCCCTTTCCTGGGTTTATGTGTGACGTACAATAGCATAGAACCATTACATGGATGGAAAATCAACCATCGTTTTGAGAATCACTCGTGCCCAAATTTTATATCCACTTGTATATCTTCTAGTATAGCATCTAAATCTGCGTACATCGCCAGTCTCGAACAGGGCTGCTTCCGCTTCCGTGATCTACGGATCATATTTTTCATGAAGATACCAGATCCACATTCTTAATTCAACGTGCGTCTTCATCTAATATCCGGCTAAATCCTACGTAGCTCCGTTGATCCTGGTGGCTTGAACAACCCCACACTCATGGGGTTACCTTCCCGCCTCCGCAATCTGGGACAAGGGTCCCATGTCGAGCTGTCTTTTCCTGATAACGAAAACAGAGTGCCCAATGGATTGATACGTCCGTCCGAAACTCAGCTCACTACAAATCCAATGTACAGTGCCATGCATTTAGGCATTGATGTCATCTATGGCCTTGGTTGGGACTAGACATTGAGTCATGAGACTCATGACGAGGACGAAGCATGACTCGCGCATACTAAACATTCTCGCCCTAATATAGCATAGTCATCAGGTGACAAATTTGAACAATGTTCCATTTGTTACTATATGATATAAGGAAAATTCCTATTTTCAAGATCTTGTGTTCTCTGATGCACCCAGGCAGCCGCATTGCTTCCTTTTAGCAGGAGGACAGTCTACAAGCCTACTTTGCTTCAACTCAAAAAGACTATATTTTCATGGAAGTGAAGGGGTGTGTCATATATTTCACGATCGAAAATTATCAGCCCGTAGGTACATATGTGATGCAATCCTTGTCATTCTAACAAGGATTCGCAATAAGATTCGAGGTAGATTGCTTAGTTACACCGAGACTAGTGATAGTTCACCTCATAACCAATAGATGAATATGCCGACCTCGGCAACCTCCTTCTCTAGCATTTAGCACTCGAACTCAACCTTGCACTCAGAGCTAATACCCTCAGCAATTCCAACAAAATCACTACCCTTGGAAGGCTCTTCGCCCTCGATGTGGGTCTGGTCAGAATAAGCACCATGGCACTCCCTAAGAGATAGTTAGAAAACCACTAATTGACCAAAAATATAGAATAAATGTTCGTACACAAAGTGATTGATACTGCAGGTTGCACCCCAGCCAAACACAAAGTCAAGCCCCTCGCCTTCAACCCACAGGTGATCACTGCAAGCGTGTGGGCATTTGGAGCATGACTCGGCTTCGCCGATTTTTTCGTCACCCTTGTAGAGATAGACTCCCATGTCGGCTTGCGTTGAGCCTTTCACGGTGGTTTGGTGCTGCCAGCCCACAGCATAGCAAGTGTCTGCCAAGGTGGCCGGGAGGCAGGATGCCAACAAGAAAGCGGTAGTAGCGAACTTGAACATATTGGAATATGAAGATTTGTAGTTGATATCAAGGGTATCAAGTGTTGTTGGGGTAATCTGTCTGATGGAGATTGAAAGATTTAGAGAAGTGCGGTGGCTAGGCCTTTATATAACTTTTGGACTTGGATTGAAAGCACGTGGACTTCATACTCTATCAAGTTTTGTTCAATTAGGATCCATATCTTCGCCCGTGACGTTATAACAGTGGCTCATGTTGCATTCAAAGCAGAAGGAATACATATTGCTATACTGTATACTATTAAGATGGGACTGCCAAGGTAAGGCTGCACAGCGGGAGTCGCCAAGCTGGGGCTGCCAAGGGGGGGAGGAGCTGCCAAGCTGAGAGGAAACACCAAGATCCAGGGCATTGATGTAATGATTCTATGGTACCTAGGAAATGAAAGATCCCCGCCTTTTCTAGGATAAGGCAATCGAACCGACACGCGGCCCCCATTGTCGACGTTGTCATTCAAGGTCGATGGATGGTTGATGTATTTCCTGTTGCTCTCCTTGCGTCTGAACAGGACGCGCGCCCCCTACATGTTCAGCAGACCCTCAGAATTGTACATCCAAAGCTCACGACGAATCTCCTTGTTGAACAAAGCGATATGGTCCAAATCATGATAGGTGAACGCTCGATCATTTCTCTCGGCCGGAGTGAGGTGTTCAAACCTGAACTTGGATGATACTGCAGGAGTGAATCTTCGCGCTTCAATAAAGATCTTGTCGACATACTGATCGATTCACAATAGAAGTGGTAATAGCTCTGTCAGTGTAAAAAGGGGGAGTTAATCTCCTGCCTATGGATCGAGTTGTCGGAACACGTAATCAGGGCGGTCAATCAAGGTCCTATGGGTGTTCGATTCAATATGTGTCTGTCTGGTTGTTCTCCTATCTCTGTGCGCACACCTTATGTGCTGGCTTACTAATCTAGCTAGCTTACATCATCAAAATTATGCCGACACACCCCCTCAGCTTAAGCACCCTGCAATTGATTAAGCTGGACCCATAATCAGCCAATTCCTTCAATTCTGCAATCTTCCCAATCAGCCTCCATTGCCTAATTAGGCCATGCTGACTTATCATTCCCTCCATCTCATTCCATAATCAAATGCTCAACGTCCACCAGGCCTAATAGTTTGACGAATATCTCATGCTTTTGCCTCGGCAGCACCTTGGTGAGTCCGTCTGCGACCATTTGTCCGGTCGGAACCCATCGGATCCGAACTCGACCTTCCCTGACCTCTTGTCTTAGCCAGTGACCGTGTATATCCACATGTCGAAGCTTAGTGTTAAATGGCGTGTCTTCCGCGTTAATCAGGTTAACCGTACGGGTGTTGTCGCATTCGATCGTGAGTTTATCTGGGTATTCGAACCTGATCCTTCTGAATAGTCTATCCCACTACTGTAACGCTTTGCTAGCGTCCGAGAGACCTAATAACTCGGCCTCGGTAGTGGATATGGTGACTGTTCTCTACCTTGTCGCCTTCTAGTCGACTGGGCCTCTAAATATCTGATATATGTATCTAGTAGAGCTCGTCCGATCGCCGTTGTCCGCGTATGAAGCGTCGCTTAATATCCTAACCACGTCCCGGTCGTCTTCGACTGGCCTATACTGGATCCCCTAGTATCTCGTCGTGTAAAGGTAATATATAAGGCGTTCGATCGCGGCGTGATGCTTGGGCCCTGGGTTCTGAAGGAACTAGGCGAGGGTCGAAGCCTTCTTCGCTATATCTAGACGGGTGATTGTAGTGCTATACTAGACTAATCCTACCTTCTGCTGGTAATTATGTATGCTCTGTGGACTCGCTTGCCCCTTAAATAGGTTAAGCTTCTCCACGGCCCCTAGTGTCTATATACGTGCTTATCTGGTGAGGTTGTACCGCTCCGTAACGCTCGTAAAGTAGCTATCTTGAACTAGCTAGAGTTTCCGTTCTATATGGTTCCGTAAGATTCTAATCCTAAGGAACCATTCAGCATCACCTTAATCCATGAGCTCCTAATATTTCTCGAGCTCTTACTCGAGCTGACGTGCTTGTTCTCTTGCCATATAATAACTCGCTATAAGGATATCATCAACATAGAAGAACATAATGATCCCTTCTCTAACGAACACGCACGGATCCTCCGCGACCTACTCTAATCCGAGACCTTTTAAAACCCTCGTAGCGTCCTGCTGCTAGAGTCTCGGTGCAATTCTTAGTCCGTATAAGGCCCTAAGTAATAACTAGCATCTCCCTTAGGTCTTAAAGCCTTCCGGCATTAAGGTATACACTTCTATACAGAGCTTACTATTTAGAAACGCGGTAACTATATCTCGCTAACGGAGATCTAAGTCGTACGCTATATATAGGGCGAAAAGCGTCCTCACTATCCAAGCAGCGAGCGTTACCGCCCGTTTTTCTTCGGCCGAAATAGATTATAAGTCTCCACGCACACATATCCGTGCCTTATACTTAATAAGAAACCTATCCTAATCGAATTTATACGCGTATATCTATATAAGCGGTAGCACTTACGTCCCTCGATCCTTCGGCATCTCAACTTCCTAGTACGTTTCCTTCGCTTATAACCCGTCTAGTTCCACCCTCATAGCCTTAATAAATCCGTCACTTAATGGATGCTTCCAGACGTCTTTATAATATTCTAGCGGTAGTGGAAGATCATCTCGGTGTTATCGGTGCGAGGGCTTCGGGGTGTATAGACCTATTATAAAGGCTTAGAGGGTCACGGACGTAGTATCATCATCTACTAACGTCGTCGTGCGGTAGGCGAAATCCTCATCTCGTCGCTGTCTACGCATCCTCGGTCCATTTACGATATTCCCGATATCCAGAGCCACTCCATCCACGTCCTCGACCTCGTCTTCGTCTTCGTCCAGGTCTAACCGTGCGAGCTCGCTCGTCTCTCGCATTAATATAGGAGTCTCTAGCGTTAGATCCCCTCTATACCCTTCGTTTTCCTCATTCATAACCCCACCCACCCCCTAATCTACGGCAGAGTCATTACCAGGAGATCTCGGTGGCGTCCAAGACAGTTCAATATATCCGTTCGGATCCATTTCCTTACTATTTAAATCATTCAAGTCCTATATCCTATCCTACTCAGGACTATCTTCAACGGTAGGTAGTGGCATGTCTAGCATATCCTTAGCCAGGTCCTGCGCGTCATCTACACCCCCTACCGTTAGAGATAGTTCTAGAGCATCTCTTCTTAAATCTACACTCTCTACTTACTCATTAAGCCCCTATAGAATAGATTCACCTTCGTATCTTACCTCTATAATCTCTAGATGCACGTTCTGCGGGAGCGGCATACGTACGACCTCATCCAGCTAGTTTTCGGCCGAAAAACGTCGAGACTCGTCAAAGACGGCATCTCTCACCATACGCACCTACCCACGGTGTGGCATCTAGATCTTCCAGATATTTAATGCCACGTATCCGACCAGATACCCAATCTCTACACGGGATCGTATCTTATCCAGTCGTAGAATAGTCGGATTCCGACAATATATAAGAGATCCATATAGACGCACATTCGCTAATGACGTCTTCGGTAGCTCTGATTTATCGACGAACTATCGAGCCTCTTCCCACGGAACTATCCAGTTCCCACTTTCTAACCTCGTTGGCGTACGATTTAGTAGATACACCGCTATCGCGATGGCTTCGGGCCAGAGCTTATCCAGCAACTTACCTTCTTTAATAAGCGCTCGAGCTCGAAGCGTGAGCACTCCTCTAGAACGTTCACCTAGACCGTTCATCTCCGGGGAATATAGGACCGTGAAGGTATAGATAAACCCCATCTCGTCTAGAACCTTACGGATCCAGTCGTCTACGGTCTTCTTATTATCCAAGTGCCATACCTTAATTAGTAATTGTAGCTACTTAATCGTAAACGCTATAAAGCTTTTGATAGTATCTTAACACCCATTCTTATTAACGTGTGTTATACTTTAATAGAATTATATGCCTTCCACATAGAAGTGCGTGATCCAGTAGTGCTGATTATATCCCATCGTCATCTAGATCAGATTGAAATAGACTCGACCGCAACGTCCATAGTGTCGTCCAATAGGTCTCCGAGATATCTACTAGGGGGCATTCACTAAGCTACATACCTCGCATAGCTAGCTATCTAATCCGTCTAGTTGCTCTTCCCCATCCTTGATCTTGACTCCATTAACAAGCTCCGGCAGCTACTAGATTACTCCTTAATAGACGTGTCCAAGACGTCTATGCCATGTCTCTACCGTTATAGTTAACACCTATGGTTATGCGGATCTTTATATAGCATACGCATGTTATACGGTCTCTAGATCTATCATATCCAGCCGTGAGAAGACATAGACGTCTCGTTCCCGGTAGATCCTAAGTACCGACTCTCTATTATATATTATATGCCCTTTCCGCATATCCCACCACGCCCCTTTCTACTCTAGTCGTCCAAGCGACACTAGATTACAGTAGAAAGAGGGCGCATAAAGACAATCAGTTAGCGTCACCGTATAGGCCTTCTTTATGACTGGGTTAACACCTTCCATCACTACCATTCCGGTTCCAACCGCTAGCGTCTAGCTCTCTCTGGTTTAGAGCGAAGATATGCTCTCACGATACTCCGTGAACATAGACTAGTCGTTACACACATACACGCTCGCGCCCAAATCTAGGATCCATTACGTATAGTAGTGCTCTTTAACCGTCGATAATGCGGTTACGAACGCGATCTAAGAGGCATGATTTACCATCTCCTTCTTAGACGTCTCACTAAATTATTCTTCTATCCAGATCTTCCACTCTAGCTCCTTTTTAAACGCCTTTTCGATGGCTTCTTATCGCTTACGACCCGCTTACTATCCTTCCAGACGCTTCGCCTCGTTAAATACCCAGCACCAGATTACGCGGTAAGGGCCTCCACATAGGCAGTCCGTACATTCTAAGAACTCGGTTATGGACTTTACTAGCTTCGCTTCTTAATATCCTTGCCACTTTAACGTTACGAACGCAGGCTTGCTGTTTCCTACTAGTGCGGACGCCTTCCATAGGGTCTCCGTGTATATTACGCGGAAGGACTCTAGCATTAAATTCATACCTATAGTCTCCTTATTAATCACGATCTATTAGAACCGGTTCTCCCACCATAACGGCAGAACCTCTTTAACCGCTTTCATGAATAATAGTAGGTAGAACGATGCATTCTCATAGTTTAAGCTAACGACTTCTTCACGTAGGGATTCCCACTCGTCTAGCCACTTCAGAACGTCTTCCCCCTTCTTCGGTCCTTTTATTGCGTCTTCTCTCCATCTCAGGAACACCTCGACGCCATACGCATTAGTTCTCGAGAACCTATTCGCAAGGAAACGCATACGTTCGTATAGTGTGTCTAGACGGTCGAGAACGCGGTTAAGCTTTGGCTCTACGGATACCGTGATCGCTTGGTCGATCGTCCGCAGACCCTTCTCTTATTTCTCGAACGCAGCTAATCGGATCTTATAGATGTCCATTTCATCTCTCCAGATCGACTGGTTCTCCCTAAACTCTTCCTTCAGAGACTTCAGCGCTCCGGCCGTGATCTCGTCGGGGATATCCAGAGCAGGTTGTGCGGGCATATTCGGGGGTTCCTTCGGTTGAACCACCGTGCTCCTGCTCAGCTCCGGATTACATATATCCCATACTTATAGGCTCATTCCAAGGCGTCTCATGGCCATATACCACGAGTGCCACTAGGCAGGCCCCTTTAACTTCTCTCCTCTCCATGATAAGACAGATCCAATCGATTCCATGATGTCTTGATCCGATGCCGTCCGGATCCTAACGTGTGCTTCAGAGGTACGTTCGGGTAGTTGCACTATCCGGCTCAGGGGTAGGCGGTTCAGATATCTTCCAGATGCGTCTGAATAGCCTCAATTTCACCAATTCTAGTGTAATCAGAGTAATTCCGGGCTCATAACTGTCGGAACACGTAATCAGGGCGGTCAATCAAGGTCCTATGGGTGTTCGATTCAATATGTGTCTGTCTGGTTGTTCTCCTATCTCTGTGCGCACACCTTATGTGCTGGCTTACTAATCTAGCTAGCTTACATCATCAAAATTATGCCGACACGAGTCTAGCGTCATGTGACCCTGTGTGTTACGAAGGATGCGACCAGTATACACGTCACGGGTGGTAATGTCTCTGATTAGATGGTAAGAAGAGACTAACATCATAACACCACGCGGATCACGTGTGTGCCCGTATGTGCCTAACACTGTGATCATATAACTTATTCCTCACGATACAATCGTAACAAGTGCCCTCCCCTCAGAAAGCCTGCGCCGTCCTCGGTGCACATAAGTAATGCAAAATCATACGGCGCCAGCCATGTCCGCGATGTCGTCACTTAAGTCAAACAGAGTAGCTGAACCTTGCTCCTCTGCCTGGCAGGCAAGGTCCTTGCTGAGTTTGGTCTTTCGCACCATGATTGAGGTGTGAATGAGGAGGAAGTAATCGAACGGTTTGATAGGTTTCACCCCATAGTAATAGGTCAGTCTAGACAATCTATTGCTCACTTTCTCGTTACCCTGTCTCGAGGTTCCCGAACCGCGATTGGAGTTCCCTTCGGACGCGTAACTGACTTCAAGTTGCGGTCTGACTAGTAAGATCACGGCCCCCATATAAAGTTCTCAATTAACGAGTTTAATTTTCCAGAAAAGAAGGGAAACAGGTCATGGAGCACAAAGATGATGACGTTGAAGCGTGTACCTGTAGATGACAGAGAAGTGGTCGGGTGTGTATCAGGGGAGAGGAAAGAAAAGGTTGGGTTGGAAGGGGAAGAGAAAGACAGATGTGAAAAAGAAACTGAGAAGAAATTTATACTCGCAGATGCTTCCTGGAGCGAACTCATAACACCACGATAATGATCCTATACCATAATGATACAATTCCGTCCTTACTGCTGCCTGATAAAGAGGCGCGCTCCCCATCCTGCCTCTTCTGCTACAATCTCTTTTCTGGCTCCATTTGCTTAAATCCTTATTTTCCTGCGCCAGCAGCTTCGCCTCTAGATCGACGCACGGTGAGTTGAGAGCATGTCTTGGCACAATCTATGGCTCAATGCAGTGACCCACCTAGAATTATGTCTTTCAGCGCCACTGCCGTAGCTCTGAATGTCCAGATTTGGCAAATGTCAATTATTAAAGGCAGATAATTTGTGTTTGAATGCGAAATCGACGCTTTCGTAGCTCTCAGCTTTCGCAAAACGGGAAAGAATCTTTGCATCTTTCGTTTGCACCAAACTAATAGCTCAATAATCTATAGTATAGTTTCAAATATTTCTCCGCATCCTGCAGGATATTAGATACAACAGCACCCGTGAATCTATTTTCTGGTAGCCACTTATTGACAAAAATCATTAACATTAACTGTATTTCTTCGCCTAAAGAACGGTGGCCTATGCGTCTAGACGTATCATGTGATCCTCTCAAACCCTGTCCTAAAGTAACCCGCCCTCAAGTCGGATTGAATCCTATTGGGCGGTAAAGTATCTCCAGCCGCGACCAGACAAACTCCTCTTTCTGTATCATTGAGTCGTGTAAAAGAACAAATTTCACCGGAAATTGCGCTATGTGCAGCTTCCAAGACTTGCGGCCCTGTATGAAGGCGGCTTTAGCCTCATCTTTCTTGAATCATTGATCACGGAACTGATCGGAGGTGCTATCACTATATCAAAGCTCACTGGCTAGTTGATCGGTTATATTACCCGATATGGAGGCAGGTCATGCATACTGAGATATCAGTAAGTGGACTTGCCGAGAAGAGAAACAAAAACCTTTGTGTCAAATTCAACGCTTCATCTTCCGTCCAAGGCACAAAGCCCAAGCGCTTTAGGATACTTCTACCCCTTGTCTTTTAAGGATATCATTCTAAGAACCTGTTATTATATGTGAAAGGTAGCCCCAGAGTACTCTCTGTTTGGTTAAGCAATGAGACTTCGACAATCGAAATGACCTGTGGTACTTATCCCCAAACACTACTACACAGGTCATGTTGGTCCAGCACTGGAAGCTAAGTTCGCACTATTTTGGATAAATGAAAGTGATCCTGCCAAGATACAGAAGCAGCAATGATAACCTGACTCATGTGAAATCCCACATTGAGTTGTACATGCAGCGCAGTACATGCAGGGCCAAGCCGCTCAGGTCCCATGTGTGCCATTTCCAGGGTCCAAGATAGAGTTTCTCTCGTATTCGGGCAGTCTCGTGTTTAAGCCCCAACGCAAAGCTCATACCCGTCCGGGTCCAAATTTGTAGCCCTAAGTTCCATGGTCATGGCTCAAAAATCAACAACACAGCATAAGCGTGTTGTAAATCAATGTAGAAATTATTTAAAATAGAATTTCTTGTTGTTTATCAAAGATGTGAGCAATCCCAGAAACTTTCCTTGGGCAGTGCGAAAGCGGCTCAAAATGCCAAGCTTATTGGCCTCGTATTTGACAACGCTATCCCACCGCGAAAGCTGGGCAGATCTAAGCAAAGAGCAATATAGCTATTGTGCCCAAAACTATATCTGTGACCCCTCGGTGTCCATTTAATTAGCCAAAAAGTAAAACTATAAAAGAAATGAGGCTGCGCCGTCTCCGCATCTCCTAGATTAGATCTCTACTCTCCCAATACAAGGCGGGCATTCAATCCCACGGTCTCAAGCGCACCACAGAAAAAACATAATGCTCCCCCTTTTCAAGAAAGCAGGCTTCATCCTGCTCTTCTTGTCATCTACACTCGCCGATACGATCCCCCAAAACCAACCTCGCCTCCGTTCAAATGGCACCCTCAACCTTGCCCAGTCTGGTAGCTCCCCCAACACCCGTGACTTCGATTTAGTAGACCGCTATTACTACTACGACTGTCCAACGGGCTACTCAGAATGCAGCACCGATACGTCTAAATGCTGCCCCACTGGTAATGGATGCTGCGACAGCGGCTACTGCGCTGACCCAGGAGACACCTGCTGTACCATAGGAACGTGTCCCAGTGGCTGGGATTGCTGTGGGAATTACGGGTACTGCTCTCCCGTTGGGGGCGAATGCTGTGAAGGGGGTTACTACTGCGACGTTGGGTACCAGTGCAAGATCTGGGATGGGGAAGATGTGTGTTGCCCTGCGTCTGGATGTGTAGGGTCAGACGGGACGGGCAGCTTGGGAAACACGGTTGGTGCTGGGTCTGCCACCGAGACTGCTACTTCTGCTGCGTCAGGGACTTCTACCTATGAGTCTACTACGGAAGCAGGCTATACGTATACATCTGACAGCTATGAGTATGATTACTATTATACGACATACTACTGGTGAGTGATATTTTGTTTGGAGTTGGGCGGGCAATGCTGATGATTACTAGGTCCTACTGGTTCTATTTCTGGACTTCTTATTCGCCTTATACCGTGCAGACGGTGACTTCAACTGAGACTACTACCACGACGATCTGGTCTGCTTATGCGACTGACAGTGCTGATGCAAGGGAATCCTTCTCGTACAGCGTTGACCTCCACTCGTTCTACACTCCTTACACTGCTACATATCTGGAGAGCTCTACTGATCCGGTTCCCATTGCTACGGGTGCTGCGGGGACCCCGACTGCGACTGGAATTGATGTTCGTGTCGGTGGTGCACCAAGTACGGTTATTGTTCGTGCATGGGTCCCTTGGGTGTATGCAACGTTTGGGCTTCTGATGGGAGCTTTGGCTTTTGGACTATGAGTAATAGGATAGGTAGCTGTTGTTAATCGATGAATATAAGTAGTAATTGACTTGAACGTATGGGCCTGAACATTTCGAAGATTTTCCACGTGTATTTTTGCGTATATCTCCGTCAGAACCCAATTTCCTATAGAGGCAAACTGGAGTCAGGTGATCCGCCCTGTCGTTGACAAGTTTCGCAATAAACTTCCTGCACGGACCTTTGGTATACTACTTGAATAGATACATGCCTCCTTCCTGGGCGTTAAAGTAGATCATTATCTCTCCATCTCGCTTCTCATCCTACGCTGTACATCCCATAAAAGCCTCGACGAGTACGCATCATGAATCAAGAGCAGCCACCAAACCGAAAAGACGAATACAAATCACCACCAGCATTCGATCAGCTCAAGTTCTTCACTATGCCCGATCTACTCAAGCAACCGTTTCTTCATGAGCTGCGATCCGTCATCAACGCCGGCTTTAGTGTCCATGAAGAGGGCAATTTCAAAAAGACCGGCGAACGACTCACAACGGATACTCAAATTGCAACCGAGGTTGGAGAAAATGGATTCACGGGTATTGCATGGTCTCAGAATGAGATCGTTGGTACAGCGAGTGTGAAGAGATGAGGCTTTGGTAGTTCCGAGGGTTACATGTGGAAAAATCCAGGATTCTATGCAGATTGGCAGGATGATGATGAACCTTCGATGCAGACCAATGATCAATTGGATACGGACTCTGTTGTCTGTAAGGGAGATTTTGAAGTCTTGATAGTTGCTGTAAAGCCAGATGTGAAGTTTAGAAAGAGGGGGATTTCGGAGAGTTTGCTACTTGCCTGCGAAGAGGAACTGAAAAGGAATCATGTACATGATATTGATGGAAGTACTCGTTCGTTGAGGGTTATGGTCAGAGTCGTGAGAGAGATAAATGGGCGCTATTGGTCAAAGAAGGGGTTTCGAGTTATTGGTGAAAAGTACTTTCCACCGTTCACGTGGGAGGTTTATTCTCTGGGCTATGAGAAGAGACTTGGAGATACCTCGCTCGATAAATGAATGAGCCGGAGACTTTGATGGGGAATGCACAGATGATTTGATCGAACATCCCAGTTCTGTTCATTTCTCTACCAACTTCATACAGTCGTGTATTTCACTGATCTTAGTGGCCAGCCAAAGACGCAGTCCTCGAGCGCAGCCACGATCGTCTGTGAGAAGGCGGTGTTATGTACATGGGTATAAAACAAAAATAATGCAAAGGACTACCAAAATTGAAAATCTCTGATCAGCCATCCATATAAAAGGGAGTGCGTACTTGCAGACTCCATCTTAACAAAGGGATATTACCCAGATCATAGCGGTTCCGTGCCAGCAGAATTAGAAACACGCATCCAGAGAAAGAAAATAAAATATTTCGTAAAGCCATTCGGTAAACTGATTAGTCATGGATCAATTGATTCGTACTTGATTTTCGTGCAGCAAGTTTAACTGCTAGTGGAGATGTTGTCCTGGTTGTTCTCGATATGAGCACCCTTGCCACTCTCGAGTTGGCCACTTGAAGCAAAGGTCTTGCCGTGCTTCTCGGAAGCATGGCTGGCGCGGCGGAGATGCTCTTCGGTGTCTTGGTAGTTGATGAGGAGCTCGCCGTTCTTACCGTAGCGGTGGGGCTGGTTGCGGGCGACAGAGACGACGTTAAAGATGCTGGTAGAATTTTGGAAGATAGTGTCCATCTCTTCCAAGGATCGGTAAGCGGTCTCAGGGTAGAAGAAGTAGACCACGGGAAAGATAAAAGCGTTGATAACCGCAAAGATGATGTAGGTTTGGTATCCGATGTTCTCGAAAGCGACGGGGGTAATCATGACAACCAAAAAGTTGAAGATCCTGGTTCATTGGTTAGTCCAGGGCTCTTGAATGAGTTCATCGCACACACTTACCAGTTCGCGGATGTAGAGAGAGCATTCGCAGGAGCACGAATACGCAAGGGAACAATCTCGGCGGGGTAGAGCCAGGTCATACCCAACCAACCCCAAGCGAAGAAGGTGTTGAAGACAAACAAGAAAACGGCGGCAGCAATACCGGGTTTAGTCTGTCCCTCAAAGCTTGTGCAGATAGCCAGGACAGCCATAGAAAGAGACATGCCAGCAGCGCCGACCAACATCAGGCTACGACGGCCCACCTTCTCGATAATAAAGATAGGGATGAGAGAGGCGAGGAAGTACTCAGTACCATTGCAGGCAGCCATAATTCGCGATGTGAGGCCATCCATACCAATTGAGTTCTCGTAGATGGTGGCTGCGTAGTAGGTGATCAAGTTAATACCAGAAATTTGCTGGAACATCTGGTTAATGTATGCGAGAACGACACGATGTAGATGACGGTTCTCATCCATGGTGCATAGATCCCGGAAGCTAACGGTATTAGCGTCCAGAACGGCGTCCTTGATAGCAGCGAATTCGGAGTGGATGTATTCGTCGCCCTCGGGAAGATCCATGATCGCCGATAACACTTCCATTGCCTCCTCCTCACGACCTTTCATGATGAGCCAACGTGGCGACTCTGGCAGTGGAAGAACACAGGCAAGAATGACGAGCGTGAAGAAGTTTTGGAAGGCAATTGGGAATCGCCAAGCCACTGAGCTGGGGTCCAGGAAGGAAAATCCAAGGTCAATCCAGTAACTGATGGTGATTCCACCTGCAATCAGGGAGCCTTCCAGCATAACCAGAGGGCCGCGGTGGTGGGACTTGGAGCACTCAGCTTGCCAAGTAGCTGAAAACAAAGTCAGCTGTCATGAAATTGCAGCGAAGATCAGTGTATGGTATACTTACGGACGGTCGAAGTGTTCATGCCATTGCCAATGCCAGTAAGTACGCGGCCGGCAATGAGATGTGGCAGGCTGTATGCACATGACTGCAGAGTTGCACCAATCACCATGATAACTGAGCCGGTGAAGATGGTCTTGCGACGGCCGAGGTAGTTACCAATCCAGATACAGAAAACGGCACCGAAAAAGCAACCTAGGTTGTAGGAGGCGATTGTGATACCCTGTGTAGTGGAGCGGTTGCTTTTCTGAGCCTGGCTGAGGCCCATCTCACCTGCTTTTGTAGTGTCGACTTCAGGGAAAGTGGAAACAAATGAATTCAAGGTCAAGAGACCTCCCATCACACCCCTATTCTGTTAGTCAGAAACATGCTGCTTGAAACTCGAAGTAACAACATACTGGTCATATCCAAAAAGCCTGAGAGAAACCCGTTAGCTAAATAATACATGTTCCATATTTAAGACTTCCACATACAAGAAATCCAGACCAGCAATGATACTGATCATAATATTTAGGGATGTACCCCGGAGTCCAAAGTACCGCTTCATGATGGCGGAAACAAGTCGAAAGGCGTATACTCAAGCCTTGTGTCAGGGACAATTGAATAACAAAAGTCCAATACAATGTCCAAACCTGTGAGCAAAAAAGGTATGAGCAGACAATATTAATGAGAAAAAAAAATCCAACCAAGGTCCCGGGGAAGCAGCTTGAGCTTATGAACCCGCGTCAAAACGGCCATAGCGTGCACGATGCAGGGACCCACAGGGATCGGGAACCTGTATTTGATCGAAAATGACGGGAACCACGAGAGATCGGAAGTAAGGTAGCATCCACGATGGCTACATATTCGCCGGATTAGGAGAGAAGCACACTCCACTCCCATACAGACATTGAGCCGGGGAGAACTCCACTCTGAAGTGAACATCAAATCACCGGCTGCACCTGCACTCTACATGGTTTTCCACGATTCTGGTTCCACCGGGTCATGGCCATGGACTTGACGGGAGGCAAAGTATAGCTTCGGTAACCATCCGGTATCATTTACTCTGGGCCAGTCACGTTACTGCTGCTTGCAGGAAATCCCGAATGAATGAGCAGTGGGACTACACTGATGATGTCGGCGATTTTTTCCGTGACTCGCGTGGTTCCTCTTACTTGTTGAGGAAAGTGGAACAGTCCCCTCTTTTCACTATGGGTCGCATCTGGTCCCCAGATTCCACTTCTGTTCTCCACGACAGAATATGGGGAGGATACATTGTCAGAGACGGCAGACATGCACTGGCACAAGCAGGCAGACTGATTTGGACTTTTTTTATTTCTTTCTATCGGCTCCTCGCGTCCTTCGGGCTCCGGGAGCGCGCCAAGTACGGCGTTGAACAGGGATCAGCATGGCCGACGGGATTGATCAACAACCCCCCGAGTCGGCTTTGGCGTCCAATTGCCCGTAAGTGTCCCGAAACTCTGCCACGCTACCATAATATATGTACGGCTCAATCTCGGGTCATGTACTAATTGCTAATAGAAAACCACCGCGTTGGGTCCACACATGCGGAGAAGGGACCAAAATTCATTTCAGGAAGGACCTACGTCTCTTGGCGTGCCTATCTCGTCTCAAGGCAATTTTGATGCCTCTAACAGGGGCCTCCCGTGTTGAAAACCTGAAAATTGGGTTGAGATCGCCATCACGGAAACATCGAATGACGTCATTGTCAGGAACGTGAGCACGGGGAATTCCAACGGTCTATACTGATATCATAGTTGTATTCTGAATATGGAGTATGCTGCATGGTGAACACAGAGTTTCATTACAGTCTTGAGTGGGAGTAGTGATCTACTGTCCTGGCGAAAGAAATCTTCATTGTCAATACCCCCGGCAGGGATACCCCAACATTCGGCCCCGGTCTTCTGGTCCGAATCTGGGGGCTTCTCGGGGTCGGACCACCCCACGACTTACCGAAAATTGTTCGGACATACACAGATCCAAAACGCGGAGTGTAATGAAATGAGTAATGACACTCGATGTAGCATTGAATTTATCAGAGCCGACTCACTTGGTCTTCCAGAATGCTGTACCGCGCCAGTGGTTGCCCGATTGGGGAACCCGCTTCGGTAGATCCCGGTTCAAATGTGTCGGTGTGGTGTGATCTGAATCCCCACGCTACCTTCTGTATGTACTTGTGCCGCGATGTTCTCCATATGTCTATGCATGTGGCATGTAAGTTATCTCCCCCTGGCGTCGATAGAAAGCGCTTGAACTCAACGTGGCGAAATCGTGGCACAAGGTTTGAGGGAAAGCTTAATTGGAAGCATAGCTGACAGGCAAGTGTAACGGTGATAGGAATATTGGTCTTCACGGTGCAATCTTTACAAGGTACTAGAACTCTATTTGCATGAGACTTCGTAGCCTATGATTACCAGTAAATTGGGCCTACCCCGCGGTATGCAAAATCAAGACTCCGGATTCGGTCACGGTCGATAATTACCGTCAAACAGCGTATAACCTGTGTCATGCATTCAATACATCGACCGACAAATATTATCCTGTAGCTACTGTACAGTAGTCAGGACTATCGACTAATAATATCATATTACTCCAGAAATACCTCCCAATTCGAGACTACGGGGTCAGGCATCCTCGCTCGAGCACAAGGTGAGGTCATTCTGCTTGGCAAGACAACTGGATTGGAGGGACAGCCGTAAAACTCTGACATCCCGCATGGTGATCGGCAATGCCGACAAGGATCAGCCCTGGATGCCGATATGATGCCGGGTCGGAAAAGTGAAGTTCGGTGTTCTGCTGTTCCGGCCATTTGTCGACACCCGAGCTGGTTGTGGCTCGGAGTGATGCCGTCATCATAGACTTTTGAGGGCACGTTCAAATGCAACCTCATCTCGGGTATATGGAGTCGATTTTGTGTCTAGAGCTGTCTAGAAAGTGTAGACTTGAACTCAGGCACTCTGCAATATCCAGGTGATTAGCATTCATGTGCTAAGGAAAGGGGTTTCCGTATTTCAGGCTTTGTGATGGCCCAATCAGGAGGTTTTGGAAAGAAAGCCTGAAGATTGTACTCCATATTCGCATCTAATAGGCATCGTCTGCAATTGGATAACAATAGTGTCAAATTATTCGGTAAGCATATCTGTGCCCATAGTATCTCTTTTCCCTCCGTAGCATAAATCTCCCTCCGTAACATAAGAAATGCGAATAGTACTCAGCAGCCTTTCATAGCAATATCTCAACATCCCGGGGCTCTCGTGTGTAACAATAAGGAAACTGATGAAGAATAAAGCTCAAAAAAAGAGTCAAAAGGAAACAGTGGAAGGAGGTCCTATCAATCAGGATAGCCAAACCGTACAAAAGAATCAGGATCTTCAATCATTCCATGACACAGTCCACTCTCATCACTCATGGATGTCTGAAGACAAGCAAGGAGCAGGAAAAAGCATAACTTTGTTTTTGGGCTGAGAGGATCAACGTGAAAAGTCACTTCGGAGTTCTTGGTGGGCTCAAAGCGTCTCGCGATCAAGATGATTCACCTTACGCTGTATCTTTGATAGGCTACCACGCCTGATCTTTAAGATCGTCGTCATCATCTTCAGCCACCGGCGCAGTGGTATCAGCCACAGAAGCTGTGTGGGAGCCAAGTGCTGATTTCTGTGCACCCGGGCTCACAGCCTGGGCAGTCTCGTTGTCTTCGGTCTCACCCGAGTCCTCAGGCTGCGGGCAACGACGGACAGTGTGGCCAACTGGTATGTATAGTTAGCAAGCCTACTTAGATCGATCAGGCATCTTGTCGACTTACATTCGCCACAACGATTGCACTGGACTTTGGACCAGTCCTTGGGCTGCGGACAATCACGGCCGGAGTGACCTACTATTTCCAGTTTTTAGCATTTTAAAGACAAAATGCAAAGTGAGAGTCGTTGCCGCTAGACACCAAGGCGTTTTGACAATCTTGACTCGGATTGACTCATGACGTGCAGAGGAAAAGTGAGAGAACGATTGGACTGTACTTACGCTGATCACAGTTGCGGCAAGTGATAGTGGCCGGGTCACGAGGCTTGTCGCACTCACGAGCGATGTGGTCCTCGGATCTGTTTCTGTTAGCCGATCAATGATATTGAATAATAAGACATGGTATTCACCCGCAGTTGCGGCAAGTGCGCGGCCCCCGATCATCACCACCCTTGGGGCAGTCTTGGGCAAAATGACCGACTAAAAGGTTAGCAAGCTGTTAAACTTTTAATTGAAGTAGCATTTTGTCATACGTTCATGGCACCGGCGACATTCGGTATCAGGGGGAGCAACACGAGGCTTCGGGCAGTCCTTGGCCTGGTGTTCTTCGGAGCTGCAAGTGGGTTATTATTTCATGCTGCGATCCCATTTGGAAACGACTCTTACCCGCAGTTACGGCACCCATGCTTGTTGCGACGTTTCTCTGGGCAATCACGCACACGATGGCCAATGACCTCGCAGTTGGAGCACTTGATTTGGGTGCGCTCAGCCTCAGTTCGCTCCTGCTTGCAATTATTTGCAGAATGGCCCATTTCTATAGCTTTTTTAGCAATGAATTGGCACAAAAGTGGTCAAGGAGAATTCGACAGACCATCACAGTTGCGGCACTTTAGGACTTGGCGATCATAAGGCTGACCTGAATTTGCCAACCGCTCAAGGTTCTTAGCAGGGCTCTCAGGCCATCGGGCGTTGAGAGCGTTTCGGGGGGAGTCAGGGCCTCGGTAAAACGAGACGGTGTATCGCCGGTCTAGGTTGCCTTGAAGGTCAATCAGTGTGAACACATCTGCAACTTCATTTTCCTGGATTTGAGGACAGCTGTCAGCGTTTTCACTACCCAACCCATTCTATATACATTAGTAGTAAACTTACCACGGCGATTGTGTAGAGGGGGTATTTCTCCTCTCGCATCTTCTTTTCAATGTCAACATAGGTGGCCTTGGGGACGGCTTTAGTGTACACCTGAAGCGCCTTGTGTGACTTGTCAGCAACAGGCTTTGGTACGATATTGATAAAGATCTTACCGAACGGAATTCGATGGTATCCGTTCCTGCGGCCTTCATCATGCCCCATGCCTCCTCGGGCAGTCTGTCTGCGACATTTTTCAAATCGAACTTGCGCGGTGCCTTGCAGACCATGGCTTGGTGGCCTATAAATGGCATTAGCTCAGTCACCTATGGACCCCACAATATCCTTGCTGACCTTCAGCACCGCAGTTGCGGCACATATCAGGAGGTCTCTCTGGGCAATCGGCAGCCGGGTGACCCTCCTTGTCGCAAATATGGCAGGTGCCTTTGAACACTCGCGGTTTGGTGCACTCGGCCTTGGAATGGCTATTATGAGTTAGTAATGCGGCGCTAGAAAATCACATAAGAAGTAGAATCACCCTTCTTCACCACAGTTGAAGCAAGCCCCGGTGAACTTCCGCGGCTCAGTGCATTCAGCCTTTGAGTGACTATCATAACCGCACGTGTAAGCACTGGCACAACGATGGCAACATCAAATGGGCTAATTACCCCTCCTGGCCACAGTTGAAGCAGCCGCGTGTCTCCTGAGGGTATGTGGAGTACTCCGGGACCTCGTTGGGACAGTTACGAGCAAAATGATCAGGTTGATGACAGCTTTTGCGAGTCAATTAAGTATCGTCGAATTCCTTGAGCCCAGAACTACTCACATGCGGCAGACATTATCATCGTAGCCACCACCTCCAAGGTCCTGGTCCGGAGTCGGGGTGCTAGCGTGCTCATAGCCTACTGTTGACAGTTAGCTGCCCCGCTATGAATTACTTCACGGTAGGACCATTCTCGACGTACCATCGGGCTTTCGGCCCCAGCGAGTCCCATCCTCTTTCATATGAGAACCCCAGGAATTGCCCTCGGCGTTATCATCATTCAAGTTGTCGGACATCTTGAAGAAAGACTGTATGAAATGCATTAGTCCGTCTGGTAGATTATTCAGGGCCCGCCCACACGAAGTTTGCGTTTGTCTCTCTCCAAAAATGAAAGCAAAAGAAAAAGAGACGAGGAACAAGAAACAAGAAACAAGGAACAGAGCTTGGTGAGAAAATGCAAAGCTAACACATTTGTATCAACTTGGCCAAAGAAGACGCGTCACGGGGAAGGTGAAAGGTACTTTGGTGAAATTAACATGAAGCATGATACAGGCGGAGAGAAACTAGATACCATCCCCTCTCAGGGGCTCACAAACAATCACATCAGAAGAAAGAAGGGCTCAGACATGGAAAACTCACTATTCGGATACTTGTTGGTTTGCGGGATTAGCTGCGTTGAGCAGCGAAATGGAGCCGGGGGAAAAAGACCACGAGGAATAGGAACCAAGGACAGCGTTTGAAAATATTGTCGTATGAAGGATCCTATTCTGTTCGTGAGGGGAACAATTTGGAGAACATGAATGGGAAATGGAAATATGAAGAAGAGAGGGAGAGAAGGAAGGAGGAATTCATGGTACGAAGATACATGAACACGGCGGTTGAGGAAACAAACGCAGTAAACATGGCGGTTCAGGAAATAAACACAACTGTAACACTACACCAGTTGTCACTCTGTTTAGGTGCTCGTAAGTCATAATAACATATTTAAATGTCCATTTTGATTGATGGCTTTAGCATAATCCAAATTGATTGCTGTATCAAAACACTCGAAGCATACATGGAGCAGAAGTTTCAATAGAAGGGTCATCACTATTTTCTAGCATATGAATACTATGCAAACGTGATATTTGCATCAAATCACCGGAAGAACCTGCCCAGCAGGCCACTAGCCAGGTTGTTCACAATACCGCCTCCAAGGGCGCTGTTGGCGAAAGTCGAAGCCTGGCTGAACTTATCACATCGAGAGAAAGCCACGGTATTTGTGATGGTCAAAATAAGAGCAATGCCTGGATTCATCACGTTAGTTCAAACCTTTTTGAATCCACGGATCGTGAACAGCCGAGGTCATCTTACCAACTAGACTAAGCCAGATCACACTGACAAGTCTTACAAGTGCCAAAACAGCCAATCCCACCCATAGAGCCGGTGTCACATATAGGCTCAACCAGAAGAACCGTTTATCCGTAGCTGTGATTGTGCGAACATTGGGGTCGGAGGACTCGAAGACCCAGTGCGAGTCGCCGGAGGTTGTGTTAACCTCGTTCCACCACCGTAGGCCAACAAGTCGGCGCCCAGCAATGTTTTTCAGGTAGTAGAAGTCGGCCGAGAGAAGTAGGAGGGTTAGGATGAAGACCAGGACGCTGGAATCAACTAGTTAGCTCAGAGATCACTGCTAGCTAATTGGAGTAGCTTGTTCGGAGCAGCTTGTTGGACGCTAATGACATACAAATTCTCGATAAAAAGAAGACCAAAGAGATACATCATCAATGCGCCTATCCAGATAATCAGTCAAGCATTCTATTAGCGGTCAACGAAGTCAGTACTAACCAATGCGGATACCCAAGAAGACAAGTAGTGTGATCGGGTGGGAGCTTAGACGCCAGTTCAGCTCTCCTTGAGTTCCTTGATCCATGATGAGCGACCAAGAACCGTAGGTCCTGATGCCTCGATAATGGGGTAGTTTTGCAAATCGCTGCTGTCGCAGTGGCAGTTGCAGTACAAGAGGTTAGGATCCCTGATGTGTTCACAACATGACAGGAGGCAGGCGGTAGAAGATGGCATAATTATACCGCCTCCAACGCTTATTGGTCAACGTCCACACTAAGATATGCAGTATGCACGCGATGAATGAACGGGTACTGATGAACAAATGAGAGCACTGATGAAATGAGATCAATCTTGCCAATTCGTGACCTATTTTGAAATTGCGTATCTAACAAAAAAAATATGGACGTCAAGCGTGCCTGGGCGTACCGGGGGTGGTGCTGGGCGTGCTGGGCCAAAGGGTTAAAAAAAAAAAAGAAAGAAAAAAGAAAAAGAAAAAGAAACGCCACTGTTGGGATGATCAATATTTTAAGGCAGCTTTCGAGGACCGATTACCATTTTTGAGCCCCGGTATAGTTGGTTTGCGACTTTCTTACTCTTCCAATAATGTCTTGCGATCGGAATGCCGATAGGAATAAGTATCATTGAGATGAAAGTGAAATGTAATTTGATGAATCCGAACCGTCAATCTTAGGTACATAGCTTTCTATCTGCGCAGCAATGATCGATTATGTCTCGGGCGTTGGTAAGCCACTTTATCAGTTGCCCACCCGAGCCTATATTCAGAATTCAATCTAATCAAATGCATTCACCTCGATAAAAATCTAAAGTGAAGAATATCACTGTAACCGAGGATCTTGGAATAGCAACCTCAGAAATAAGCATGAGTAAATTTGCACTTGGATGTCAATTAAGTTCTTTGAGCCATCTTTTCAGAGTTCGCCATTCAATTGCAAACATATTGCATCGTTCCGAGGTTTTCGGAACAGGTCAGACCTGAGCAACAAGGCGCAGCACCAGCACCAGCACAAGCTGCGCCAACTATGTATAGGAAAATGTGAGTATATAGCCAAGACATCACTTCATGTCCGTGAGCAAGCTTGGAAATACTTACGACCGCTGCATCCAGCGCTGGCAAAGGCAGCCATGGTGGCAGCCAGGACAACACTGAGCAGTTTCATTGTGGTACTTAGATTTTGATGGAAGGTGAGCATTCAAGAAGTAGAATTGTTTGAGGTGGCCTAGAGGCCTCTTTGGAGTGTACGCCCCTATTTATAATTTCCTGGGGCTCTGACCGGTTTCGGAAGCTCTGCTGAACACTTGAGTCCCCGGGTTAACTATTTGGCTCAGTAATGTAGCTTCGCGGAAGCGCGGATCTCCACATGCAACCTTACTTATCGAATCAGATAAGATCGATTTTAATCTACGTACTATCAGGTCAGGAACATACCTCCACTGGAACATAATCCTTTTTCAGTTTGGAGTGGTTTTCCAGCCTGGATTTCCATAGATAATTGGACTCTCAATTTGCTAATATGCTCAGCTTCGCCTTTAATCGGGCAAGGTCGTCTTTAAATAAAAAGTGCGGTGATATTGTTGAACCATAATAACTTTACGGGGGCCTCAACTAAAGTGTCGGCAAGGGTTGCATCGAGCGCAGTTTATGAAGAAGCTGACACGTCATCAAAATACTCAGTGCAGAGGTTGCATAGCAATGTTTCTTCGAGACAAGTTTCAATCAAATATCCAATAGTTTCTTCAAATGCCCAAATAACAAGCCAATCTTGCGATGCATGACAATTCCATCCTCATATCCACCCCTTATGAAAGCTTTGACGATCGGTAAATCACCCGTGGGCTACTGCTTAGACATAGGTGACGGTGACACTGTCCAAGGTAGCAGAGACAGAAGTAAGAACTTCTCCATCCTGCTCAACTTCCAAATTTGTGGCGCTGTCGAGTTCGATGGAGATATGAAGATTTATCGCGCAATGCTGTGTTTCGCAAATGGCTAATGAAGAAAAGGGCAGAGCTCCCACAGCATGGCCATCTCAAGACTGTGGTATTAAAGACCTATCTGCCAGTAATTTATAGTTACCACGTTTTATTATGGCTATTTTGAACTACTTGATGAGTCATGGGCTGTTTTCAAGACAGTTCAATCGGCTTGAAGAGTGTTAAGGGATGTAAATGGTTAGCTAGATACATTTCGCGAACCATATCACGCCAAATCTCCAGGCATAGCAGTATACCGGCCAAATTCCACCTCCTAGAGAGGATTGGAGCTTTTGTTGCTCATAATGATGATTTTGAAAAATAGAAACCTTCATAAGTGCAAAAGGTAACTTCGAAGCATCCAAGTAATGTATTGATGTGAAGCAAACAACGATGATAGTGACGATTTTGGGCCCCATATTATTTAATCAACCCTAAGCCAGCCACAGCGCCCCTTAGACGCCCTCTCTTTGCTGATTATGGTGGTCAATTGGTCTTGCAGATATCCTTCGTATGGGACTCTGGTTTATCTGAGGAGGTTGTTGATTAACGGGATTGGACTTCATCGCAATGGTTGCAACCTCTGTGTGGCGAAATGTATTTGAAGAATGGCTCTTGAAATAAATGGTTTAAATCGATTTTTTGAACAAAATTAAGCGATGGAGTCATCTAGGAATTCTAATCTAAAAATTTCTAGCCCTGTCGCACACTACTCTACCGATACCCTCCAAGCCACAGCACATGCGAATACTGGCGCAATGGGCGAGTCAAAAGCAAAAGACTGGTAAAAAGGTTATCATATGTAAGACATAATCTAGGTTTAATTCGATTATCTTCACAAAATTCTCCACGCCCGAAAATACATACAAAGTCTTGGCCTCCATTGACGTAGCCCACTGTGGGTCCATGGCATATAGGCTATTCCGAGCGCTACCCGAGCTTCGGCTTAGAAGGAACATCCCGGACGCGACACCTATATCAACGCCGCGAACTCGTTGAAACAACTGCAGTTTAACTTCAAAGGCTGTTTCATTTATGTCGTCTCCCGCAATGGCTGCCCGCAATACTCTGCGTCGCTCCCTGCTCTACGGTAAGAACGCTGCGCAGCGCGTCTTCCCCGCATTTCGATGCGGAAGCTTTACGATCATCGCAGAGCTAACCAGCGACCTCACCAACTAGTCCCGGGCTCGTCGCAGCGCTTTCTCGACAAGTCTCGCTCTTTGGCAGCAGACTGCCTTACCTATGATCTTGAAGACAGCGTCACTCCGCACATGAAAGCGGAGGCCCGCTCCCTCGTGCGGAGAGCGATCGATCAGCCGACACCGAGCAACATCCGGGAACGGGCTGTGCGAATCAATTCAGTCGACAGTGGTTTGGCGCTGGGAGACTTGACAGAAGTGGTGAGTTGAATCAACAGCACCAATTGTAGATACCAGAATACTAATACCACCCTAGCTGCAATCCCCGAACTTAACTACAATTGTTATCCCCAAGGTCAACTCCGCTTCGGACCTCACCTTCGTCACAGACGTGATAAATCACACTCTGGCACAACAAAAGAACCAATCTCCTGAAGCTCGTCCTCCAATTTCTCTTCTCGCCCTTATCGAATCAGCTAAATCCCTTACAAACTTGACCCAAATTTGCTCCTCTACTCCACTCCTCCAAGGTCTGATTTTTGCTGCCGAAGACTTCGCCCTAGACCTCAGCATTACGCGTACTCCATCGTTGACCGAATTTCTCTTTGCGCGCTCTGCAATCGCAACAGCCGCCCGCGCCGCAGAGCTTCCTTCGACAATCGATCTCGTCTGCACAGCCTACAAATCTGATAAAGCGGACGGATCCCCACCTGCGGCGCTGGAAGAGGAGTGTCGCGATGGAAGGCGACTCGGATTCAATGGAAAGCAGTGTATTCATCCGACTCAGGTGAAGACAGCTAATGCTATCTTTGGACCGGATGAGGAGGAGACACGGTGGGCCGTTCGGGTTGTTATTGCAGATGAGAAGGCTGCTGCTGCTGGTCGGGGTGCTTGGACGTTAGATGGGAAGATGATCGATGTGCCTGTTGCCGAGAAGGCGAAGGCTATTGTTAGGAAGGCAGCTGCCTGCGGGATTGATGTTGAGGAGTTGCGGGAAGAGTGGCAGCATCAGGAGCCAGAATAGGGCATTTTACATTTGAATGAAACATTACCGAGTATATAGCTGGCAGTCGGGCTAACCAGAGCAGTGAATTATATGTTCTGACAGCTTCAGTGGGTCTTAATGGACTACAGTTGTACTTATTTACCTTCATATGAAAGCCAATTTTAAATCACATATTGAGGGGATATTGACGGCGTCCTTAAGGAGTTTTGAGGATAGTATTAAGAGTGCGTTTAGTGCTTACTTCAAGGTGCTATAAATTTGGGGTTGTCATAATACTGAGGTCCATGGCCGCAATTCATGGGATCTGCTAGACACACAACACTTCAAGTACATCCCTAGACTGACTAAAAATTTCAGTCATTCACATGCTGTAGACTATGGATATACTAGTCAGTCACCTAAACAGTCCTATATTCTTCAAGCCGTTTAGTAAGTTGCATCAGTAATAGAGAATCAAGGCTACACAAAAGAGTAAGGGGGCGCATAAATTCGGATTGGCGTTTGTCGAGAGACGCCACCCGATGCAGACTTACTGTTACACATCATACTTTGGTTCGAGAATAGTCGGTGTGATGGAAATCCTAGCTGCTGTCGTTGATCTTTTCCATCGACCGCCGGTATCCTAGAGGAGCGCTATAGTAGAACACCACATGAACAGATTGGATTAAGGGGCAGTTTATGAGACATAACCGGAGCCGTAATTGATGGTGGTCAATTAAAGGGCTCCACCATGGAGACCTGCAAGATATTAGCCAGCTAAGATTTGCTCTTATTGAAGATAACGAACTTGTACATGAGACATGTGAATGGATAAGCAACCCATCTCCACGGAATTACTTCCCATATTGCAAGAAAGACACAAACTTAGTGCCTAGGTTATAAGCAGTCAGTGTATTAGATTCTCGAACATGCCCTCTCTTCTACAATGCATATTATCGATACGTGCCT